CCCTCCTCCGCCTGATGATGGGAATCGCACAGCGGGTGGTGCAATTCTGACGTAAGCCACCAGGTGGCGGCCAAGACCAGGGCATCCTCGCTGGAGTTGGGGTACTTCTTCCAAGCGTTTTCTAGGTCCCAGGAGGAGGGACAGAGGAGGGCACACAGGGAGTGTCTGCTGTGTGGGTGTCAAGGTAAGAAACATTCAAATCTGTAAAGAACTTTTGTGAGTTTATTTGAGCCAAACTGTTGGCAATTGCCAGGAAGCAACATCTCTTGATTGAGACAGTGGTCCGGAGGGTCAGCACCTTGTTTCATACGTTACAACAAAAGAGGAGACGCACGTGGGCTCCGTGGCATCCACAGGTGATGGAGGCGGGAGGCAGGAGAAGGCAAGGCGGGAAGCTCTGGGATTGGGTGGAAAGTGCAGTGATAGACACACACATCCGTTACACAGGTGGGCACAGGACAGTCACCAGTCAGCAGTCAACCCAGTGGCTCTGAGGGGATCTGGGGTCTCCGCCCTGAGGGGTCTGTCTATTGTCTTTTGCATCATGAGAGACCGGAGTGCCTCCCCACTGGCCAGTCCTCCGAGCAGCGCCCAGGGGTAGGTATTGCCATCCTCATTTGATGACTAGGGACCCCACGGCCCAGAATGGAGAAGGGCCTTGTCCACCATCACTCACTTCCCAGCCCTTGAACTCATTTCATAAACGCCCGGGAGTCACCTGGCTTTCCTTGCAACGCCCAGGGTGAGTGGATTGCAGCCTGGTGTGTCCACGCCTCTCAGCCCACCCCCTGCGACCCCACAGGTGTGGGGCTCCCAAAGCTGCACTCCACAACACAGCAGAGGCCAGGACCCATCGGGCTCCCTGCCTCCAGTGGGGGGCCTTGGGGGCCTCCTGAGGTCCTGCGGGGGCTACCGTGAGCGGCTGCCCACTAGGTTTGACCCAGGGTGTGGCTGGGAGGCCAGCCCCTACTTTCCACCCCTCACCTTCCATATCCCTGGCTCTGTCCCCACTGTGCCACTGTGCGCCAGGCCCAGACCAGACGCCCCCGCGCCCTTCCCAAGAACTCACGTTAGCTGGACCCTTGGAGGCGCCTGTCCCACACCAGCCAGGCTGAGAGCAGAAGGAACAGCAGAACCAGGGCTGCAGCCAGGCCCACGGACGGCACCAGGTCCGAGTCCTGAGGGCCAGGGATGGCATCACCTGGAGCATGATGGGGGGCGGCGGGGGCTCCGAACAGCTGGACGCCAGAGACCTTCTCCCCCAGGGACCCTGGCCGGCCCATCTGTGGGAAGGAGGAGGTGAGGGACAGGACTTCCCTTGGGAAGGGCCCCACCGCCCACCCTCTGTCTGTCCCTCCCATCCCTCTGCCTTGGAGAGAACCCTCCAGACTTAGCAGGAGCAAGGGCGTGTGCAGGACCTCCCTGAGCCTCGCTGTTCTCCTCTAAAACGGGATGGTGAGGCCAGAGAGGACGGGTGGCCCGGGCCCCTGGCCTTCCCACCCGCTGCCTGACCTCCTCCCCAGAGCCGGGGCGTCTGGGCTTGGAATGCAGCTCTGCCTGTTCCCGGTGCACAGGAGCCACAAGCTCGCAGACCATTCTGGAGAGACCTTTGTCACACTGCAGGAGGAGCTCCGTCAAGGCAGCCCGCGGGGTGGGCGCCAGGTCGCACGAATCACAGGTGAGGAGAGTGGGGCAGAGAACCGCGTGTCGCTGGAGCCGCGATCCGAGAAGCCCAGGAGTCGGGGCTCAGAGCCCACCCTCAGGCTCCTGGGTGCCAGGAGGGCAGGCATGGCCATCATCCCGGAGTCGGCGGCCCCTGCCCAGCCCCGCCCCAAGCCAGGCAGTTCTACGGGATGTTCACCTTCCAGCCATGGGCCCCCCACCCTGGGAGAGCCCTGTCCCAGAGCAGCCACTGTCCCTGAATGGATCCGCTAAGGGCCCTTCCTCTAAAGAAGGGAGGGGCTGGAGCTGGGGGCAAGGAAGGGGGGCCCAGCCCCTTCCTGGGTGTGTCCAGGACAGAGAAGTGAATCCACTCTCCCAAGCCTGGGGACCCCAGGTGTCCCCACTCCCAGACCAGCACTTTCTGCCTCCTCCAAGAGACTTCCCACATGGGAGGCTAAAGAAATAGGCAGAGCCCGGCCGGTGTGGCTTTGTGGTTGAGCATCGACCCTGCACCAAGAGGTCGCCAGTTCAATTCCCGGTCAGGGCACATGCCCAGGTTGTGGGCCAAATCCCCAGTGGGGGGCATGCAGGAGGCGGCTAACTGATGTTCTCTCTCATCGATGTCTCTATCTCTCTCTCCCTTTCTCTCTCTCTGAAATCAATAAAGAAAAAATATATTTTTCTAAATAAAAAAGAAATAGGCAGGGCTCTGAATTCAGATTGGCAAGGAGCTTCTAGCCCCCCCTATGTGCCCTTCTGTGCCAAGTACAGGTGGGGCGAGGGAAGGAGCGTTATACACACCCTGTTCCCCCAGAAGCCAGGTCCTAGTGTTATCGGTGGAAGTGGGGTGTCCCTTTCCCCACTCAGTGCTGAGGGTCGGGTCTTTATATCTTGAGAGAAAGACCTTTCTGAGCCTTGCAGAGGGGGATGAGTGATTTTCATTTGTGTGGAATCACATCCCTGGGTTTCCAGAGTCCCTTCATCCAGTCCTGGAAGAGGTGCAGCTGGGGATCCGGTAGAGCTAGAAGCAAAGCCAGTGTCCAGAGTTTCCGTTCCATGTTGGAACTGGGTCCAGTACAGCACCAGGCTGGCTGCAGTCCATTAGACCATCGTGGGCGTCCACATGGCTGTGAGCCGCCTGGGTGAACGCAGGCGCCTGAGAGACCCACAAGCCAGGAGCCAACAGGCAAGAGCACCAACTCCTTTGTTTAAGGGATTAAATATCTCAAACCTTCCTGCCCTGGCAGTGGCCGTGCCTACTCTGGCCAACGCAGTGACCTGTTCCCAGGTGTGACTGACAGGCAGGCACCTTCTCTAATTCACTGCAACTTTGCTGGGCGCGTGTCTATTCTCCCCCTGTCCAGTCAGTCCCTTCCCCCAGCCATCTGCCTGGGGGCGGTGGTGGGGAACAGACCAGTGTCTCCCTGGGGAGTGTTAAACTGCAGCTTCCTGGCAAAGCCACCCAAATCATGTGCCTGTAATATTGGCCTTCCCTTTGCTCCTTTCCTGTTGTTAACTGGGTGGGTTACAACAAGTAGTCCTGCAGAGCAGACAGATGTGGGTGGTCAGGAAAGAAGGCACCGCCCACCAATGGGAGGGTTCAAAGAGGCCTGGGGACCATGGAAATGATCTTTGCTGAAGGTCAGAGATGTTCTTTGCATTGCTCATTTTAAGAGCAAAAATGTCTGCAAACAGCCTTAATGCCACGACAAAAAAAAAAAAAAAAAATGTATGAGCAAATCCAGGTTCATCTACTGAAGAACCTTCAGGAGCCATGAACATGAGCTGTCTACATGGAGAGTCAACCAGGTTTATTCTTTCAGCCCCAAACTGGAGACAGCCCCACTGCCCATCAAAGGGTGGGTGGGCTCTGTGGTGCACCCCTCCACAGCAACAAAAAGGGAACGAGCCCCTGAAAAATGACATGGATGAAGCCAGACAAAGAGCACTTCCTATGTGAGTCCCTGTCCCTGAAACTCGTGGGCAAAAGGCACTAAATGCCAGCAGGCTGTCAGGATTTAGATGCCTCTGTTTTCTCTCACTATGGTTGTACTTCTTTGATAATAAAAGGGACTTATGCAAACCTTTAAAAAACATTTTACTAACCCGGCTGGTGTGGTGTGGCTCAGTGGCTGAGCGTTGACCAGTGTAGTTATGGGCCCGATCCCCAGTGGGGGGCATGCAGGAGGCAGCCAATCGATGTTCTCTCTCATCGATGTTTCTACCGCTCCCTCTCCCTTCCTCTCTCTAAAATCAATAAAGAAAAAAAAATTTTTTTTAACCTATTTTGATAGTGAAAATCTGGAAGCAACCCAAATGTTCAACAATGGACAAATTTTATTTTATTTTATTTTATTTTATTTTATTTTATTTTATTTTATTTTATTTTATTTTATTTTATTTTGTTTCTGTAAGAGGGCGAGGGGACAATGGACAAGTTTTAAAAGACATGTTGTGGCCCATCCATGCAGGATAAGGTGGGACCCAGCTCTCCCTCTGAAAAGCCCAAAGAAAGCCCTGAAACTAGTCGTGGTGGTGCTTTTGGAGGGTGGTTTTCAAGGAAAATTTCCACTTCTGCTTTACTTAAGTTTACATTTCGGGTTACTGCCTGGATGCTTAGAAACAAGCCCAAGTTATTTCTGCAACCAGTGGAGACCAGAAACGGGAAAAGACCAGTCTGGCCCACTGGAGCCGGCACCCCCTCCCTCCTCTGCCTTCACCCCACAGACCCCTGCTGTCCTGGGGGCTCGTCGGCCTGATTTCACCGCGTCACGGAGGAAAGGGAGCCGCGTGGCGCGGTGACTCGGCGTGGGGCAGGGAGGGGCCGGGCGCAAGGCGGCGCTGGGGCCTCCCTCGGGAAGGGGCCGCCGGCTCGCTGTGTGCCCCTGGCCAGTTGCTTCGCCTCGCTGGGCTTCAGTTTCCGGGTGCAGGAAAGAGCCGAGCCCCAGGGTGGGGCGCAGTCTGCGCCCCCGGGCTGGACCCGGGCTGGACCCGGAGGAGTGGGCAGGGACGCTGCCTCCAGGCCCCGCACGAAGGTCCAGCCGCTTCCCTCGGGTGCGGGCTCCCATCCTCGGGGCCTCCGGGGGCGCAAGAGGCGAGGCCCGGCCGCCCCGCCCCGGCACCCGCAGCCCGCAGCCCGCAGCCCGCAGCCCGCAGCCCGCAGCCCGCAGCCCTGGTCCAGCGCCGCACCCGCGCCCGAGCATCCGCGCCGCTCGCAGACGCCCATTGGCCGGCGCCGACTCCGCGGGGCCGCCTCGCAGCCAATCGCGGCCGGGGGCGGAGCTGGGGCTGGGCCGGATGCTCAGACCGCTGCGGCCAGACGCTGTCCGGGCCCCTCCGCGACACAGGTGACAGCAGAGGCCGGCCATGCAGGAGCCCCTGCTGGGAGCCGAGGGCCCGGACTATGACACCTTCCCCGAGAGTCCGGCCCCGTCGCCGTCGCCGGGCGAGAGGACGCGGGTCGGGTGAGAGTTGCTGGGCGTGGGGGCTGCAGGTGGGGGCCGGTTTCTGCCTTGGGCCTCCTCTGATGATCTGGGAGTGGCCACCACGGGCCCATCGGGCCCCCTCCTGCCCCAGAGAGGCTAGTTCTATTTAAGGAGCTGGTTGTGTGTCCCCCTTCCCCGTCCCCAACTGGCATAGACAGGGAGACTGAGGACCAGAGAGGGCTAAGGGCCTGAGGTCACACAGCAAGCCTGGGGTGGCAAAGCGGGGAGCAGAAACCCTGCGTGTCTCAGCCACAGCCGTGGGCTGTGGGATTGTCCCCAGGGAGCGGTCATTCAGACCCCGATCTGAATAGCCCTGGCCCAGCCCTCCCCAAGGCTGGTCTGAGCGGACAGCCATTGGACTCAGGACAGGCAGCAGATTGGGGTAGAGGGGAGTAACTCAAAGACCTGGTCTCTCTGCCCCCACCCCCATGCCACCAGAGCAAGACAGCACAAGAGGGTGTTCCTGGCTACCTTTGCTGCCGTGCTGGGCAATTTCAGCTTCGGCTATGCCCTGGTCTACACGTCCCCGGTCATCCCGGCCCTGGAGTACTCCTTGGACCCAAACCTGAGTCTGACCAAAACTCAGGCATCCTGGTTTGGGGTAAGGGCCATTCTTTAAGCTAATAGGGGCAGGGCAGGGGGTGCAGGGACCCACTGAGCTCTGTCCCCAGCTAGGGACCCCCCTAACACCAGCCTTAGAGCCCCTCCAGGGCCCTGGTCTGCACTTCCCCACACGCTCAAGGCTGGCGGTGGAGGAGGGGAGTGAGCCCAATGGAGTCTCTGAAATGAAAGGAGGAAGTGAAGCTGGTGGAGAAGGCGTGGGAAGGAGCAGCTGGGGAGGCGTCCCTTAAGGTCTCCACCAGGTGGGGCTGAGGGTTCCCCAGACCCGCCAGACCCCGAGCTGGGCTGTCCCCGCAGAGCAGACACCTCCCCGGGCAGTGGGGGTCCAGGACAGCAGGTGCCCGTGGACAGAGGCCCCGGCTGGTACAGGACAGAGAGAAAGGAAGAGCAGAGCCCATGAAACCCCAAGATTCTAGGACGACAATCTCAGTAGCCTCAAATGTACAGTGGCAACATATTAGCTAAGAGAATGTGCCCGCTGAGCGCTGAGCGCGTACTGTGTGCCAGGTGCATGCTGGGCACTTTACATGAGAGCTGGTTGACTTCAGGACCACACCCTGAGGTGGCTGCCACCACTCCCCATAATACAACTGATGAAACTGAGGCTCGGCAGACTAAGCGATGTGCCCAATTCACTGACTGGAGCCTACTCACTATACTGTACGGGGAATCCAAGAACCCCCAACTCTTACAATCCCCGGGGGCTTCAAATCCTAGAACGCTCCTATCTTCTATATTACAATGGTAGGCATTGAAATGTCAGCTGGGCAGAACCGCTGTGGCACGTGGCCCCACCTCCTCCCCAGGGCAGGACTTCCTGTTGTGGCATCCCTAGCAAATGGTTGTCCACATGCTGCTTGTATCCCTCTGGAGATGAGGGGCTCACTACCATTTGGGGTCTGAGTCCTAGGTTCCCAGAGCCAGGCTGGAAAGGCAGCTGTCTCTAGGCTCTGGTGGGGAGGCGGGGTGCTGGGTGCCCAGACATGTCTGCTCTGCCCCCATTCTCCACAGTCGGTGTTCACCTTGGGTGCTGCAGCTGGGGGCCTCAGTGCCATGGTCCTCAACGACCTCCTGGGCCGGAAGCTGAGCCTCATGTTCTCGGCTGTGCCCTCGGTGGCCGGCTACGCGCTCATGGCGAGCGCCCGTGGGCTGTGGATGCTGCTGCTGGGGCGGCTGCTGACGGGCTTCGCCGGCGGGCTCACGGCGGCCTGCATCCCGGTAAGGCTCCCGCCCAGGGCCCCGCGCCTCAGTGTGCTGAGCGCCGTCAGACAGGGCTCCCGGCCCCCAAGTCCACCAGTCACTGGAGAGGTTTGCTGGGGAACCTCAGCTCACCCCACCAGTGCAGCTCATTTCAGCGACACGTGTCCCCCTGTCCCCAGCTGCTCCCCACTCGGATTCCCCAAACTTCCAAACTTATTTTCTGACAGTCATACATGTTACTCAATTGGAGAAAGTCCACATTGAGCAACCCGGAGGAAAGGGAAGTCCCTGCCCTGTCCCCTCCCTGGCACCTAAGTCTTACCCATCACTCCCCACATACTGACCAGGGGCTGGGGCCAGCCCAGCAGGGGGCGAGTTCCCCCGGGGGCTTGGGGGGCAGAGTCTGGGTGCCTTTGGGCCGCCCAATTCCTAGGCTCACACTTCCCATTTCAGATCTGGTGCTTCTGCCCACTTGAGTCAGGGAAACAGACCCAAGGGAGGTCATGAGATGAGTCCTGATGGGGACCAGAAACCCACCCAACACCCCCACTTCCCTCTTCCCAAGGACCACGGGGGCCGCCTCTGCCATCATGGCCAGGCCCTGTGTCCTCAACAGACGCCGGGGTGGGGGGATGTGTCTCACAGGTGTACGTGTCTGAGATTGCTACCCCAGACATTCGAGGGGCTCTGGGGGCCACGCCCCAGCTCATGGCCGTGTTCGGATCCCTCTCTCTCTACGCCCTTGGTAAGACCAGCACTGAGCACCTCCTGGGTGCAGGCTGGGGTGTCAGGGTGCCCTGAGCAGACATGGTAGAAAGGGAAGGAATGTGCCCCCGGTGAGCTCCAGGCTGGGAGGCAGGACACCCGGCTCCCAGCCCCACTCTGCACAGTGCGCCTCCAGGCGACTGCCTGCCTCGGCTGGTCACGAGGCCCCGCCTACCTGGGCAGTGAGGGCTGCTCCGGGCCAGCAGCCTTTCAAGTGTCTATTGACAACGGAATGTCTCCATCGAGCAGGCTTCGGTGGGAAGTCCACTTAGAAAAGGGGTCCGAGCGCAGCGTCTCGGGGTGACCAGGGTGGGAAGTGGACCTGGGACTCGCCCTAGAGGGCAGATGAGGTTGTTCAGAGGCCCAGCGGGAGGGGCTCTGGGTCCAGCCCCAACCCCAGCTCCTCCCCGCTCCCCTCAGGCCTCCTGCTGCCGTGGCGCTGGCTGGCTGTGGCCGGGGAGGGGCCCGTGGTCATCATGACCCTGCTGCTCAGCTTCATGCCCAACTCGCCACGCTTCCTGCTGTCCCGGGGCAGGGACGAGGAGGCCCTGCGGGCACTGGCCTGGCTGCGCGGGGCCAATGCCGACATCCGCCTGGAGTTTCAGCAGATCCAGGACAACGTCCAGAGACAGGTGCGGAGGGGGCGCGCGCAGCCCGCAGCCGCTGCCCAGGGCGTCACCAGGCCTTCCTGATGTCAGGGCACCCTGACACCCGTGCTGGCCTTCCCCGGAAAGCTGAGGTCTCGGTATTCCCACCTCCAGATGCGCGGCACCTGACCCAGAGCACACGCTCCGTGGGGCATGCCCAGGGACCCAGGCACTGACAGACAAGAGTCCGCCTTGGCCCACACTAAGCCGGAGCCTGGGGTTTGGGCAGGGGCCATCTGGCCTGTCCCCTGCCCTGCGTTGTCTCCTGGAGCGAGGAGGGAGTCTCTGCCCAGCTCCATGCAGTTCAGGGCAGGTGGTACCTGCTGGAGGGGCTGGCCCAGCCCCCTCAGCCGCTGCCTTGTCTCTAGAGCAGCCGCATGTCGTGGGCCGAGGCCCGGGACCCCCACATGTACCGCCCCGTCGCCATCGCCGTGGCCATGCGCTTCCTGCAGCAGCTGACGGGCATCACGCCCATCCTCGTGTACCTGCAGCCCATATTCAACAGCACGGCTGTCCTGCTGGTGAGCCCGCCGCCTGCCGCCCCCCTCGGCCGCGCCCCACCCAGCCGGCTCTGTGCTGGGGGAGACCCCCAGGGCTGGGGGCTGTTTCCCTGCCGCGCTCCTGTTCGCCCGGGGACGTGTGCAAGGAAAGCTCGCGTGTTTTAAAGGGCAGTGGGCAGGACTGCAGAGAAAACCAGTCCTACAGAAATGCAGACCTTGGGGCCGTGGACAGAGCCTCTGCCTCCTGCTGAGGGTGGTCACGTGCCCTCCAGGCCTCCTCTGCAGAGTGGAGGCTTCAGGCTTGAGGCTTCATTGCCCGTCTTGGCTCAGAGGGAGGTGACATCTGAAGGTCAGTGACAGCAACGTCCAGTGTTGTCACGCGCGGATCCTCAGCTCAGGGGTGGGCATGGCAGCTACGCCCCTGCCCAAGAGGCCCTGCAGGCCGGGGCGGGCGACCAGAGAAGGTGCCTGGCACATAGTAGGTCAGCAGCGCAATGCTTGGGGCCTGAGCACCTTGCAGAGCCTTGGGGGGATGGCAGCGGGCCGGGGCGCTGAGCCCCAGTGGCTTCATTCCCTGCAGCCCCCCCAGGATGACGCAGCCATTGTGGGGGCCGTGAGGCTCCTGTCGGTGATGATCGCGGCCCTCGCCATGGACCTGGCCGGCCGCAAGGCTCTGCTCTTCGTCTCGGGTGAGTTCCACCCCCTCCTTCAGCAGCTGCCGTGGGTTGTGCCATTCGAGGTGGGTGCCGTGTGGCGGGGGCTCCAGGAGGCTTGAGTCAGACCTGCCCTGGTGGCCTCTGCCTCCCCTGCACCCGGAGCAGGGCCTGGCACACGCCAGCTGCTCCAGAAAGGTCTGCGGGGGCTCCTGTGCGGGAACGCCACTGTCACGGCATGGCGGGCGTGACGGAAGCCAAGCACAGCTGGAGGGGGCGCCTGCCCCTTAATGGAAGCGACCAGTCACAGGCAGTGTGATGGGGTCTGGATGAGAACTGGGCCACACGGGTGGCTCTGTGGAGGGGGCTTCCAAGGAGCAGCTGACTGAAAGCGTCCCGGCCCTGCGGGCCACCTGTCTGTCCACAGCTGCCATCATGTTCGCTGCCAACCTGACACTGGGGCTGTATGTCCACTTCGGGCCCAAGCCTCTGACCCCCAACAGCACCATGGGTCTCGAGAGTGTGCCCCTGGGGGGCACAGAGCAGCCCCTGGCCACACCCACCAGCTACCTCACCCTGGTGCCCCTGCTGGCCACCATGCTCTTCATCATGGGTGGGTGTGGCAGACTCCGCAGGGTGGGGAGGAGGCTCCTGGCAGGAGGGAGGGGCTCCCCTGCGGCTGTGTCGGGGGTGGGGCACTGCTATGCTGGGTGGTCAGGGATGGCTGAGGAGGGGTCCCCGCAGCTCAGGGAGGCAGTGGGGCCTGAGCTGCCCTCTCTCTGAGCAGGCTATGCCATGGGCTGGGGGCCCATCACCTGGCTCCTCATGTCTGAGATCCTGCCCCTGCAGGCCCGCGGCGTGGCCTCGGGTCTCTGCGTGCTGGTCAGCTGGCTCACCGCCTTCGCCCTCACCAAGTCCTTCCTGTTGGTGGTGGTGAGTGCTGGGGACCCCAGGCCTCCGGCCTCTGCCAGGGCTGTGCTGAGGGCTTCTCCATCACGTCACCTAGAGATTAGCGCATGCCCCCCTCACACTCAGGCCAACGCGACAAAGGCTCCTTCCTTCACTGCAACTGACAAGCAGCTGGGAACCGTTCTGAGAAGTCAGCTGACCTCCCGGCCAGGAAGCCCCACCCATTCCCACTGTCTCCCTCCAGGGCAGCAGGCCTGCCTGGGCAGTTGGGTTTTAGCAGTGTGCCCCCTGGCCAGCCCGCACATGGTGCCCCACACCACATAGCTCCCACCTGCCTTAGCCCCTCTGGGTTCCAAGCCCAGCAGGCCCTGAAGCCAGTGCAGTCAGAGCCCCAGCTCCCAGCTCCCAGCTCCCAGCTCCCAGCTCCCAGCTCCCAGCTCCCAGCTCCCGGGCAGGATGTGCTGGGCAGCTCTGGCGGTGCCTCCCGGGGCCAGGCGAGCTGGGGCCCGGAGTGGGTCAGGTGGCTGGAAGGCAGGTGTGCACAGCCCCAGCAGGGCCGATGGGCATGGGGCGGGCAGGCATGGCAGTGGCCAGAAGGGCAGGCACAAGCTCCCAGGCTATGAGGACAGGCTTCCTGCAGGCAGGGACACGGGACAGCTGAAACGGAAGATAGGCACGTGGGGGGGCCCGAGCGGTGGCTGAGGCAGACGGCCCAGGCCAGGGCCGGCTCCGAGTGGAGCCCTCCGGGCAGGAAGGAGACCCCAGGGCCCGCACCAGAGGAGGGCTGGGCACAGACTTCTAGGCGCCCCAAGGCTGGCTAACGCCAGCAGGGCCCAGGAAGCTCATTGGCCCCCATGTGATCCAGCACCTCCTCTCCACCCCCAGAACGCCTTCGGCCTCCAGGTGCCCTTCTTCTTCTTCGCCGCCATCTGCTTGGTGAACCTGGTGTTCACCGGCTGCTGCGTGCCTGAGACCAAAGGCCGGTCACTGGAGCAGATTGAGTCCTTCTTCCGGACCGGCAGGAGGTCCTTCCTGCGCTAGGCCAGGGACCCTGCCGGGGAGGGGCCAAGCCACTGGCGGACAGGCCTCCATGTTGGCCACCAACCTGCACCCCGAGTCCAGCAGGCAGCAGCAACCTGCCATCAGCCAGACAGCGGGGCCAGAAGCACGCCAGGCCTCCCAGAGCACGCCCCCTGGCCCTGGCAGCAGCGTCCAGCTCGGCCCGGCGCAGCAGCCTGCGGTGCCGCTCACATCAGCCAAGACCCGCAGAGGCAGCCAAGCGCCCAGGGGAGCACGTGCCCGGGCTCTGGGGACAAGGCCGTGCCAGGCAACCCCAGGCCTTGCTGCTTACTCATGCATGGAGGACGCCCGCCACGGGGCTGCGATGACAGGCAGGGCTGGAGCAGCTGAGTGGCTCCGGTCAGCGGGCCGCCATCAGCATCTTGGCTACAGGGAGGAAGGCAGAGATCCGCACCTGAGGACTTGCGGACACCATGGCAACACCCCGGACTCCCACAGGCCAGGGCACAGGACCCGGCACAAACACTAACTCGTGCACCAGCTCGACATCTGGACATGGGGCCCTCGAGTGCGCCCATCTGCACACCGTGTGCCCCCTATTTATAGAAATAAAGAAATTGGGCAGTGACCCTGCAGGGGAAGGAGTTCCGGTGGGGGAGCCCCCAACAGCCAGGCTAGACCCACATTTTCAGCAAGGTTTGCCCGGGCCTGCTGTCCCAGTGGCCCCCGTATGGCCCCGCACTGTCCACAGTGAGGCAGAGGCGGATGGCCTGTGAGGGCGGCCGGCCTTGGAGTCCCTGCCTGCTGGGCCTTCCTGGCTGTGGGACCCCAGGCAGGCAGCACAGCCGTGCCCGAGGAAACCACAGCCCTTCCCAGGGCCAGCGGCCCCTGCTCACCGGGTGGGGGTAGGGCATCCCTGCCACTCAAGGCAGAGTGTGGGCGAGCATACAAACTACCACCAGGCTTTATTGCTCAAGTCACGGTAAACAGGGTGAACGAGGACCAGAAGAGTAGACACGGGGAGGCGGGAGTGGGCCCTGTGGCCCGGCCCCTCAGCCACCTGGACAGATGTTCCTTTAAGGCAGGACTCCCCCTGGGAGATGGGGTCACCCGCTCCAGGGCTGCTCTTTAGACTCGCTGGGAACCTTGGGCAAGTGACCTGCGCGCTCTGGCCCATGACGGGTTGGAAGGCCCTGCATCCTCTGTGTCCGACTCTACAGCCCACACAACACCCGCCCAGTGTCCTCCCAGGGTACAAGCACAACCACCCCTGCCACACAGCCAGCCCTCCTGCAGCACGAAAGCCCACCTGTGAGTTCCCGGTAACAGGGCAGGGGGCTGGCAGAACGGACGCCCAGACCCCCTTCCTGGGTAAGAACGAGCCAAGAGGGGCAGCGGAGCCCCTGCTCCTCCGGGAGGTAGACGGGTCTTAGTCACGGCACACGTGGGAGACACACACACACACACACACACACACACACACACACAAACCCCGGCCTGGAACCCGCAGCCCTTCACACCCAGCACTGGCCCGAGGAGGGTGGTCCCAGAGGGCTCCTGAAGGCACGTGTCCCAACACACGGCCGCACGGCAGGGTGCTGGGGCTCAGCCTGGTCAGGCTCCCCGGAGGGCTGCTGGGGGGACGCTGCTGACCGGGACCCACTGATGTGTCCCTGGGCAGTGCCTGCCACACCCACCTCCAGCGGGGCTGAAAGTCCCTCTGGGAAGCCAAGACCCAGGCGTAGTCCTGGGGCGACTTTCCGCACAGCAGCCGGGACCCTGAGCTCCGGAAGCTCAGAGCAGGCCCGGCCTGGGGCCTGGAGGGGGGCGAGCGGGAGCTGGTGCCCAGGGGAGCCCTGTCCACACCAGCCATTTCTGCCGGTGCTGCAGGCTCAGCCAGGCCCCATCAGACACGCCGGACGGCTGAGGGCCAGCGTGGCCTCTGGGCTGAGGCCATGGACAGAAGGAAGGAGCCTTGGGGAGACCCAGTGGGCCTCTCCCGGGCACCAGCTCTCCACACTCCCTGCCCCCACCCAGGCCTTGCTCCTGGCGGGCGGGCACCCGGGGCAGTGGGGCCAGCAGTCTGCCCAGCTCTCAAAGGCTGGGGGCAGGCCAGCAGGCATACCCACAGGGGGTCAAGTTCAGCCCCTCCTAACAGGGCTCGGGGTGCTGCTACAGGGCAGGACCACCCACTTCCTTAGCACCAGGGGAGGGAGGGATGGGAAGAGCCGGGCCCACGGGAAGTGTCCTGAAATGGTCTGTCCGGGGCCAGGGCACTGCGCATCGGGGCAGCACTGGGGGCTCCTGCGGAGTATGGGGGCCAAGGGGCCTTGGGCAGCACAGACAGCCCTCAGGACACCGCTCAGCCTGCCGGCAGGTGGACAGAGGTGGGCTCGGGTGGCTCAGCCTCGCGGCCTGCAGGGCTCAGAGGCGGCTCCCTCCGGACGATGTCCAGGCCTCCCACTGCAGACAGGGCGGCGTGGCCAGGGCAGCTCCTCCAGGCTTGCAGCGGGCCCCCAGTGGTCCCGCCAGCTGCAGAGGGCCGGAACCACCAAGGCTGCGCGGGGTGGGGCTGTGCTGTGAAACTCTGTCCGCAGGGCTGCGCCTCGGGTCCTGTGGCCCGGGTCACGGCCCACCTCCATGCTGCCGGTCACGCCCTCAGAGCCCTCGCCCCAGCACCTCTGCACCAGCTCAGGGCCAAGAGACACGATCCTAGGAGGGGCGGCAGGAGGACTCCAGCTGTGGGGACTGGAGCAGAGCTGGTGGGAGCCAGGCCCAGACTCCTCTCCCACGCTGGCCCTCAGGGTCCGTGCTTCAGGCCCGTCCGTCCTGAACCTGCTCACGCAGAACCAGAGGGGCGAGAGGGCGGGCAGTCACGCGGGCCACATCACAGCTCCCCTTCCAGGGTCTCTGAGAGCTTCTCCTCGTCCGCCTGCTGCTTCTGCTGCTGGATCCTGGCGTAGGAGATTGCATCACCCCTGGGGAGAGAGCAAACCATGTCACCGCAGGGACAGACCGCAGGCACGTGGCCCTCCCAGCCACTACCTGACCCTGGCCGGTGACCCTGCCATGACCTGCAAGCAGAGCCTACGGGACCTTCAGGTCCCCAGGAGCCTGTGCTGCGATGACCAAGGTGTGTCTTGTCACCTCTAACTGGCGCAGGCTGCCCGGCTGCAATGCCGGGGCCTGGATGAGGAGAGGGTCTCGCAAGCCTGCCTGCCATCCCTGCTAACGGCTGTGACAAGGACAGACCGAGCCACCTGTTCCCATGACTTCTGCTCTCATCCCCTAGAGCCGAGCACCCTGGGGATACTAACAGCCCCTGTGCCTCAGTTTCCACAACTGGGTACTGAGATTCAGGAGGCGGGAAGTAAAGGACCCTCCCACGGGCTGAGACTGGCAGACGCACTTTTTGCCCAGGGCGGAGAGTCCGTACAGCACCCCGGTGGCGAAGGCGATGGCGTTGCCCAGCAGCGTGGTCAGGGTCAGGCTGATGATGATAGGAACGACGGCCATCCTGGGGCAGAAGCAGAGGTCAAGGGGCATGCTCACCCTGCGGCCGCCATACCATTCCCAGGCTTCCCAGGTTCACCCAGCCCCCTTCCCATGCCACCAGGTACAGGAAGGTCCCCAGAAAACAGCTGGGACAGAGATTTACAGCCGGGCTTCCTAAGTCCTCAGATACCCATGAACCTGTCTGCCAGATTCTGTGCATTTTCTGGGCAGGGGGCTCAAAGTTTTCATCAGATTTTTTTAAAGATCTGTAATCCAAAAAGGGCTGAACAACACTGAGACGGTCCAACCTCCTTACTGTTCGTAATGCAGACCAGAAAGTCTGGCGGTGTTCAGTCCCTTCCCAGCTTTGTGACTGGGCAGGTGACTCGGCCTGTCTGAGCTCAGCCTCTGTACCGCGAGGTGGGGCTCGAACCTCGGGTTTCAAGAGGGTAAGGCGTGCGTCGTAGCTAAACAGTGCCTGGAGCGGCACAGGCACTGACTACAGGCCGGCTCGTAGCGCAGCCACACCAGCCGCACGTCAGCCGAGAGATCCCGCAGATCAAAGTGCCTCGGCCGCGTTCCCGCAGGCCAGGCTCTCTTCTCCGCCTGGTCTCAACTACAGCTTGGCGCCACCTGGCGGCAGGTGTCCACTCGGGCCGAAGTATCCATGGGCTGACCCTTGATGGCAGACCAGTGGCAGCGACTGGGAGGCACTAGGCCAGGAAAACACCGAAAACATTAAGTACTTGAGGACCAGCAGTCTACCCTGCCACGTCCGGGACGAGGCTGCCCTTGTTCCCACGCGCGCCCACAGGCCTCCCCCTCCCACACGCCCGTACAGAGAAGATGAGACAGTAGCCTGCAGCCACCAGGCTGCACAGCGGGAGGAGAATGGGGCCTGACCGACTGGATTCTACCAGGATTCCCGCCTGGCTGGACATGTGATCGGGAGATCTTACTATACAGCTGACCCTTGAACAGCACAGGTTTGAACTGCGCAGGTACACATATACGTGGATTTTATTTCAATAAATACGTACAGAGTGGTAAACGTATTGACGTTTTATTTTCTTCCTTCTGATTTTAATGCGTTTCTTTTCTCTAGTTTACTTTATTGTAAGAATACAGTATATAATACCTATAACATACAAAATATGAGTTAATTAACACTTTATGTTATCAGTAAGGCTTCCTTCTGGTCAATAGCAGGCTATTAATAGTTCATTTTGGAAGGAGTCAAAAGTTATACGTGAGTTTTTGACTGCATGGGGGTCAGCACCCCTAACTCCTGTGTTCAAGGGCCAACTGTACTTATAAAATTTCTAAGTGATAAAAGAATAATAGAAATTACAAAAAAAAAAAAAAAGACCACGGGGGGGGGAAATCTGTTAAAATAAAACTGAAGGCCAACAACAGACTTGAAAAATGTTTGCAGAAAATCCAACAAAGGATTAATTAAGAAGTCTTTAATACAGACACACAGAACTAAGTGAAATACTAAGATTCCAGTAAGTAAAGAGTAAACTGCACCATTTTCAAACAAAGAACATGCTATCACTTGAAAACACGGGGAAACGTTTCTCCCCTTAGATAACAGACAGAAATGCGGAAATGGTGCAAGGCGCTGGGGGTGGACAGGAGGAATCAGATAAATTTCCTCTTTGCAAAGTAATCTGGTCACCCGCTGAAATCTTGATCGCACCCTGTGACCAGTAACTGTGCACCGACACCGGCCTAAGGAAATCATCACAAACAGAGTTTTCGTGGCGAAGTCTGGCACAGCTGGAGAGCCTAGCACAGCTGGGTTTAGACCACGGCCTACAAACGCAGAATGCATCTCCAGTCGAAGAAAGGTTCCTATCAGTAAACACGATCTTATGAAGTCTTGGTGGTAATACTGAGAGTGTTCATGATCATGATATTTAATTTAAAAAGGCAGAATATAAATTTACTCATAACTTCGATAACTTTGTAAGAAACAAGCTGAAGAAAATGCCGGAAGACACGGAAAGACACACATCAAAATGTTACAAGGAGGGGGACTTTGGGCAAGTAAGCTAGGGAAAAGAAACGTATTAAAATCAGAAGGAAGAAAATAAACAATTCTCTATTTTCCAAATTCTTTTTCATGGATATATATATTACTGCTGACGTTAAAAAAAACAGAGATCAGGGCCAAGGACAAGGGATGCACAGCGGTCTGCGGTCCCGTGGGGTAGATTCAGGGCAAAGGGCTCTAGAGCCCAACATGCATCTGAGCTCCGTCCAGAGTGCTGGGCCTCCGGAGGGGACAGCCTTGGAAATAAGAGCCTCCCATTCGCCTCTAGAGAGAATCTAGGTAATGACAACTTTTGCAGCTGCTGCTGAGCGCATCCAGGCACCAGCACTGTTCTAGAAGCGTCTGCATTAACACACCCTGAAGCTCTGCTGCTGTGTCGTGACTCGGACACGGGGGGAGCCCATCGGGGGCGGCACTGTGCTGCAGCGTGCTTCCCCCTTCGAGTCAGGACCTCCGGCTGGGCCACACTCTAGAAGCTGTGCAGACACTCGCCTCACGAGTGTCCCAGAATGTTTAACGGTCCCGACTGATGGGCCAGAATCCAGGTGAGCCCGCTTTTCTCCGCTACACACGATGCTGTGAGGCACGCGGCTCATGTCTGAACCATGAACGGCCGAGCGGCGGGTCCCACCTTGGAGTAGCCACCATGGTGCACGCAAGTATCCCCCTCGACCCCTGGCCAGCGCCACCACCGCCCTTCAGGTCAGAGCAGGCAGCGTTTGGACACCACGCCGGGGCCCTGGCCGCAGCCCCTCACCCGCAGTAGAAGACAGCCTTCTGCCAGGAGCGCAGCCGGTCCACCTTCGCTGCCACCGTGTTGGCGAACTCGATGAACGGGCAGCAGAAGGGCGCTTCGCAGAGCAGCAGGACAAAGGCGTTGGTGCTGGAAGGCAAGCGAGAGGGCAGCGCGGGCTGATGCCTGGGCCCTGCCACACCCCACCGCTCCCCGCTGCCCCCGTGCCTCCCCAGCCGAACTGAACGCTATGGAGGGGAGAACCGGGTCTCGCCCTCCTCCCTCCCGTGTCTGCAGGAGGACAGACCCCCCTGCTGCACTGCCGTAAGCCCCAGCCAGCTCCTCCTCTCGGGGCAGCTGTGCTCTGGGCGGCGCAGCTGGGAGAACCGGGTCTCGCCCTCCTCCCTCCCGTGTCTGCAGGAGGACAGACCCCCCTGCTGCACTGCCGTAAGCCCCAGCCAGCTCCTCCTCTCGGGGCAGCTGTGCTCTGGGCGGCGCAGCTGGGAGAGCTGTGCCCAGGCGCATGGCCCGGGGGCAGGACAGCAGGTCAGTCTGGCCACAAACGGGCAGAGGGCCGACACAGCCCCACCTCGGGAAGCCCGCGCTTGGCGGAGGGAGCTCAGCAAGCCCTCTGTGCAGCCCGTGTCGGGCTGGGGCAGCTGCGCCTTGGAACAGGGTGTCTGCTTCAGTCTTCGGGTTCTCTGTGGCTGTACCACAGAGCCTGGGCCCTTCCATCCACCTCCAGGCCTAGGGGAAAGTTCCCTGATTATCCTCATTTGACAGAAACACAGGCTCAGGGCACCCCAAAAGCCCACCCATGCCCCCCAGAGCAGGAACTCTCTGCACAACTAATGCTGCCCTCACCCCCAACCTCCCCCATAGGCCAGGCCTCCCAACCTGACCCTCACTCGTGCTTGGCCAACCCCTTCTCTTCCACGGGCCCAGTGCCTCTCCCGTCAGTCCTCCGTCCTTACGGCCTCTGGCAGCACAGGTCTCCACACCCACCAAGCAAGCCCCAGGCCCAGCACTGGCCCGATTCCCCGAGGGCAGGGCCATACCTTGTCCCTCTGTGCTCCTCCCAGACCAAGCGGCACACGGGCAGGGACCACACTAGGTGCGGGCACCTCTCCTGTGCCCGGGGTGTCGGGCGCTGGAGCTGTGCCGACCAGTTCTCACCCCTCCCTGCCCTCTGAATGGGATAGAGCTGTCCTGGCAGGACGTAGGCAAGGAACTCATCTTGGGCGTTCTAATGCCCAAGCCCACACCAACTCTGATCTGCTCCACCTGGGCCAGAGCGGCTCGCCCACCTCCCGGCGGGATCTCCCGAGCCCAGCACCTGGCTGCAACTGTCGGAAACCATCCTTCCAATGCAGGGGTCGGCGGGCCCTGACGGCCCGGGGTGCCCAGAGGCCCACCATGGCAGTAGACCTGGTGCCCGCAGAGTCTGCCTCTACAGACGCTCCGCAGAGGTTTGTGGCCTGGGCCCTACAGCAGATGAAGGCCTGGGTGGGCGTTCCCCGGCCCTGGCCCTAATGAGGATCAGGAACACTGAACATGGTGGGCATGAAGGAAGTGAAGATTTGCACGGTGGCCAGAAGTCCACGTGCCCCCGAGCCCCCAGCAGGACACACGTGGTCACTCACATCATCCACACGCCAGCCGCGATGTTCACAGGGTGGATGGTTATGCAGCTGAAGAGGCCGGAGATGGCGCAAGCTGGGAAGCAAAAGACACGGGCAGGAGTTAGCAGAGAGGAAGGGCCAGAGTCTGCTGGGAGGGCCACCTGGGGAGACGGCCTGTGACATCATGAGAACACCTCCGACACCCCGTGCTTGGGTCCTCTCACAGCACCCAGAAGTCTCCTCCCTGCCATCTGAGACAAGCGAGGCCAACATGCCGGCTCCACGTCACGGGGGTGCAGGCTCAGCCGTGGAGCCGCCTGCCAGGCCCCACAGCGAGGCCTCAGCGTGGCGAGGCTGCGGGCATCTCGCCCTCTTCGTGCCCCGGAACCCCGACTGCACCACTACCACCTCACGAGGCGGTGCCGGTCAAAGAGAAGTCTCTCCAGGCGGGTGTCCCTGGTCACAGGGCTGGCCGCACGAGACTGACTCGGGAATGCGGCTTGGGTTTTGGTTGTGACGAAATCAGGGCAGGCAGACCTGGGTCACAACTCCAGCTGTGACTTACCAGCCGAGTGACCTTGGCTGGGTGTATTCTCCTCACCTTTTCGGCCTGCACACAGGCAAGTCCCCCAGGCCAGCCCACCCACCCGAGACAGCAAGGGGCCACAACAGGGAGGGGTATATCCTCTTCTACCTCTGAAAGTGGCTTCCCTGATGCCCCAAAGGTGGAGCTTCGCCCGCCCCTCCCAACTGAGTGAGGGCCCGCCACACCCGCCTCCCTCCTCTCCCCACAGCGTGCAGCCCGGCTTCACCCAGAACGCTGGAGCCTGCCAGGCAGGCCTGGGGACCCAGCCGGCACAGCCCGCAAGGCCGCGGAGGCGCCAGCAGCCGCCAGCTCATTAAAGCTGCATAGGTCCTGTGCACCTGAGCCCTGCGCGCCTGGGATTCTGCTGCTTCCTGGGTAACCCGATGCAGGCCGCAGGCGGTGCGGGAAGAACCCGGGAAGTGACCCCGAACTGCAGAGGCTGCCCTCCCGTGCCCCCGAAGACCTCCTACACGGCAGACTGCTTTCTGCCCACTGGAAAGGCAGCGCTGGGCCTGGGCCTGTCACATACACCTTCAGGCAGCCAGCCTTTGCCTCCAGTGCCGCCCGACCCCCAGCCGACCGTGCGACCCACAGCCGACCTACGGGAGGACCAGGTTTCAACCCAGCCAGGAGTCCCTCAACGCTCAAGGCTGGAGGATGTGCCCTCAGAGCCTGCAACACTCAAGCTACGTGCATTGCCTCCAGGGAATGGTTGAGACCCAGAGTAATGGGTAGGGTTGCAGAGGAGGGTGACCCTATCCCCAAGGTCCAGCCAGAAGCACAACCCCTATGTCACCTCTAAAACTCCCGTATGCTTTGCATTTTACTTAGTGATAGACTACAGGTGACCCTTGAACAACGCAGGAGTTAGATGAGCCGACTCCCACACGATCGAAAATCCACATATAACTTTTGACTCCCCAAAGACTCTACTGTCGTCCCTCAGTGGGACTGGTTAAATGATACCAAAATCCACAGATGCTCAAGTCCCTTACATAAAATAGCATGGTTGACCATGGCCACTTTGGCTCAGCAGTTAGAGCACTGGCCCTTGGACCAAAGAGTCTCAGGTTCCATTCCTGGTGAAAGGCATATAACTCGGTTGCAGGTTTAATCCCTGACCCCCCCCCCCCCACGTCGGAGTCAACCAATCAATGTGTCTCTTTCACATCGATGTTTCCCTCTCTCTACCTCCCTCTCTCCCACTCTATCTAAAAATCAATGGAAAAATATCCCTGGGTGAGGATTAAAAAATAAAAATTAATTAATTAGCCCTGGCCGGTTTGGCTCAGCGGTTAGAGCGTCAACCTGCGGTCCCAAGAAACCCGGGTTTGGTTCCCGCTAAGGGCGCGCACCTCAGTTGCAGTTTGTCCCCGGCCCTGGTTGGTCGCGCGGGTGGCAGCCACTTGATGTGTCCCTTTCACGTCGATGTTTCTCTCTCTCTCTCTCTCTCTCTCCCCCTCCCACTCTACCTGAACAAAAAATGGAGAAATGTCCTCGGGTGAGGAGAAAAAATAATTAATTAATTACTTAATTAATTAAATTTAATAGTGTGCTCCACCCTCCACCATGGATCGAAAATACTGTTTTCAACCTGTGGTTGGCTGAATCCACAGATGCAGAACCCAGGGATATAGAGGGCCAACGGTACATTTACTGAAAAAAATCCATGTCTAAGTGGACTCATGCAGTTCAGACCCGTGCTGTTTAAAAGTCGACTGCATTTGGTGCTCATGTGATAATCACCTCCCCCCAAGCCTGCAGGTGAGATACATTTCAGGGTGATGCCACAGGTTTCTGCTGCAGCTCCATTTGTTGCCCCCACACCATGGACTCCTGGGGTGGCCCAGGTACCCCCTGTGAGGAGCACAGAACCGGACGGGATGCCCGCGTTACCCAGGGAGGCAGCAGGATGAGGGCCGACAGGCCAGTCTGGACCTTGCTTTCTCCCTTGCTGGCCACTGTCGCTCCTCACAGCACCCGGCTCTCATCTGCCAGGGGAACAGCTCATCAAACTTGAGCGGATCCTACCCAAGGCCTGACCTCAAGCCCACCAGTCTCCTCAAAGTCGAAAGCATGCTGGACAGCAGGGACAGGGGCTCGGGGGCCTCTTGTGATCTGGGGGGCCTGTCCCACCGCGGCCTCTGGTCAAGGGCCTGGCCCCAGGCAGCGCAGTCCTAACCCTGCACTCTCGAACCCCCTGCGCCCACCCAGCTGGGAGGGCTGTGGGACAGGAAGGTGATGCTGAAGACATGTCCCTTCTGGCAGATCCGACCAGGGCTGGCCCGGCCGGACCCCAGCCCTGCGGGCCAGGCAGGCCCTGTTCAGATCCTGGGGGGCTTCCTGAAAGCTCCCGTTCTAAGACCTCCCACCCCCGTCCTACGCGGTGTTGAGGCAGCAGGAAGGAGAGAGCAGACCACCCAATGGACTTCTGTTTGCCTTTGGAAGGCCGGCCACACGATGGTGACCTCGGACCCCGGCCTAAGGTCCGTTTCCGGCCTAAGGTGACCACTTCTGCAGCAGACTGCCTTCCTATTAGGCCTTCTGGGGGCTTGCGCTCAATCGGCCTGACTTCCCCGAACCTGAGGCCGGGGTGTGTCCGGGGGACAGGGGGGAGGTGAAGGGTGCGGAGCCCGAACTGACAGCAGAGGGACGCACTGCCTCCAGGTGCAGCCCCAGGGGGGAGGCCGCCTCCCTCGGGAACGCCCGTCCTCTCGCACCCTGGCCCTCAGGGAACACCCCGCCACGGACAAACAACCTTCGGCCAAAGGCCAGGCGGAGCCCGCGCTCTGCAAGCAGCCTCGGGGCACCGTCGCACGGCCCGGTGGCGCCGCACTGTCCCGCGCCCGGAGCGGCGCAGAGGGGCCCGGGCCGCGTCGAGTCCGGCGCTGCCCGCGGGAGCTCAGTTCCCTCCGGAACGTCCCCGCAGCAGCCAGCCCAGCCCGGAGCCCCGGAGCCCCGGAGCCCCGGAGCCCCGGAGCCCCGGCCGCCGGCCGGTAACCATAGCAACCGCACGGGCGCCGCTCCCGCCGCCCCGCCCTTGCCCCCGCCCCGCGCGTCCCCGGTAGACCCCCGGCCTGAGGGCCCTTTCCGCGGAGATGCGCATGCGCAGTGGGCTGCGGGGCCGCCCCTCGCCCGGACTGGGTACTCACAGATGGCCCCCAGTACCCCCGACAGGCGACACAGCCAGCGGTACCACCATGTCATGCCCTCCTCCTGCGCGGGCGGCGCGGAGCTGACGGACCCCGCTGCCGCCCCGCCCGAGCTGCTCATGGTGCCGCTATCCGGCGCAGCCCACCGCCCTCACAAAGGGCTCCCGAGCCGGCCGCGTCGGCCAGCGCGCTGCCTTGTGGGAAGGTGGCTCCTCATTAGCATAGGGGGGAGGGAGCCTAGCGAGGTGCTCGTGCTCATTAGCATAGGGGCGGGGCCCGCAGGGCCGCGGCGAGTAGCGGCCGTTGAGCTCGTGCTTATTAGCATAGGGGCGGAGTTCCGGGGCAGCGGGGAGGTGAGCCGGTGGGGTCGTGATTGGGGCGGGGCTCGCAGGGCCGCGGCGGGCAGCGCCGGAGGGGCTCGTGCTTATTAGCACAGGGGGCTGGCTTTGGTGGCACAGGACTCCCAAGGGGACAAGTCCGCCCAATGGGACTAGCACAGGGGCAGGACTTCGCAGAGAATTAACAGGTTTGCGGGTAAAAGCGCTCGCCCAGTCGAGACTCCACACTCCGTCTCCTCTCTGCCCCGCCGTCGCAAGAAGACCCTTAGAAGTGGCGAGAGGTTTGGCCAGGTCAGGGGCGGGTCTGGGGCTTCCCCCCCGTGCTGTGACGTGGGTTTTCAAGCCAGATTTGGACAGGTTACGTGAAGAAAACGCAAGTCACCCGCACTTTCCGTTTATTGATACCCGAAGGGCCGGGGCTGCCTTTCCAGAGAGTCCCCCTTCCAACCCTGAACGTTCTGCACTTGGAGGAGGCGCTAAAGGTGATACTGAAGATGGGAGGGAATTCAAATTGGAAAGCGCTCCGGAGCTGGCCAGGCACCTAACAGGTGCTCATAAATGTCAGCTTCCCTCCGTTCCCTTGCAGAACTAGAGGGAGGCACCAGCACCCCACCGCGCCCACGGGTCAAGTGAGGGGTGTGCTTGGAGGGGAAGCTAGGGCAGGCCACTGCGGGGCTCCTGAGCCCCCGAGTGGAGTGTCCAGTACTGGCCCCGCAGGCGGGCATGTGTTTCCAGGAAGCCCTGGCTAAACTCCATCTCAGCCTGGCTGCCCTCGGACTCCCAGTAGAGCGATTGCTGCCCGCGGAATGTCATCGTTTTCAGACTGTGGATGTCCCGGATCTGGGAGAAAAGGGGCAGCCCCGAAGGACAAGCCACAAAGGAGAATTAGCTAGCATTCGTGGAGCCCTTAATAAACAAGGCATCATGCACTCAGGGTCAACTTTTAACCTTCACACAACAGCCCTATCAAGAAGACACTATTATCCTACCAGGAAACTGAGGCTCAGGAAACGTGTACCTCTGCCCCAAAGACAAACAGCTAGGGACACAAGCTGGGACTTGAGCCCAAGTCTGTTCTATTCCAGAAGTCAGGCTGCCTCACCCAGAGGAGCCGATACCTTGCAGAGGACAATTGTCCCAGAACACTCGCAACCTCGTGGGGGCGGGGTGGGCTCCCTCTTCTGGCAAAGTGGTATCAGGCTCTGAAGTTGTGCTTCAGTCCTGGACTAACTGGCTGTCTACCTCAGAAACGGTCTCTTCTCGCTCCCTTTGGTAGGGAGCACAGGAAATATTTGTTGGTGAATAAGTACAGGAAGCTCTTTCCCCCCATTCTTTCACTAATTTTGAAGTTTGGGATCTGAAGTAAACTCAGGGGGTCCTCCAGCCCAGCACCCCAGTCCTTGTCCCCAGGGACAGCTGTCCAGAATGACTGCAAAAGACAGCAGAAGTCAGCCCATTCCTGTCACCATCATGGCAGCCTCACCAAGATGTAGCTGGCGTCAGTTCCAGTACCCATGTTGGTGGTCAGGGCGTGGATGGCAATTCGGGCCCACGGGGCCACGTCGATGAAGATGCGGCAGCCCCCCACGTTTCTCCCATCTGAACTCATCACCGGACTCACAATTTCACCCCGGGGTCCAAAGAGCTGCATGTCACATTCTGCAGGGTAAAGCAGGTGGATGGACTGGATATGGGCCATCTCAAGGACACTGGAGTCCCCAAAAGACCACTACTGCCAGAGGCCAGGGCAGTTCACAGTGGAGAGAAGTGAGGGGGGCAGTATGGCTCTGTGGTCAAGATCAGGACTCCCACGCAGAAGCCCCCACTGAACCCCACCTCCACACTCCCGCTGTGTGGCCCTAGGCAAAGGCTTTCTGTGCTTCAATCCCTCCTCTTTAAAGTAAAGGTGACAATAGCAAACACTGGGCACGGTAGTTTTTAGGACTCAGCAAAGTCACACATGCAGAAGTGCCTAACACTGAGCCTGGCGCAAGGACAAGCTCCAGCCCACGGCAGCCCCTCCTGCCTGCACCTCCTGGGCCTCCCTGGGCAGGCAGCTGCGTGGGGAGGCTGGGAGTGAGTGACGAGAAGGGGGGCAGGCAGGCAGCCCCTGAGCCACTTGGCGCCTGGCTACACACAGAGGGGCAGGAGAGGCATCCTCAAGTCTCTCTGAAGGAAGAAGAGTCCCACTTCTCACCCGGGGGGAGGCACCCAGAAACCTCTGGGACAGGCTGGGGAAGCCTGGGCTGTGGGGAGAGGCAAGCCCTGAGGCGATCTGGAGAGCTATCTGAGGGCACTGATGGGGCCGTGGGCAGAGCAGGTGTCCCTGGGATGCCACCCTCTGCATGAGGGGTACATGTGCACTCGTGTGTGCAAGCGTGCACACACCCCACTCTGCAGGGCATGAGACAAGGAGACTGTGCACAGGAACAGGGCTGGGGGGCAGTGGCTCACACAAGGGTTCTAAAGGGTCTTGCAGGACCTGAGTGCCAGGGCACAGGGCTGTGGTGGCCTGAGAGATGGGGTGAGGATGTGGCCAGAGCCCCATTTGCCCATCTTGCTGAAGGGTCCCAGAGAGGAAGGGGCTCAGCACACATCCTGAGACCTCACACTGACCACTCATGCAGACTGACACTGGCCACCTGTCTGCCTTGCCCACCGCCCCGTTGGCAGCAGCACCGTCCAGCCAGCCGCGGGGGCAGGGGCGGCTCCCAGCCTCGCCCACCTCTGTGGAAGGTCCCTGGGGCAGGTCGGCTGGAGTACCGCAGCACCACTCCGCCTTGTGGCCGCACGCGGCGCTGCCGCACCACCAGGGTGTTGGCTCTGGAACTGAAAGTCATGCCGGACAGCTTCCTGCACGTCTTCCTCCACATGAGCCTGCCCCAAAGCAGCAACATCTCCCCTAGGAAGTGGCAGCGCAGTGAGGGGCCAGCACCCTCAGTCCACGTCGGCAGCAGTGTCCCTGGGGGGTTCGGTCCCGACCCTCCCCCTCACTGGCAGGTGCTCACAGGACCCTACATACCGGCGCTGCAGTTGAGGGAGCTCTCGAGGACTTGGAGGGTCACCACCTCACCCAGGGGCCGCCCGATGGCCACTGCACAGTCAGCCTGCCCGGGGCCTCGCAAGTCAAGGGCTCCTGTTGGCTCAAGGTGCTGCCAGCCACAAGGACCTGGTCGGGGGCAGGAGCGCAGGTAAGCAGAGCTTCCGGGTGGGGCATTCCCAGCAGGCAGGGCTGGGCTTTCCATGCTGCGGACAGAGGCTGGGGGATGGGAAGGGGGGGCGGGGCTGCCAGAAGCCTTCTTAGGTCAGGGGAGGGCTGTACAGGTCGGATGTCACCATCCAGGGCACAGAGCCATTTCTGGAAGCTCTGCGAGAAGGAGGCTGTGTATTAAGTGGCGCCTGGCCTTGGGTCACAGACCTGGGTCTGGCTCGGACACCTTCAGGGCACCTTCCCTTGCCGATGATAAAAGTGAGCTTGCCTTTGGCCAGCGAGCAAGGACCACCGTGAGCCAGCTCCCCTGCCCATCCCGTCAGCCCAGCTGCACACATCCCAGGGACTCAAGTGCTGTGGCCACAGGACAGTGCTCTGGACATTCCCACGAGGGACTCGTCCCAGGCCTCCCGGGTACAGATGCCTCTGCCACCCCTCCTGCAGCAGGTCAGCTGCCCAGATAAGGGAGGAACATACTGGTCTCCACAGGGCTTTCCTGGGCCACCAGGAGCGGCCCCTGAGTCCGGGGAGCTGGGGAGAGGAGGCGGGCCCAGGGCCGGGGCCACTCTGGGGAAGCAGTGGCAGGGCCAGCTGTGGTCTGTCCTGGAGCAGTGGCTTCCTCACGGGGCACCAGGCTGGGTGTCCCCTGCCCTGCACAGGGCCCGGCCCAGCAGCCCCGCACCGTCACGGGCTTGGGCAGGTGCTGGCAGAAGTCAGCTGGCACGGGCCCCTGGGCCTGGGGTCCCAGGCAGGTGTCATGCCGGCGCTGGACGCCATCCCCACAGGAGACGGAGCACTGCCAGGAAAGAGGGAGAGGAGCTGGGCTGACCCTTCCTGAGGTGACAAGGACCGGTGACCAGGACCGGTGACCAGGGATGATCTGATACACTCTCTGCACAACACTGGAGGCAGGTACCTGTCTCCGTTTTACATGGAGGAGACAGATTCGGAGAGGTCATCTCGCTTGGGTCTCACAGGGAAGAGGAGCAGGGACTCAAGCCGAGATTTCTGTCTGTCACCCTGGAGGCCTCTTGGCCTCTCCAAACCCTAGAGTGGGAACCAGGCTCACGGCCGCCCCCTGTCTGCCAGTCCCTGCAGCCCGAGCGCCCTGCCCTCCCGCCCTCCCGCCCTCCCGCCCTCCCGCCGTCCACTCCCCGGGCCCAGGCGCTCCTGGCAGTCTGGCCATTTGCTTCGCCTCTTCCCTCACCGTGAGCGAGCCTGAGGACCCAACCCTACTGACCATGGCCTTCCCGGCGCCTCGTGGGGAGCTGGGCCGCGGGCACTTGCTTATCTGTGTGGAACTGAGTTGTCTGCCCTGCACCTTCCCAAGTCTCCAGACCTGGGAGCCTCTCGAGGCCCGGCTGCCCTCCATGTCTCTAGGCCTTGCTGTCCCCCATCCCTGGGTACCCCGACTGCCCTTTCCCAACAGACCTGGCTCTCCACTCCTCTCGGGGAGTCACAGTGCTCGGCGCCCCCCAGGGTGGCTGTGTGCCAGGACCCTCCGCGGACGCAGGCCCAGCCCCAGCTGCAGCGCTCACCTGCGTCCAGGCGCTGACGTGCCACCGGTGGGCACAGTCAGCAGCAACGCAGGGGATGCTGGTCCGCGGCCACACCAGGGCTGCACAGGCTGCTCCGTCCACCTCCACGTCCTGGCCTTGGTCCAGCTGCACGCAGGCTACGGAGCGCGTGGCGGTGCCGAGGCCACAGCTGGCTGAGCACGGGCCAAGGGACGTGACTTTCCACCTGCAGGAAGAGCAGACCCCAGAGAAAGCTGGGCCCCCCCAGGATGGCACTGCCCCCCTGGGCCCCTGGGCAGCCAGGGCCGGTTCCAGGGCCTCTGAGATCCGAAGTGCGGCCCTGAAGCCTCCTGGCCAGGCCCAGGCTCCCTGACATGGGAGAGATTCTGCAGGAAAGACGCCTCTTTCCCCTTAACCAGGTGCCCTCTTCCGTCCCCATCATCACAGGGCCCCCCTTGATCCCCACAGAGCTGCTTGCTGGTCCAAGTGCTGGGATGGGGAACAATGCCCCGGCGAAAGGGAAGACACCTCGAGGGGTCAGCCCTGCCCACGTTCTTCTGTAATCCGTCAACAAGCGAGAAGGCTGACCTTTGTCGGAGCCCGGACTAAACTCGGGCAGCCTGGGGTCCTAACCGCGACACTCTGCCGCGCGCCGCCCTGTGATGCCGCCTCCCCAACACGTGGGGGCGCTGTTCTAGATGCTGGGGAGACACTGCCGCCCGCCGCCCTGTGATGCCGCCTCCCCAACACGTGGGGGCGCTGTTCTAGATGCTGGGGAGACACTGCTGCCCGCCGCCCTGTGATGCCGCCTCCCCAACACGTGTGGGCGCTGTTGTAGATGCTGGGGAGACACCCCGCCACCCTCTGCCCTGTGATGCCGCCTCCCCAACATGTGGGGGCGCTGCGGAGACAGCAGTGACCGGACCCAGGGCCTCTTGGAGCCTGTGTGCTGCTCCCCCGGGCACCACTGGCATTTGGGGCTGCTGGCTCGGTCTTGGGAGCATCTGTGCGGCGCGGGGCGTTTAGCAGCACCCAGCCCACACCCACACCCACACCCACTAGATGCTAGTAGCACCCCCTGCCCCGACATCGCCACCTGTCCCGAGAGGCAGAAGCGCCCTGGTTGGAAAACCTGCCATAGAAGGGAGAGACAATAAACAGAGAAAGAAGTGTCAGGTGGCGGAGATGATTAAGCGGGGCCGAGGGTCACGGATGAGGTACGTGTGCCATTCTGCACCCGTGGTCAGGGAGGGCCCCCGCCTCCTGATGGGTGTGCGGAGCCGAGCCTGGGTGAAGGAACAGCCTTGAGTCAGACATCCCTGGCATGTTCCAGGACATCAAGGAGGTCAGAGTGGCTACAGCGACATCTGAGGGCAGCCCGACCTCACGTGTGTATGAAATTCCCAAATCTAAGGGGTGACTTGGAAAATAAATGGGGAGCGAGGCTGATGGACGTGGGCACAAGTGATGCAGGGATGGCAGATGGGTCACAGAGCTGCCAATCTAGGACAACTTGACATGGGATGGGAATGGGGGCACCAACAGAGCGTGGCAGAGCGCCCCCACATGGATCCCTGAAGACACCAGACCTGAGGCATGATAAGGGAGCCACCGGGGGAGACCCAGCGAGCACTGCCAATGAGTGGTTTGGAAAATAGAGCCTGCTCCCCACTTTGCAACATACCCCAATACACCACAGATGAGGTCAAGGGTTTACATGTAAATGAATCTCATCCGTAAGGTGTATTTTTCTTTAAAAACAAGAGACAGGCCCTGGCCAATTTGGCTCAGCGGTTAGAGCATCGGCCCTTGGACCAAAGAGTCACGGGTTCAATTCCAGTCAAGGGCACATACCTCGGTTGCGGTTCACCCCCGGCCCTGGTTGGGGTGATGCAGGAGGTAACCAGTCGATGTGTCTCTCTCACATCGATGTCTCTCTCTCTCTCTCCCTCCCACTCTATCTGAAGATAAATAGAAAAATATCCTCTGGTGAGGATGAAAAAAAGAAACAAGAGACAGATGGGAGGGAAACATGGCAATATGGTAACATCTATTACATCAGGTGAGGGGCACAGTATCGGTTACCTTCTTTTCTAGATGTTTCTGTATGATATGGAAAAGCATTCCATTACTAAAAATGCAAAAATACCATGAAGAGCCCTGGCCAGTTTGGCTCAGGGTTAGAGCGTTGGCCTGCAGACCGAAGGGTCTCAGGTTCGATTTCCAGTCAAGGGCACGTACCTGGGTTGCAGGTTCGATCCCTGGCCCTGGTTGGGGTTGTGGGGGAGGCAACCGATCAATGTCTCTTTCTCACATCAATGTTTCTCTCTCTCCCTTCCTCCCTCCCTCCCTCCCTTTCACTCTACCTAAAAATCAATGGAAAAAATACCCTCTGGTGAGGGTTAGAAAACTTACGCTGAAGAAACCACAGAAGAGCAGTGAGTGAGGCGGGGAATGTTCGCTCTTCCCCATTGGGCTCCAGCCTGGTCTCCAAGCCCCACTGGCCGGATAACTCTTCTGCCCTGTGTGGGCTCTGGCGGTGCTGGGCCCCCCCGCTGGGACCACCCTCACGCTCGCTCAGTGCCACCTCCTCCACTCGAAGTGCCACCCCCAGCACTACCCACCCCCCACCCCCGTTAGAACCAACGGCGCTGTGCCACCGAGGCACCCTTCAGTCCCCCAGCACCTGGCCTGGCGTCTGCACACGCCAGCAGCTCAGGCCTCCTGCTGACCTGGGTGGGCAGGGCTCCGGGCTGCAAGCCTCCTGCGGCTCTGGGTGAGGCAGCCCCTGGCACTGGGCATCTGGCAGGATCTCCTCATCCTTGTCCTGGCCGTGGTCCCGAGCACAGTACAGGATCCTCTGCACGACCCCTCCCCCACAGCTCACGCTGCAGGCGGCCAGCCTGAACCGCCACCTGGGGCAAACCAGAGTCAGGGGAGGACCCAGAGAAGCCAGGAGTTCCCCTCCTTTCCCCACACCAGGCAGGGCCTGGAGAGGCCTCCCTCTGGGGGTCCCCCGTACATCTCCCCGGAGAGGCTTGGCACAGTGGACAGAGAACATTCAGAAGAACCACTTTACAGGAAGGGAAGAGGAGAGCAAAAACAGGTGTGTCCAAAAGGCAGTGGGGGAGGGCGAAGGCACCCCGGGGTCCTGCTGAGATGTCTGTTTCCCATGGGAGTCCCAGCCCACCCCCACCCCCACCCCCGGACCTGCTTCCCGCTGCCTTGGCCACCTTGCACCAACCACCACGCATCATGCTCGGTATCTCCCATCGGCCCTAGCGTTCCTCGCCCCCAGGCCCCAGCGTCTGCACCAGGAAGGCAGGGGTACTGGTCTGCCCTGTTCACTGCTGTGATCCCTACTCCGGAACAGTGCCTGGCACAGCAGGTGCTCAGTAAAGAGCAGGCAATGCCCGGCCCGTGCGGCTCAGTGGATTGAGCATCGCCTCGTGGTCTGAGAGGTCCCGGTTCAATTCCCGGTCAGGGCACATGCCGGGGTTTCAGGCTCGATCCCCAGTGGGAGGCGTGCAGGAGGCAGCCGATCAATGTCTCTCTCTCATATCAATGTTTCTCTCTCTCTCTCTCCCCCTTCCTCTCTCTCTAAAAAATCAATAATTTAAAAAACCATACCAAAAAGCTTAAAAAAAGCAAGCAGGCGATGATGGCATGAACCATCCGCCATGGGCACCCACAGCAACCTGGGCCCCGTGCATAGCTGACACGCAGGCCTGTGGAACCGCCTGCCTCCTTGGGAAGGGGCCCACCTGGCGGGGCAGGGCTCCGGGCTGCAGTCCTCGAGGGGGCCGGGCCGGGGCACTGGCCAGCACCTGGACTGAGGCAGGGGGATGGAGCGTCCACGGTCCAACCTCACACAGCGCACGGCCAGGGGCACCTGCCCCCCTCCGCAGGTCACTGGGCACGGGGCCAAGGCGCGGGTCTCCCACCTGCGGGGAGGAGGGGTCAGTGCTCGCTAGAGGCCACGCCCCAGGGTAAGACTGCTCACTTCACAGGGGACCCAGGCCGCTGTCCCCTGCACAGTCTCCTTCCCGCTCACCAAGCTGGGCACAGGGCAGCCTGGCAGACCTCCTGCCGGCTCCGCGGCTTGCTTGACGGGTCACACAGCTCTTCCTGGACAGGTGTCCTGAGGGCAGAGTCCACGCACACAAAACGCAGCTCCACCTGGCCTGCAGGGAGGAAGCAGGGATGCGGTGCCCAAGGGGAGGGCTCAGCCAGGACCACAGGTGCCCAGCTCTCTGGAGAGCTCGTGGCTCTGCCACTTACCAGCTGTGTGACCTTAGACAAATGACCTAACCTCGCTGAGCCTCGGGGTTTCATGTACTGAGCCTAACTTGCAGGGACATGTACAGAGATTTGAAAGAGGAGATGTGAAGTGCCTGGCACACGGTAAGTGCTCAACAGGGGGCGCTGCTACTGGTCACCGAGAGGCGCTGTGAGGACTGCTGTATGAACCCTCTTCCTGTGTCCGTCACGAACAGGTTACGACTATCCTCAAAGATCATCTCTGGCCCGGCCGGTGTGGCTCAGTGGATGGAGCGTCGCCCCAGGGACTGAGAGGTCCCAGTTCAATTCCCCATCAGGGCACGTGCCCGGGTTTCGGGCTCGATCCCCAGTGGGGGGCGTGCAGGAGGCAGTCAATCGATGTTTCTCACATCGATGTTTCTATCTCTCTCTCCCTTCCTCTAAAAAAAAATCTGTAAAGACATGTTTTAAAAGAATATGATAATCTCTGGTCTCGATTGTAAACGTGCTGAAGTCTTACTGAGCAAGTGGGGGTTTTAAGGGACCATGTTAATCTTTTTTTATTTGAGAGAGAGGAAGGGAGAGGGAGAGAGAGAGTGAAACATCGATGTGAGAGGGAAACATCGATTGGCTGCCTCCTGCACGCCCCCCACTGGGGATCGAGCCCACAACCTGGGCATGTGCCCCGACCGGGAATGGAACCAGCGACCTCCTGATGCACGGGACAACTCTCAACCACTGAGCCACACAGACCGGGCAAGAACACTGTGTATCTTAAGATTAATTTGTTTCTCTGGTGTGGCCACCAGGAACTCAGAGGTAAATTCGGGGTTCATCTCTCACGGCTTTTCTGGACCTGAGAAATCTGCTCTTGGGTGCTGGGTGTCAGGGTCCTCTCCCACCTTCTGCCAAGCACTGAACACAGCACATGGCTGCCTGCACTTCGCCCCAGGCCCCTGCCTCCAGCCATGTTCGTGTGTGGCTGGACACTGCTGTAATGCCACACTGAATGCTTGTCATTAGCAGCTGTGGGCAGGTAAGAGTTAGCGAGCGGGGGTGGTCTTGCGGGGCCTCACCTCTACCGCAGGAGACAGAGCACGGCCCCGCCAGAGGGGTCCACACAGGTGCAGCGCGAGCCCCCAGCCTGGTACTGCCCGACGGGGATGCCGCCTCCTCCCCCAGAGGCTGGGGGTCCAGCTGCAGGGGACAAGCAACCAGCTGGTGGGTCTGGGCACCCCAATTCCAGACCCCTGCACCCCACCCATCCCAATCTCTTCAGGAGAAAGAAGTGGTCACCAGCACCCCAGGGGCGGCCCCACCCTGCTGATCCTCTCCGGAGAGACTTGCCCCCCAGCCCCAGCGGACACTGTGGCCACACACCCCACCCTGGCCTTCGCACCAGCGGTCACTGCGGGGCGGGGCTGAGGGCTGGGGCTCAGGGGCTGGCCCGCTGGCCCGCAGTCCCAGCTGCGCGAGGGACAGGACTAGCAGCCTTGTCTGAAAGCAAGGGCACCCAGCCTCAAGCCCATGCGGCAGCCGGGCGGGCAGCACAGCTTGCCAGGGGGCGGTGGGCTTCCCCGTGGGCCGAGCTCTAAGTTTATCCTCAGACCAGGGTCCGGCAGACGGCTCTGCAGGACGGTCCTCTCACTCTGCCCGGAGGCCAGCGCTCAGCGGGCTCCCCATTCTCTCAGCCAGACAAGGACCCAACAGCCCGCCACCCCCGTGCCCAGGACACGCACATGGCCCCAGCCCGGAGGACATGCCACCTCCACACAGGGCTCGCGGGCAGCTGGCTTCTTGTGTGCGGAGCAGGGTCCAGCAGCCACTGGCGCCTCCGGGCCCTCTGTCCCCTGCACGCGCGTGACGTTCTGTTCGGCCGGGTCCGCTCCACAGGCCGACGGGCACGCGCCTGGCATTCCCAACCTGACGGCACAGGACAGCCATCAGCCCTGCCTCCCCATCGGGCTGTCGGTGCAGCCTGCCCTGGGCAGGGAGAATGCTCCCCAGTATCCCGGAGCCTGAAGAGGGGCCTCTCCTTGGGTGTGGACCGACTGCTGCGGGGACCGCACTCGGCCCCAGGGTGCGGTGACACGGTCACGCCACCCCGCCTTCCAGTCGAAGGTGGGCCCCCCACTACCCAGCAGGCGCCCAGAGGCGGGTGTCGGGTGCAATCTGATGACACATGTCAGGGGCAGAAAACCGCTTCATGTGCCAGCCCCCAGAGGCAGTGACTGCCCAGAACTCTGTGTTGAGAAGGATTCTGAGGCAGGGTCAGCGCTCAGTGGGAAGAGAGGTGATCACTGTGTCTGCTGTGGACGCCAGAGGGGAGTAGGAGCCCAGAGCCGCATGGGCCACCGCTGACCTAGGCCAGCCCCCTCCCCGCTGCACAGGCAACCACGCTGGGGCCCAGGGAGGGAGGGAGGGGACCTGCCCTCGCCCCCCAGCCAGTTAGCAGCAAGTCAGAAGGATAAGCCGTTGTCAGCTTGGACACCCAGGGGGCCAGAGGCACCATGAAGTGATCGCAGTGATGACAAAGTGACATTTTTTGCTTATGTCCGTGGCTTCACTTGGTCCTCACGGCCTCTCCCTGAGCAGGGACTGGAAGTTCCGGGAGGGAAACAGGGTCCAGGGTCTCCTGGACAGCAGGTCATTCTGAAGTTGGCACCCCTAACTCTGGGCCACCAGTGCCCGTGACCCAGGATGGTGGTGCCTGGCTAGAGGCCGTGGGCAAGGGGGTCATGCAGAAGGGCAGGGCTCAGGGCAGGGACAAGCCCTGGCAGGGAGAATCTGCCCCCTCCGTGCTCACCTGGGGGGGCAGGGTTGGGAATTGCATGTTTCCACCTCCGCTGGCTTCTGGGCCAGCGCCCTGCATCGGGCGGGGGGCAGCACCCTCAGGCGGTGGTCCTGGGCTTCCACGCAGCGCACCCCCCGCTCCCGCAGGCCTCCCCCGCAGGAGGCACTACACGGGCCGAAGTCTCCAGCTGCCCAGCTGAGGAAGAGAGGGACAGAGTATTGGGTCCCCCGCCAGGTCCCCAGACTGGCTCCAGGGGATGGTGGGAGGCTGGCAGATCTGTCCAGCTGGCTCGCTTCGCTGGTCTGGGCTGGGCCAGTGTCTCTTCAGGTACCTCGACACTGCACAGGGACAGCCCGCCCGCCCTCCAGCTCTCCAGGTGGCCCCAAGAGTCTGAATCTGAGGACCCCTGTATAAAAGTGCAGGCGGGTGGCCGCCCAGCCCTGCACCCAGCAGGAACAGCCTTGTCCCCAGCATTATGTTCCTACCAAGCACACCTGCCTGAGGTCGGCAACAGCCAGGTACTTTCCATTAGATGCTTTCCTCCCCAAGCCTCCCCCACCACCCTCCCGGTGACACCGAGCTCAGAGAGGCCATGTCTGCCCGCAGACAGGGCACATCAGGTGTGGGTCGGTGCCGCCTGTGTCTGCCTGAGCCTGTGTCCCCAGCTGCCCCCATTTGGGGTAATGGACAACGCCCGCCTCGCAAGGCAGTCCCCAGGCAAGAACTTGCCCAAAAGCGGCCCAGGCTGCAGGGCCCCACAGCCACGGTGACCCGCCCCGGAGCCAGAGACAGCACTCACTACGGGCGGCAGGGCCCGGGGGTGCAGGGCTCTGGCCAGGCCTCCGGCTGCTGGCTCCCTCCGCACTGGGCGGCCTCCACCCACTCGTTCCTAGCCTGGTCCAGACAGCTGTAGGTCACCCACCGCAGCCCTGGGGAGGAAGACAGAGGCTAGGCCACTGCCTGCAGGGGGCAGACCAGGCTCCCGGCAAGCCCTGGCCCGGGCCTCACCTGGCCCACAGCTCACCGAGCAGGCCCCCCGCACGGCAGCCCACGCCCGGGCCTGCCGCAGCTTCGGCCGGAAGTAGGTGAAGGTGATGTCTGGGCGGGCGGCATCGCCGTACTCCTCCCCGTAGCGCCTGTACACCTGCACGGGGCCGGCGGGCGGAGCCTTACGGGTGGGCTCCCTGAGGGTCGCTCTCACCGCCACTGCCCCCAAGCCCCCACTTTTCACTCCTCCACCCCTATATTCTTTCACTCAGCAAACAATCGCTGATGGTGACCGCACACCAGGCTCTGGGGACAGCACATCGAACAGGACACTGCCCCAGCCTCCAGGAGCTCCCAGTGGGGTGGGTGGTGACAGCTAACCCTAAGGTGCCTGGTAGGCGCAGGAGAGCAGTCTGGAAGGGTGTGACGGGCTCTAGGTTGCCCTGGGGTGGGGCAGCAGGGGGGAGCTCCTGGGGGCAGGGGGCAGAGGTGGGTGACAGGGCCTTCAGACAGGGCAGCCGGGCGAGGGCCCGGTATCAGTGTGCCTCATGCTTCTGGTTCTGAAGCAGGAGATGAGGCCCAGGGGTCGCAGGAAGGGGTGGGAACTCCTTAAACACGCTCTGACCCCGTAACAGAGGGGAGACTGAGGCACGGTGACGCACACAGCCAGCGGTGCGTCAGGGTGAGTCTGGGCAGCCCGGCCCTCTTGCCCGGGGACAGCAAAGCCTGGGAGGGGAACTCAGGTCCCAGCTCTGGCCCTCACCGTGCCTGGCCCTTTGTCCCTGACCTTCTGGGTGCCTCGCTTTCCCAGCATGCACTTTGGAGCAGTGGCCACCTTTCATGGCGCACACATGGGCACCAGGCTGCCATATGCTTGATGTACATTATTTAAAAATCTTCACAACTTTAGGATATAGGCATGCGCAGTCCCATTTTGCAGATGGGGAAACTAAGGCTCAAAAAGGTTAAGTCCATGGCCCAAGTTCCTGCAGAGCCAGGATTCGAACTCTAGTCCATCTGAGCCTACAGTCCGGGCCCTTGACCCAGGTCACCCTGCTTCCAGCTCCTCGCTGCCACGGTCCCTGTAGGGAGGCCCCACCCCACGGGCCTCTAATCCAGGCCCTGGCCCAGCCAGCCTCCCTCCCCGTCGCTCCCAACACTCCCCTTCAGCCAGGCCTGACCCCAGCTCCAACTGCACTGAGCCCCTCAGGAGACCCCGGGAGGCCCAGGAGATGTGCAAACTCCTCAGTGGCCAGGAAGGCCCCTCGAGGTCTGCCCCGCCCTCTGGCCTTCTTGCCTGGGGGCGTCCCCTTCCTTCATCCCCCACTAATTACCTCTCCTGTGTGCAAATGTTCCCTCAAGACACTTCCCGCCCGGCTGGCCTCAGCATTGGCTCATCTCAGACCCTCGCTGCTCCTCCTGGGGAGCCCTCTGGGCCCTGCACAGGTTCCGCACCTCACCCCCTCAGGCCCGCAGGCTCCCCCACATGACCACTGAGTGAGGACGCGCGTGGACAGGGAACCCCAGGAGGAGGCCCGGGTCACCTGGATCTCCGTGTCGCCCTGGGTGGGTCCCCGGATGAAGAGCTCCTCCAGGCGGGGCAGCCGGTCCTCCGTGAGGGTCACCTTGTACTCGATCCGGCTGTCCTCCAGGAGGGACGGGTGGGTGGTGCTGGGAGAGAGGCTGGCGTTTCCAGCCACCACGTAGTGCCCTCGGATCCTCACTGCTGTGGGGGGAGCGAGCCCATCAGCACGCCGGAGCCCCGCACCCACAGGGCATGGGAGCCCCTTGCACAGAAGAGGCCCTGGTTTGAAAAAGGGGCTAACAGGGTGCAAGCTCCACGGCCACATCTGTGACCGTCCCCCCGCAGCCCCGGGAGCAGGTCCTCCCGGTGTCTTGAGTGGACGCTCTCTGCAGGGCCGGCACCCCACGATGCTCATGGGGGTCAGACCACAGCCGGCTCCTCACAGCAACTCCGGGCCTCCTTCCAGAGCCTGGTGAGCCGAGGCTGCTTCCCTGCCCGGTGCACTCACACTCGCTCAAGGACACCAGGTAGCCCCCACTCTGGGTGCAAAGGTCGGCTGTGGGTGTCCCCTGGACACAACGCCCCACGGTGGCACTAAGCGGTAAAGAAGTCGGCCTTGCCCTGGCTGGTTTGGCTCAGCGGTTAGAGCGTTGGCCCACAGACCAGTGAGTCGCAGGTTCAATTCTGGTCAAGGGCATGCACTTCGGTTGCAGTTCATCCCAGACTCATGTACCAAGAGGTCGCCGGTTCAATTCCCGGTCAGGGCGCATGCCCAGGTTGTGGGCCCGATCCCCAGTGAGGAACATGCAGGAGGCGGCCAATCGATGTTCTCTCTCATCGATGTCTCTCTCTCTCCCTCTTCCTTCCTCTCTCTTTAAAAATCAATAAAGAAAAAAAAATTTTTTTTTAAGTTGGCCTTGCCCAAAGACAGGTCTGGCCTTTGTCCTCAGGTTCCGGGAGGGAACCCATACCAGCCGGTAGGAGTGTCTTTGTGTAAGGGGGGGCTGGCCACACCAGAAAGACCAAACACGTGGTCGAGGGGCCTTCGGGTCCCAGGGCAGCAGTCACCCTGGAGACTCGGGTCATCCGTGTGAGCACTCAGCAGATCAGCTGACCCATCAGTGAGCCGGTCATGCCTGCGTGACAAGGCCCCAGCGGAAAGGGACAGAGCTGTGCGAGCTCCCTGGCTGGCGACACTCCGGCACAGCATCACGCTTCCACACGGATGCAGAAGCCTCCCAGATGCTGCCCCGGGCGTCTCTTCCTGGGCTGGTTCACTGTCTCCTTCCTGTTTCCAGCCGTGACCATGAGTCTAACACTCCGAGTCTGGGAGCCCTCCCAGCAAGCTGTTCAATCTGATGGTGGTTTAGGGCACCCCCAAACTTAAAGCTGGCTCCGCGGTGGGGACCGTGCCCTCCACCTTCGAGGTTTGGCTAAGTCTAGTGGGCGTCCTCTGGCCGACTCACCCAGGTGTGTGAAGAGAGGCCTGTGGTTGGCAACGTACACGCTGGTCAGGTTGGGAGTGAGTGTCAGGAACGTGACATACTCTAGGAGGAAGCAAAGGAGCGTGGGTGGGCTCAGTCACCTACATCACAGTCCGGGGAGCGGATTTCAGTGGTACCAAAAATAGGGCTTCAGCACCGAAGGCTCGCACTATGACAGGGCTGCCTCAGGCAGCAGTGAGTCCCCCGTCATAGGGGGCAACCAAGGCCAGGCTGGAGGGTCATCTGTGGGGGTGCTGTCCTGGCAAGGGGGAGGGACCAGACCCAAGGTTCTTGGTACAGCCTGAAGCCTACCAGAGGGAGGCGGGACTCAAGTCCTCCACTGACCCTCTAGGCGACCTTGCAAATGACCTAACCTCTCATAAATAGATCAAGGTCAAGGACTTCCCAGGCACCACATCCCTCCTGACAGGGTTCCTTGAGCGCACGGTGATGGCCCTGCGCCCACCTTTGGTCTGCGTCACAGCTGCAGGGAGCAGCAGTTCCTGCCACGCCGCCACCCGGCGGTGGCCTGGACACCAGAACCTGAGCCTTGTGGGGAGGCTGGCAAAGTGGAGGGTGGAGGCCGAGGCCCACTGGGAGGCTCCAGGGCTGAGCGAATGTGTGGATCCCCGCCCCACCCCTCCCCACCTCAGCCTGGGCAGCTGGGGCCAAGGCTCCGGGCTGCGGCTTCATGGGGGCTGGGGGGCCGGCCCCTACCTCTGGCTCTTCCGGCCACGAAAGAGCCGTTGTGCGGGCTGCATGTGCTGTTGTCCCCGCCACACACCTGGCACACATCTGGCACCTGCTGGGAGTCCATCCTGCCGTCACAGCCAAACGTCTGTGCCGAGGGGTGTGGCAGGTGAGACAGGCCGGGTGGCGCTGAGGGGCAGCCCCACGGACGCACAGCCCTGAGGCTCCGACCAACGGGCCCACCTTCAGAGCATCAGCCTCCATTCGGGAACCAAGCGTAAACGACGCCCAGGCCCCAGCGCAGCTCTTAACCCCCAGCGACTCAAGGTCCGCCCCGGGTCCCAGTCACCCCTGCAGACTCGAGGCTTCATGGGCAGCGCCCAGCCCCCACCCCGCAGGAGGCCCTGGCTGTCCGGGCTTTGCTGGGACAGGCCTGGGGCCACAGGGGATGGAAAGGCACCCGCTGCCCACACATGCCTACCCTGCAGCCGCCCAACACGCACAGGCTCAGGGTCCCGTCGGTCCGAGGGCCGCTGGGCACACACCGGGTCCCGTCCTGGAAACTGCCCCCACGCCTCACGATAAAGCTTTCGCCAAGGGCGCGGCACAGGTGTCCGCACAGAGCGTCCCCTGGAAGGCAGAGTATCAGGGAGCGATGCAGGGTGGTGGGGCAGGGAGGGCCCTGCACAGCGCGGCCCGCGGCTTCACCCCTGCAAGCGGCTGGACTCCATTCCCCCTGAGGCGGTCAGCGGTCAGCGCAGCCTCGGTGTAAGACGGGCTACTAAGCCGTGAGCCAAGGAGCACACTCTGCGTCCCCTGCAGCATCTCAGAGTCCCTCCTGCGGCCTGAGCGGGGCGACATGCTCTCATCTCCATGTACAGGTGGGCACCAAGACGCAGAGGTGCCGCTATGGGCCGAGCCAGGCCAGGCTCCAGGTCCATGCCGCAGGGCCTGAGCCTGCTGTCACCAGCATGGGCGTGTGGTGGCCGGCCCCTCTGCAGCCCGGGCCCCACCGTGACTGTGCTGCCCGCCTGGCTCCCTCTGCAGCCCACGCCCCACCGTGACCGTGCTGCCCGCCCGGCTCCCTCTGCAGCCCACGCCCCACCGTGACCGTGCTGCCCGCCCGGCTCCCTCTGCAGCCCACGCCCCACCGTGACCGTGCTGCCCGCCCGGCTCCCTCTGCAGCCCACGCCCCACCGTGACCGTGCTGCCCGCCCGGCTCCCTCTGCAGCCCACGCCCCACCGTGACCGTGCTGCCCGCCCGGCTCCCTCTGCAGCCCGGGCCCCACCGTGACTGTGCTGCCCGCCCGGCTCCCTCTGCAGCCCGGGCCCCACCGTGACAGTGCTGCCCGCCCGGCTCCCTCTGCAGCCCGGGCCCCACCGTGACCGTGCTGCCCGCCCGGCTCCCTCTGCAGCCCGGGCCCCACCGTGACCGTGCTGCCCGCCCGGCTCCCTCTGCAGCCCACGCCCCACCGTGACTGCTGCCCGCCCGGCTCCCTCTGCAGCCCACGCCCCACCGTGACTGTGCTGCCCGCCCGGCTCCCTCTGACCACGCCCCACCGTGACGTACTGCCGCCCGCTCCCTCTGCAGCCCACGCCCCACCGTGACCTGCTGCCCGCCCGGCTCCCTCTGCAGCCCACGCCCACCGTGACCGTGCTGCCCGCCCGGTCCTCTGCGCCGGGCCCCACCGTGACTGTGCTGCCCGCCCGGCTCCCTCTGCAGCCCACGCCCCACCGTGACCGTGCTGCCCGCCCGGCTCCCTCTGCAGCCCACGCCCCACCGTGACTGTACTGCCCGCCCGGCTCCCTCTGCAGCCCACGCCCCACCGTGACCCTGCTGCCCGCCCGGCTCCCTCTGCAGCCCACGCCCCACCGTGACCGTGCTGCCCGCCCGGCTCCCTCTGCAGCCCGGGCCCCACCGTGACTGTGCTGCCCGCCCGGCTCCCTCTGCAGCCCACGCCCCACCGTGACTGTACTGCCCGCCCGGCTCCCTCTGCAGCCCACGCCCCACCGTGACTGCTGCCCGCCCGGCTCCCTCTGCAGCCCACGCCCCACCGTGACTGTACTGCCCGCCCGGCTCCCTCTGCAGCCCACGCCCCACCGTGACCGTGCTGCCCGCCCGGCTCCCTCTGCAGCCCACGCCCCACCATGACTGTACTGCCCGCCTGGCTCCCTCTGCAGCCCACGCCCCACCGTGACTGCTGCCCGCCCGGCTCCCTCTGCAGCCCGGGCCCCACCGTGACTGTGCTGCTCGGCAGGGCCCCAGCGGTAGAAGGAGGCGTGGCCTGGGGAGAGGTGCAGAGGCTTCCCGTTGGTCTCGGCACACTGCTCGGACATGAACTCCAGCTGGGTCCTCTCGCAGGCCTGGCCAGAGAAGGCAGAGGACAGGCACAGAGGGGCCTGGGGTGGGGTTCGGGCAGGGCCCTCCCTGGGTGTGGGGCTTGGGCGTGGCCCCGGGGTGGGGGCCGAGGGCAGAGGACCCTTGCCACTGGGAGATGGCAGGCAGCCCGCAGTGTGAGGCCATGAGGAGGGTTTGAGCCGGGCTCCTGGCTGCCCCTCAGTTCCCTGCTCTGTAAAGCAGGGGTGACAAGTGTCTTTTTCCGCTGATGGGGGAATTCCAGGAGAATCTGTGAGGACACAGGGCAGGGACCACCAGCAGCCGCACAGGGGAAAGAGGGCTCTCGCGGGGCCCGAAGCTCGGAGGACACGGTCTTTACTGTCCACCACGCAAGTGCCTCCAGGTAATCAGCACGGTCCTGGCAAAGGGCTTCGCCGCAGCAGCCTCAGTGCCCAGAGCAGGATCGGTGGACCGGCTGAGAGGCTGCCCTCGCTGGGCCCCTGCCCTACCCCCTGCCCAGGTGAAGCTGGTCTCCAGTGTCTGCCTGGGGAAGGTGGAAAGGGACGGTCTCACCACGTACAGGTCTGAATGTCAAAGGAACCAGCCCGCCACTTCACAAGCACTGTGATGGCCCTGATCAAAAACACGGACAACAGGCCCTGGCTGGTGTGTTCAGTGGTTAGAGCGTCAGCCTGTGCACCGAAGGCTCATGGGTTTGACTCCCAGTCAAGGGCATGAACCTGGATTGCAGGTTCGATTTCCGGCCCTGGTCAGGGCGCGTGCGGGAGGCAACCATCGATGTTTCTCTGTCTCTCCCTCCCTCCCTCCTTCTCTTTCACTCTCTAAAAATCGATGGAAAAAATGTCGGTCAAGTGAGGATTAACAAACAAACAAACAAAATGACCAATGAGCCCTGGCCGGGCGTTTCAGCTGGTTGGACTGTCCGTACACCAGCAGGTGGCGGGTTCAAGAACCACACTCCCTCCCACACTCACCAGCTCCTTCACACCTGCTCTGACCTTCTCCCTCTCTCTTCCTTCCTCTCTCTCTGAGGTCAATGGAAACATATCCTCACGTGAGGATTTTAAAAACAACGGCCAGAGAACACGTGGAGAAACAGGAACCCGCGCGCTGCTGGTGGGGATGCAGCATGGTCAGCTGCTGTGGGAGGGGTTTGGAGGCTCCTCAAAGAGGGAACAGAAGTACTGGGGGACCCAGCAATCCCACTTTCAGGTGCAGACCCAAGGGAACTGGAGATGGGATCAAACAGGTCCAGGACACAGGGGTTCGTAGCAATACTATTCACAACAGCCGAAGAGGAAACTACCCCAATGTCCACGCAGGACCAATGGAAAAACAAAATGTGGTCCACCCACACGATGGAAAACTACTCAGCCAGGAACAGGAACCAAGCACTGACACCCCGGAAACATGATGCCGAGTGATGCGAAGGCCACGTGCTGTTTCTCCCACTCACAGGAAGTGTCCAGGACAGGCAAACCCATGGGGACAGAGAGACTAGTAGTTCCAGAGACTCAGGGAGGAGGGGGTGGGGAGTGACTGCTAGTGGTCTGGGTCTCACTGGGGGCGACAGAAATGCCTGAGAACTACAGAGCAGGCGGCTGCACACGCCTGCGGATGTGCTAAGTGCCACGGAGTTGCACTCTAAATGGCTGGTTTTATGCCACGAACTTATAACTGAAAGAATCATCGGGCTTCACAGTGCCGGACTGTCCTGCTGAGAAGGGAGGGAGGGAGGGAGGGAGGGCGCTCTCACTGCAGAGACTAGGGTGGCGGCATCTGGGCAGGGAGGGGACACTTCAGGGTCCCTGTCTCGGGCACAGAGCGGTCCGTTGTACACACTGTGACCCCAGGCTAGGTATTAGTAGCACCCCTTCAGCCTGGAAGTGAACCTCGACAGCAGCCCTGGTCCTTCGGCGTCTCCCGGGCTCGGGCTGCCACCGGACCGGCCGCCCTGCCGGGGAAGCAGGCCTACCTGGGTGTTGCACATCTCGGCCTGGAGGTCAGCACCTACGCACGCGCGCCCCCCAAAGGCAGGTCTGAAAATGCCAGGAGACATAAGGGGTGGGAGGTGACCCAAAAACCCCAACCAGGGAATGTGGAGCCATCACCCTCTCCCCATCACCCCCACCCACTACCTGGGGTTGTTGCACTGCCGCCTCCTGATGACCACGCCTCCTCCGCAGGAACGGGAGCAAGGACTGGGGGGACCCCAAGTTGACCAGTGCCCATGCACTGCCCCCATGGGGGTCAGCTCTGCCAGGGAGCGGCAGTGACCCTTGGAGCACCACTGCAATAGAATGACAGCCAATCTCCAGTACCCACAGGCACCCCGCATCCACAGGCACCCCACATCCACAGGCACCCCACAAGGAACCCTACACCCACAGGCACCCCGCAAGGAACCCTACACCCACAGGCACCCCACAAGCCATCTCATAATGCACCACATCCCCCACCCCCACAGGCACCCCATACCCAGGGTACCCCACACCCATGGGCACCCCACACCAGAGGTCATAGCCACAGTGCACATGAGGCATCTAGCTGCCCACCACTCTGACCAGGTGACCAAGGACAACCCAGGGCCCTCTGCTGGGGCTTTACTGTGTCCCGTCTCCTGCCCCAGGATCAGGCTGCAAGTGCCCTGGACAAGCATGCGAGAGCACACACATGCACACAGGCTCGCACACACGCTTACATGCTCACATGCATGCTCACACACTCACATGCTCACACGCATGCTCACACACTCACATGCTCACACACTCACACTCACATGCTCACACACTCCCACTCACACACATGCTCACACTCACATGCTCACACACTCACACTCACATGCTCACACACTCCCACTCACACACATGCTCACACTCACATGCTCACACACTCGCACGCTCACACACACATGCTCACACACTCGCACGCTCACACACTCACACGCTCACACACTCACATGCTCACACGCATGCTCCCACGCTCACAGCTCCTTCGCCCCCTGCTCTGACCTTCTCTAGGCCACACTCGGTCCCGTCCAGGGGAGGAACGAGGAGGCGGCTGCAGCTGCTGTGGTCCAGGGGGTCTGTGTGGCAGGAGAGAGCCTGGCACCTGTCCTGAGAGGGGAGGCAGGGGCCACGGGGGCCACCTCAGGGCGGAGTCCGGCTTCACTCTCCCCCCCAGGCTGCAGGAGCAGAGAGTACCCCCTGCACTGCTGTGGGCACTGGGAGCGGGGAGGACAAGCATGGCTGGCTTGTCCATCAGGAACAGGGACAGTGGCCCACAGTCCTTTTAGGAGCCCATGAAAGTGTTTTCATTTCTTTTAAAATCAGAAGAGATTAGATCGAAGAAAATGTTCTAGTTTACAGTATTAATGTATCTGCATTTACACGAACACGTTAAAGTTTATGTTTTATAAAAACACTAAGATATCATTCTTAACACTGTGTAAGAGGAGGGGCCCCACCGAGGCAAAAGTCCCGGCGCAGGCCTGGGAGGAAGTCTGTCCCTGGGGTGCCTGCCCCCTGCCGGTCTGCCCCCTGCCACACCCTGCCCCCTGATGCCCTGCCCCCTGATGCCCTGCCCCCTGCCGGTCTGCCCCCGCCACGCCCTGCCCCCTGCTGGCCTGACCCTGCCACGCCCTGCCCCCTGCTGGCCTGCCCCTGCCAGCCTGCTCCTGCCGCAGGGCTCCGCTTGGTCACCTCCTCCGGAAAGGCCTCCAGCTCCCACTGGGCTAGAAGCCCTTGGTACCTGCCTGTTTAGGATAACGGCCACGGGCTCAGGGGCTGTGCCAGGGCCGCTCCACAGAATTGGCGGGGCCCAGTGAGAACGAAAACGTGGAGCCCTCGTCCAACAAGAACTGGGAGAGAGAACTGACAATCTGGGCAGGGGCGCAGTGCGGCCGCGGAGCTGGGCGGAGCGGCGGCTGCAGTGGGCAGAGTAGCTCCAGGAGGGGCGGACTCACGAGGCTCTCCCTGGCGAAGGTGCAGGCCAGCGCTGCGGGGCCGAAGGCCATGCGGCACTGCTCGTCGGCGCCGTAGTAGAGACCGGGGTGTGCCAGGAGAGGGCGCCCCGCGGGCGCGGGCTGCGGCCCCGGCGGGTCCCGCACGCAGCGCGCCCGTCCTGCGCTGTGGCAAGGCCCAGCTCAGGCCCCAGGTGGGCACCGGGCGGAGCGGGATGGAGGGGTGGGCTCGGGCGAGGGGGATGAGTTATTTGCCCACGCCCCCAACCAGGAGCGGGGCAGAGGCCCTGAGCCAGAGAAGAGGGAGGGGCTGGAGGGATGGGGGGGCAGGTGGAGGTCAGACGGGGGATGGGACTGGGAGGTGGGTGTGCGTGGGGAGGGGAGTGACGGGGGAGAACTGACGGTGGGCACCGGAATGGGGTGGAGGAGGGCGGGGTGCGGGGAGGTGGCGAGGAGGGAGGGATGTGCTACCTGAGCAGGTGCAGCAGCTGCCGGCGGCTGCAGGCGGACCACGCGAGGCCCCCTCGGGTGGGCACGGCACCGTCAGAGCCCATCACATGGCCGCTGGGCCCGCAGCCACTGCCCGGCGCTCCGTCGTGCTCCAGCCCGAAGCTGCGGGAGGCAGCCTGGGTGGGCGGGGTCCCCTCCTACCCAGCCCCGTGGGGCCCCGGCGCCAGGCAAGTTTTCCCAACAGGTCAACCCCTGGCCCTGCCACCAGCTAACCCCCAGGTAGGGCAAGTCCCGCAGCCACCCGGCCTGTTTCCCACCCCAGCTGGGCTGGCGAGGTGGCTCCTGCTGGTTTGGGTTGATGAATGTCAGGAGGCTTTAGAACTGTGCAGAGCAGACGAATTCCCGGTGTTACAGGTCCGGGGAGGACCGGCTCCAGGGCTCTGAGGGCACCCTGCCCACGATCACTTTCTCCAGCTGGGGACTGGCTGTCACGTGCGTGGACTAACTGTGCAGTGTGGTTAAATAACACGTGCAGGAGTCCAGCCAGTGCTCAGAGGCTGAGCGTCCACCCACGCTCCAAAAGGTCGCCAGTTCGATCCGGTCAGGGCACCTGCCCAGGTTGTGGGCCCGATCCCCAGTGAGCAGCATGCAGGAGGCGGCCAATCGATGTTTCTCTCTCTCTCTCTCTCTCTCTCCCTCTCCCATCTTCTCTCTCTAAAAAAATCAATAAAAAAAGTCTCACTTTAAAAAAATAAAAGTAACAACATGTACAGGAAATGTGAGGACCTCTGACCACCCTTCCCACTCCCGTGGGAGGCAGGGGTTTCCAAGACCCTTGCCCTCCCACCAAGACAGATGGAGGAATTAGGACTGGGCTGGGGGTGCGGGGTGAGAGGTCAGGGGGAGCCGTTGTGGTGGTGTGGGGGAACAGCCCCAGCCCTACGGGAGCCTGGCCGCCCAGGAGACGGGCAGAGGAAACCCCAGCAGCACTCAGAGGGGCTGAAGCAGGGCCAGGTGGGCAAGGAAGAGAGAGAACAGACTCATTTCTAACTTTAGGGGTCTGTATGCTGCTTGAATTTCACAGGAAGTGAGTGCGACTTTTGTAGTTAAAGGACTGAATGTCAAAAGAAAGAACCCACCCCCTTAGGTGAATGAAAACAGGTGGAACAAGACGCATAATGTTCATAGCTGGAAAAATCTGGGAACCACCTAAGTATCCAAACAGGAATTACTTAAACTTAAATTATGGTGCAAAAACATATATTTAAAAAAGACCTGGGAGAAACATATTGTTGAATAAAAAAGCAAGTAATAGCCCTGGCCGGGTGGCCCCATTGGTTGGAGCATCATCCTGTACACCAAAAGGCTGTGGGTTCGATTCCTGGTCAGGACACACACCTAGGTTGCGGATTCCATCCCCAGTTGGGTCGCATACAGGAGGCAACTGATCGACGTTTCTCTTTTATATCAGTGTTTCTCTCTCTCTCCCCTTCCTCTCTGTCTAAACAATTAATAAAAACACGTTCTTGCGTGAGGATTTAAAAAAGAAGAAGCAGGTGGCAAACCGATGTATAGTATAACCCTAATTTTGCAAATAAAAAACTGTGTAAAGACTGAAATTAGTTATAAAATGTGAACAGCTGGGCCCTGGCCAGTTGCTCAGCGGTTAGAGCGTCAGCCGGCAGACCAAAGAGTTGCAGGTTCGACTCCGGCCAGGGGCACGTCGTCCCTCGGTTGCGGTTCGTCCCCAGCCCTGGTCAGGGTTGTGTGGGAGGCAACCAGTCGATATTTCTCTCCCTCTCCCTCTCCCTCCCTCCCGCTCTATCTGAAGATAAATGGAAAAATATCCTGGGCGAGGATAAAAATAAAATGTGAACAGATGTGATCTCTAAACAGTGGGATTTGGGATAATTTTTACAGCTGAGTTTTTCCTTACCTGAATTTCCTACAAACCTTAGTTTCTAATTGCTACGTTTACTTTACTTGTTTTTTAAAAACTTCCCTTTAATTATTCGGTAATCACGAAGCATCAGATTTCCCAGCCCTTGCCCCCCCCCCCCCACGCTCCCTGGGGTCAAGGGCACAGCTCCTTCCAGCGGTCCAGGGCCCGCTGCCAGCCTCGACCTCCCCTCCTGGGGCCCAGGTCAGCTCCTTGGCTTGAGCTGGGGGACAGCTGGTGGGGCCGCATACCTGTGCCCAATCTCGTGGGCGATGGTGACCCCCAGGTCGAAGCCGGTATCTTCAGTGATGAGGCAGCTCCAGGAGGAGGAGCAGGCGCCCCCCAGCTGGGTGACCCCCCGAACCTGCCGGTTACCGTCGGGCAACTCTAGGTCAAACCTCAGGAACAGAAAAGAGACACCTGGGTGGCACGGAGGTGCCTGCCGGCCGCGGCCACCATGCAGAGCAGGAAGGCCACGGAGCTGCTCCCTGCGGGCCGGCCTGCCGTGGGCGGCTACCTGGTGATGTACAGGACCAGGTCGGCGTGCCCGGGGTCCGAGTCGTCCTGCGGGTTGACCGTCCTGCTCCACTCGCAGACCCTCCGCAGTGATGAGGTGATGTTGGCTGTGATATTGGGGGCATCCTGGGGATGAGGGGCAGAGCCGCGATTACGGGGCCCCCGCCGCACAGGGTGGTCGCCCTGTCCTCAGGTCCCCACGGGCGGCACAGGGGGTCCCGCCAGGCTGGCTGGAAGCCCTGCCCTCGCCCCAGGCTCCGCTCCGGGAAGAGGTGAACAAGGACCAGGCTTTCCAGACTCGGCTCAGCTGGGCACCTACCTGCGGCTGCGCCAGGATGACCATCTTCACCAGGTGCACTCGGAACTGAGCCCCCAGGGACGGGTCCCTCAGCAGTTCCGACGCCTGTGGCAGGGCAGGGGGAGGGTGGTGCATGGGTGGGGGCAGCGGCTGACCTCCGGGGGTCCCCAGGGAGAGGGCCTGGAGCGGATGCCCTCAGCATGGCGGGGTGGGCACCCAACATGCCGGTCCGTGGGCTGGGAGACAGCCAGAGAGAGGCAGGCGTCCCCTGGCCCTCCCCTTGCTCGTGGCTCAGGCAGCGGAACAACACGAAGGAGAAACGAAACACCGGGATGCCGATGACTGCCGCTGGTCTAGAACATTCCACTCAAACGCTGCTTCTCTCTCGCCGATTCACCCTGTCCTTCCTCATCTCTGCTCGTCTTCCTGAGACCCCTTTCTCTCCACCTCTGCTTGCCTGACCTGCCCACGTCCAGGAGGTGGCATGATGCCCTAGATCCCTTTCCTGGCGCCCCTATGGGCCGGGCCCCCAGGCCCCAGCTTTCTCCACAGCTGTCAGGACGCCGGCCGTGGCCGACCCGTACCGTCGGGACGCCGGCCGTGGCCGACCCGTACCGTCGGGACCCTGGCCGTGGCCGACCCGTACCGTCGGGACGCTGGCCGTGGCCGACCCGTACCGTCGGGACCCTGGCCGTGGCCGACCCGTACCGTCAGGACGCTGGCCGACCCGTACCGTCGGGACCCTGGCCGTGGCCGACCCGTACCGTCGGGACGCCGGCCGTGGCCGACCCGTACGTGGCTGTCTGTACCAGCTTTGCACTGGGTGAGGCATCCCCGCAAGGCCTAGGCTGACCGTCTGACCCAGGCTCCGCCGCTTCCCACCTGCATGCTCAGGACCCTGTCACCAACCTCGGAGCCTCCGCGGGTGCTGGCACACTTAGGTACGCTGCAGCCGGCACACGGCGGAGGTCCCACAATAACAGTGGCCTTTACCGGGCCCCACCATGTGGGCAGAAGCCAGTCTGGAGTCGACCACCCAGTGGTCCTAGGTCCTACAACATGCGAATGACCCGAGGGAGCTTGGGCTTGACCAAATTTCAGCCCTTAGAAGTGGGAGCCGCCCAAGGCTTGAAACAATAGCTTTCAAGTGACTTAAGGACTTGTCACCTCCGGGGCATCTCGGTGGGAACCTCAGCAGATCCATTCTGAGTGCGACCAAGGCTGCAGGGGGGCCGATCAAATGGGCCCTGAGCCCAGGGGCAGGGAGCTCTGAGCGCTGCCGCCCTCCAGGGCCACCTTACAGGGGCCCACTTACAGCCAGCCCCTCCTCACACCCCTCCCCGTCTCTGTCTCTGCGGGGGGGGGGGGGGGGGTGTCAATCGGCAGCTGAGGCCGAGTCCCTAAGGGCCTGAAGCCCACGGCCCAGAGTGGCTGGGAGCAGGACTGTGCAGGCTTCTGCCTCCACTCGCGCTGTGGGCGGTGACACGCGCTGTGGGCGGTGACGCAGCCGGGCTCCCAGACCGCACCTCCCCCGCACCAGGGGAGAGGGAGGAGGAGGGGAAGAGCGGACACCCCTCTCCCCACCCCAGGGCCCTGAGCCCCAAGCGTGAACCCAGCCTGATTTACACTCAGTTCCACTCGCGAGTTCACGCTACCAGGTAGGCCAGCCCTCGGACCGCCAGCCACAAGCGCTGCCTGTGGGGCCGCGCGTCCCGAGGCCCCGGGGACCGGCCGGCGGCCGTCCCGGAGGCGTCCAGGGCCCACTGCGGTCAGCCGTCCCCGGGAGCGCTCACCATGTTGAGGTTGGTGAGCACGTACCGCTCCGTGTCCTCCTGGTGAGCCTGGTAGACGTCGGGGCCCACGGCCACCAGCAGCTCCAGGTGCAGGACGCTCCCCTCCGCAGTGTGTCTCCGGAGGCGAGGGGAGGGGCGGCCTTGCAAGGGAGGAGCAGGCAGGGCTGAGAGGGAAGGTTCCAGAGAGCAGGTGAACTGTGACTTCAGTCCTGACAGCCTCGCAGTCCCCACGGCCCGGCCTCTCTGTCACCCTGGGCCTGGAGACACGGTGGTGGAGCCCTGTCTGCCACTCACCACTCAGGGAGGCGGTAGGCCTGATCCCCAGGTGTCTCGTGGGGAGGGGGACACGAGAAGACCTGACTCCAGGGCACAGTGACAGCTGGGTGCGTGGCCCACCCTGTGCCCTCCCCTCACAGCCCACCCCCCACTCCTGATGCCCCCCCCCCCCGTCCCCACGCACAGATTCAGGGTATGTGTCCCCCGGGCCCCTCAGAAGTCAGCGCGCTCAGAGGGTGGAGAGGTCCCAAGCTCTCGCACGTCACTTTCTGTTGTGACTGTCAGAACCGAGGGCGCCTGGCCGCTCACAGGACAAGTAGCCGGGTCTTAGGAAGGGGCAGCTTTCTCAAGACACCTCAAGGGCCTTGAGGCCTTTAGTGACTGACATTCGGGGCAGGAGTGGCAGCATGGGCCCGGGCAGGAGCTACCGTGTGGCTTTTATGTCCTTCTAGTCACCCTGAGCCCCAAACTGGGCAAACACTGCAGAACAGGGTCACCCCAAGATGGCAAGTAAACCCCAAGACAGCCCAGCCCCCTGGTCCTCCAGAAACAGTTTCCCCGCGATGCCCCTCCCCCAGCCTTGGTCAGTATGTATCTGACCACAGAGAGGTCAGCTACAAAGGGACACCCCTAATTCTCTGCCCCTGACCAGTAGCCCACCCTGCCTCTGGTCCCCACCCATCCGTCACCAGTGGCCCTACTCAGACCAGGGCCGGCGCCCTGGAGAAGTCCACAGGCATGGCCTCGATGGCCGGGAAAGGCTTGGCTGGGCCCGGACCCAGTGCCTGTCTCACTGCTCCCGGAGGGTAAATATTTACATCCAGACACCACAGGGCTCCTGAAAACCAGTCAGCTGGGGGGGCCCAGCAGCAGAAGGGACCAGCAATTAGGGACGGCTCCCTTGAGATACTGAGCGAGCCCCGGGGTCAGAACCCGGCAGTGCAGAACACCCAGCCCAGCTCGCGTCAGCTTCGCAGGAAGTACCGGAGTTCATGAGCGGGCAATGGCAGTGGCTACGACCCCCTCCCGGCAGCGCCACCACCAATCCCAGGCCCCGGCTCGACGGCGAGCTGCCCCGCAGGCTCCGAGGAGCTCCCCTCGCCAGGAAACCGGAGGACGAGTACCTTTGAAGGCGGCATCAGGGCCAAAGTGAGAAGTCACCTCCTTGGGCTCCAAAGCCTGAAGGAGAGAAAGGAGAGTGAGGACAGAGGAAGACGCACCAGGGAGGTGGGAGGTGGGAAGGGGCAAAGGCCAGACTGGAGGAGACAGTGGGGAGAGGGCCCGTGGGACCCAGGTGAAGGGACAGAACTGAGAGCCAGCACCTCTCCAGCGAGCACACGTCACCCTCTGAAACCCAGGCACAGCTTCCTCCGCCAGGAAGCTGAACACCCCCACCCTGCCCACGGCTCCGGCCTCTCTCCCCAGGGGCCGGCTTCAGCACCCAGAAAGCTCTGGCCCCAGGGCTCCTGCACATTCACCCACCTTCTGGACGTTGGGGCGTCCCCAGCAGCCCAGGAGGAATGCAGAAATGAGGATGCCCCACACGAATGTCCCCCAGGGGTGAAGCTCCCTCATCTTCAGCAAAGCCCGCTGGCCTGGGAGAGGTCTGGCAATCTGGTCGCTGTGGAATGTGACAGACCCTGCTGGGCGGGACCATCGGGCTGTGTTTACTCTTGGGAGCTTCCCCCCAGAGCAGAGGCCGTGGGGTGGGCAGCCGGACACAGGCTCCTCCCTGCAACCTGGGCCTTGGTCCAGAGCACCCACCTGGCCCTGCACCCTGGGATGGGGCAGGGCGAAGGCGCCCAGGCTCCGGGGTCTGCAGCTGGGACCCAGGGAGCTGCTGTGACCGTGGGCTGGCTCTCACCAGCATTCAGGCTCCCACCAGCCGCTATCCTCTGCTGACACCCCCACTTTCCGTGACCTGTCTGCTATCCGCTCCCCCCCAGTGCAGACTGCAGGTCCCCACTATACCTGCTCCTCACAAACACCCCCTGCCTCCTTCCCTCCGCTCAGCTGTCCCCTGTTCTGGGCCTGCCCACCACGGACGGCCTCAGAGCTGGGCTGGGTGGCACAGACCCCCCCAGTCCACTGCACTGCCTGGAAGGCTCTTGGTCACACTCTGCAAAGCACTATTTCACACTCCCTCACACCTCCAGGACACAGCCCCCACCTCAGCCGGTGGCAAACAGGGAGTCTCAGGTGGTTTCCGCCCGCCGCAGCCCCTTCTCCTGGATCTGGGTTATCAGTGACGACGCCCCATCCATCCACTGTGGGCCAAACCCCTTTCCTTGCGCAGGCGTCAGGATCGCGTGGCGCCCTGAGGCTCCCCTGCCCAAGCTGCTCTCCCCCTTTTCCCTGTCACAGGCATTCCACCCCAGTTCGCGTCGTGCACCCCTACCTCTACCTGGGACTGCGTGCTGCAGACACAGACTGACTCGCTGTGCTAAGCCCAGCCGCATCCGCGTGGCCTGGGTGGCTGTAACTGGCTCCTAACTGGTCTGTTTTCTCTCTCCCTCACTCCCCGTCCCCTTTCTTACACAGCGGCAGTGACCGTCCAACAACACAAGTCAGACTGCGTCACTCCCCGACTTTAAAACAACGTCCCCTGGCCCTCGGGACAAAGTGTCCAGACTCCTTCCTGCACCCTCCAAGGCTCTGTAACCCCCTCCGCCTGCATCGCTAACCCCCCCCTCACAGCCTTCTTTCCTTCCCTCAAATATGGCAAGTGCGCTGCCGGTCTCTCTGAGCCCCGGCCTCGCATTCGAGTTTCTGCTCAAACGTCACCTCCCCAAAGAGGCTCCCTCAGGACCCCATCTAAGTGGCCCTCCAGATAGGCTTGCCGTACTTAGAAAAGTTAAGTTTGAATTTCAAATATGCAACATCATTATTATTATTTTAACATAAGTATGCCTCAGTGTGGCTCAGTGGTTGAGCGTCGACCCATGCACCCAGAGGTCGCCAGTTCGATTCCTGGTCAGGGCACAGGCCCAGGTTGTGGGTGTGATCCCCAGTGGGGGGCGTGCAGGAGGCGGCCAGTTGATGTTTCTCTCTCTCTCTCTCCCACTCCCTTCCTCTCTCTAAAATCAATAAAGGGGGGGGGGAAGTATGCCCCAAATACTGCAACCATTGCATGGGATGTATTTATACTACAAATTAACCTTTATCAGAAACCTCTGGGGTCCTGCATTTTGTGTGGTAATCTGTGCAGTCAGGGCCAGGCAGGAGCGCTGCTGTGACATCAAGTACTCGGAAACATCTGACGACTCTGCGGCCTTTGTGTCATTATCGGTCCGGCCGAAATGCCCTTGCAGCCCGGTGGCGCCGGTAGACCAGGCCGTGTGACCTGGGGTCCTCCTTCCCGCTCCTGGGACTCAGTTTCCCCACTGCACAAGGAGGACGCCAGGTGAGGCCGAGCTGGGGAGCGGCCCGGGCCCGCTCGCACCCGGCTCCCCAGGCCTGGCCGCCCAGCGCCCCCTTGCGGCCGCCTGCGCCCCGGCGCTCTGCCGGCCCAGCCGCGGTGCTACACCGACAGCGGCCCCCCAGTTCCCTTCCGGCGCCGGCGCGTCTCACCCCCATCCCGGGGCTCGTGAGATCGCGGGCTCACCCTCACCCAGGCCTAGGTCGTGGAACATGAGCGCCGCTCGCTGGGGTGGCGTCCCTTCGCCCGCGCGGACGGACCAGCCCGCCGCGCGCCCTGCGGAGCGGAACTAGAAGCGAGGGCCTGGTTTCCAGCCGGTCGGGGGAGAGGGAGCACTTCCGGGGGCCGGGACGCACGTGTGGAGACGAGCGTGGGGTCGCTGCCGCGCTCGCTGGCGGCGTCGGAGGGCGGTGTCGGGCCGGCCGGTGAGCGGGGCGGCCGCGCCCCGCCCGGGCCCTGCGCGGCGCCGCGATGGTGAAGGCCGAGGGGCTGACCCCCGAGCGCGGCGCCGGGGCTGAGCCGGGGCTCGTCGGGACGCCGACGCGGAAGAAAAGGAAGAAGAGATTCCGGAAAAACAAAGCGCGAGAAGTGCGCGGGAGACCGGGGAGCGAGCCCGAGGCCGGGCTGCGCCCTCCGAAGGCGCCGGAGGACTTCTCCCAGAACTGGAGGGCGCTGCAGCAGGTCCGGGGCGAGCGGGAGGACTCGCGGGGCGCAGGCGAGCCTGGCAGCACAGCTCTGCACGCGCCGGGCCCGGGAAGGGGCCTGCTGGGGGGGGGGGGGGGCCGAGCTCGCGGGCAGGCGGAGAGGGTCCCCGCTGGCCACAGCTGCCCCCAGTTACTGAGCCCTTAGAGTGCCGACCCCGCCAGGCGAACAGGTGTGCGATTTAACAGTCACGCCAACACCGGAGGGGGGAACCCCTTCATCGTCTCCGTTTTACAGGCGAGGAAACGGACCCAGAAAGGTTCGAGTATCCAGGATCGCAGCCCAGTCAGCAGAACCCGGAGTCCGAGGTTAAATCCCTGCTTGGAACTTGGGTTACACCTGCCGCCTTTTTCAGCATCTGTGGGCAGCGGGTACCCTAGGGGTTACCCTCTGCCAGGTGCTGGTCGTGCACGTCACTCGTAAATTCTCTCCACGTCCCCTGGGGTTAGCTGCTGTTTTCTAGATAAGGAAATTGAGGCAGAGAACGTGGGGGGACTTGGCCCAAGGTCACACAGCAGGCCGGGGTGCTGTCATACATTTGGGCGCAAGCACGTGCTCTTGGCTACCACTGACCTTCAAAGTGTCTCCTACAGTTTTATGGAGAGAGAGCGAGAGGGAACAGAGAAGAGCTTCTTGAGCCTCATTTTTTTTTTTTATCCTCACCTGAGGACATTTTTTGATATTTTGTTCAGTTAGAGTGGGAGGGGGAGAGAGAGAGAAACATCGACGTGAAAGGGACACATCGAGTGGCTGCCACCCGCACAACCCAACCAGGGCCGGGGACGAACTGCAACCGAAGTACGCGCCCTTAGTGGGAACCGAACCCGGGTCTCTCAGGACCGCAGGCCGACGCTCTAACCGCTGAGCCAAACGGGCCAGGGCTTCTTGAGCCTCTTAACATGCCCAATTGATAACTTGGGGAGAGGGGGGTCGTGATTGTCCTGTCTTGACAAACAGGACCGATGAAATTCCCACAGGGGTTCTGTCTGATTTCTGAAGATTTCTGCTTCTTAATCTCAAGAAAGGGAAGCAAAATTGAGCAGAAATGATGCTTATCATGGGAAGGACCCTGAATTTCTCTAATGTGTTCAGGAAAGATCCTCCTGAAACCTTCACAGCCGTAGCCCACCAAGAAGTCCCGGGAGTGGTTTCCTCGCACCGAGGCTGACCTGTGAGGGATGAGCTCTAAATTAATGATAAATGTGAAAACAGGTTGTTAGCATTCCTTCAGGCTCAAAGTGAAGTAGTCTCTGTTCAGTCATTCATGAGGTACTTGAGATGTAGGATGTGAGCTTGAAATCCTGTGTGAATAAAGGAAACATTCGAATTACAGGTTGTAATGCGATAAGCAGAATCATTTAACAAGCGACTTCTAGGTGAGCATGAAAAGGGGCTTTTCCCAAACTATTTGAAAGTGAATTTCAGTGACATCGATAGGAGGTATATGAAGATGTCATTGGCGTGTGTGTGTTTGTACATACATGCACACATAAGCATTTTCAGTCTCTTGTGCATGATATCCAAATTAAAATTGTTGTGTATTTTATTTTGGGACCCATTAGGTGCTGAAACAGAAATCACAGGCCCCAGAAAAGCTTCCTGTTCTCTCTCAGATGGATTCCAGAAAACAACCCCACAATATTCGACAGAACAGAAAAGCAGAGAGAGATGAGATGGGGGCAGAAAAAACAGACCAAGTGGGTGGTGTTCCTCCAGGATCTCTGTCCAACGGGAAGATGCCAGCACTGCCCACAAAGGCCACCGGAGCAGAGCACAATAAGAAAGGAGCCAAGAAAAGGACAGATGGTGACATTTCTCAAAAACGAGGGGACATCAAACATAAGAAGCGGAAAGCAGAGGCCGTGACCCCAGCCCCGCCCACCGAGTAAGTACTGGCGGTCTCTGCCCGAGGGTCAGCCGTAGTGACTGGCACAGCCTCCACTGCCACCCAGCTGCAGCCAGCATGGGTCATCTTCATCGCTGAAGACGGTCACAGCACGAAGGCCTGTCTCCTTCAGGAGGCCGAGGCCAGGGCCCTCCTGCAGCTCCTGCAGCTCCTCCATCCCCTCGCCCTGCTTTTCTCTGTTCCTTAGCTGTTTCCCCTAGAATGTAGGCAGAGTGAGGGCAGGACACACAGCTGCTGCGTCTCCAGGCTCAGAGCGGAGCCGAGCACTTAGTGAGGAGTTATGGAATGAATGAATGTCGGAGCCAGGAAGACCTGAGTTGGGAGCCAATCTCTGCATCTTGCAATTGGGTGGTCTAGGGCAAGTTCTGACATCCCTGAGCCTCCCTGTGGTCATCGATTGGGGGGGGGGGGTCTGTGACATGGGACGTACTGGCTGAGTGCCCGGTGGTTACTCAGCAGACCCTGTGATGGCCACTTAGACGGGGAGAACCAGGAGTCAGTGGCTCAGCTGGAGCAGACTGCGTGGCGCCGGGGTGTTGAAGGCAGTTGCTAAGGGGTATAGGGAAGAACAGTCTGAGCACCTGCCTTGTGTCCTTGTGCCAGGCACGCTGACCGGAAATAGAGCCGTCGCCACAGGCCCTCCCTGCTGAGACAGTCAAACGGGAGACAGACGATAAACAAAATTATCTCAGTGACTCTGTAAGTGGGGTCCAGAAGGAGCAGGTCCACTCAGTGGGGTCAGAAGGAGATCTCTAAGGACATGACACTGAATCGAGCTTGAAAGGTGTGGTTCACCAGACAAAGGCTTACATCCTTGCCTGGGCTTCCAGTCACGAGGACGCTCACTGTGTCTCTGTCCTGGACGTCTGATACGTGAACATGCTGCCTTGTGATTAGGGAGAAAACATTAGCCCTGGCCAGTGTGGCTCAGCAGTTAGAGTGTCTGCCTGAGGACCGAAGGGTCTTGGGTTCGATTCTCTGCTCAAGGGCACATACCTGGGTTGCAGGTTTGATCCCCAGCCCCGGTTGGGGTCGTGTGGGAGGCAACCAATCGATGGGTCTCTCTCACATCAATGTTTCTCTCCCTCTGCCCCTCTCTCCCACTCTATCTAAAAATCAGTGGAAAAAGTCCTCAGATGAGGATCAACGAAACAAAAAAAGGAAGCGTTGGCTTGGTCGTTGTGTTTCGGTGGAGGGTTGCACGTTTCTTTTCTGTGCTGTTTATTGGCCCTAAATTTCGGATAATGAGCGTTTTTTCTGATTAAACAGAAAAGTGATGAAGGAAAAGTGTCCAGTGATCCAAACAGCAGGAGCGGCTGGGCATTCGGGCCAGTGGTTAGGGCGTCTCCACTAAACAACAGCCAGCCTGTCCCCTCTGCCTTTCAGACAAGACATCTGGTTCGATGATGTTGACCCTGCGGATATCGAAGCGGCCATAGGCCCAGAGGCAGCCAAGGTGGCGAGGAAGCAGCTGGGGGAGGGGGAGAGCCACGCGGCGCTGGCGGAGGAGCCGGCCTTCGGCGGGTATGCGTGCTGGGCCTGAGCGGGAGAGCGGGAGGGCGGGCGGGCCCGGGAGCACGGCCGTGCTCCAGCTGGGCGCGGTGGCGACGGCACGGAGCTTCGGTGCCAGGTCCTGGGCCCTGCAGCGCTGGTTGAGCTGAGCCTTTGGTCCCCTCAGCCTGACGAAAGCCTTAGCCCTGGACTGTGAGATGGTGGGCGTGGGCCCCGCGGGGGAGGACAGCCTCGCCGCCCGCGTGTCCGTCGTGAACCAGTTCGGGAAGTGTGTCTATGACAAGTACATCAAGCCAGCCCAGCCCGTGACTGACTACAGGACGGCGGTCAGTGGGATCCGGCCAGAGCACCTCCAGCAGGGTGGGTCATTCCCAGCTACGGACCTTGGAAAGGACGGCGGTGACTGGGCTCCACACCCTCCAGAGCCAGAGTCCTGCTGGTCTCGGCTCCCCGGGGAGTGGCTTTCCAGGGGCTCTCACCCCGAGAGTCCTCGCCGCTGCCTCCGAGCCACCCAGTCTGGAGGCCAGTGAGGGGGGTGGGAGGTGAGACAGGTCTTCGTGGATCTTTGTGATGACTTCGGGAAGCCATGGGAAGGTGGAGCGCAGTGAGGGGCTGGTCTGGCTCAGATTCTAGCAGGTTCTGTGTGGCTGTGGTTGCTCTGAGGGAATGGCCGCGGGATCCCTTTCTCTGCACCCGGAGAGGTGGTCCTTACCCCCAGCCTGCTGGGGTGGGCACTATCTGGTCCCGCTTGGTTGGGGCGGGCAGCCCTCCCTTTGTGGGGGTGGCCCCGGGGATCTGCTGAGGGCAGGGGGTCTGCCGGGGGGGCAGGGGGTCTGCCAAGGGGGCAGGGGGTCTGCCGAGGGGGCAGATGAGCTGCCCCAGAGCCTGAGGCCAGAGCTGGTTTCCCAGCGTCTGCAGCCAAGGACCAGGCTGCTTTGTCTCCAGGTGGAGACAGGTGGGTTCCTGGGCGGGCGGAGGGCACCTCCCAGCGCTGCACTGGGAAGTGTATGGGCTCCGGCCTGTCTTCCCCCAGCTGGGGCACGGAGCCCTTGTCCCTGGGGTGGGTGGGATGACCCCAGTCCTGGACTAGAACCCAGCCTGCCAGTCCCTGGGGTCTGACCAGAGAATGGCCGGGGTTCATTGTCACTCAAAACCGTGTCTTTGGTTTGATTTCAGGAGAAAAATTTGAAGTTGTTCAGAGGGAGGTGGCAGAGATGCTGAAGGGCCGGATCCTCGTGGGACACGCGCTGCATAACGACCTGAAGGTGCCGCTCTGCCGTGCCCTCTGCCTGTACACCCCCCGTGCCCTCCTGGGCGGGCTAGTCTTTGAGTCTGTGCCCTGTGTTCTGGGAGCATCGCTGGGCATTTGCATCACAGAGATCTTTGGTGCTCATCCGTTTGGCAGGTGGTCGTCTGGGGCTCTGCCTGCACGGTGTGCGCGTGGCAGGGCTGGCTGGAGCCCCCACTGCTGCAGCGTCTCCCTGCAGACACAGCCGGGCCGCTGCCTCGCAGCCTCAGCCTCGAGCCGAATGGGCTCCGGGGGTCAGAGCTGCTGGGAGCAGCGGGGGCCGCTCCCTCAGCACGCGCAGCTGCCAAGGTACACGCCTAACCCGGGGCGGGTGAGCTGGGGGCCCGCTGCGGTGCCAGAGGTGTGGCCTCCGGCCTCTGCTCCTTGAGGGGCTGTCCTCCTGAGAACCGTGGGGCAGGCAGGCAGGAGGCTGCCCTGCTTGACTGGGCACTCAAACTGTGTTCCGTGGAACCCTGGAGTCCTCGGCTGTTCAGGGACCGCTCCATGATGTCCTTCACTTTTCATTTACTTATTTTTAAATATGTTTTGTTGAGTTGAGAGAGAGAGGAAGGGAGAGATGGAAACCTTGATCAGCTGCCTCCTACATGCCCCCCCTGGGGATCGAACCCGAAACCCAGGCATGCACCCTGACCAGGAATCAAACCAGCGATCTTTATGTGTGTGGGATGACGTGCAACCACTGGCTGGCTTTACTGCCTTTAAAACTAAACCCTGGCCCCGCCGGTGTGGCTCAGTGGTGAAGTGTCGACCCATGGTGGGAGGTCGCCGGTTCGATTCCCGGTCAGGGCACATGCCCAGGTTGCAGGCTCAATACCAACTGGGGGTGTGCAGGAGGCATCCCCTCGCTGTGCCTCTCTCATCGATGTTTCTCTCTCTCCCTCTCCCTCTTTCTCTAAAAATCAGTAAAAACGTATTTAAAAAATAAGTAAGTGAACCTTGAACTACTGGGAGCTCACCAGCCCTCTGCCCCCTGAAATGCCTCGGGGCGGCTCACGCTTCCTCCTGAGGGCTCCTGAGGCCGCCGACGGCCTGCTGCACCTTCACCCACTGCGGCAGCAGCTCGGGCGGGAGCCGGCTGCCTGCTGCACCTTCACCCACTGCGGCAGCAGCTCGGGCGGGAGCCGGCGGCCTGCTGCACCTTCACCCACTGCGGCAGCAGCTCAGGCGGGAGCCGGCGGCCTGCTGCACCTTCGCCCACTGCGGCAGCAGCTCAGGGGCGGGAGCCGGCGGCCTGCTGCACCTTCGCCCACTACGGCAGCAGCTCGGGCGGGAGCCGGCGGCCTGCTGCACCTTCGCCCACTACGGCAGCAGCTCGGGCGGGAGCCGGCGGCCTGCTGCACCTTCGCCCACTACGGCAGCAGCTCGGGCGGGAGCCGGCGGCCTGCTGCACCTTCGCCCACTACGGCAGCAGCTCGGGCGGGAGCCAGCGGCCTGCTGCACCTTCGCCCACTGCGGCAGCAGCTCAGGGGCGGGAGCCGGCTGCCTGCTGCACCTTCGCCCACTGCGGCAGCAGCTCGGGCGGGAGCCGGCTGCCTGCTGCACCTTCACCCACTGCGGCAGCAGCTCAGGGGCGGGAGCCGGCGGCCTGCTGCACCTTCGCCCACTGCGGCAGCAGCTCGGGCGGGAGCCGGCTGCCTGCTGCACCTTCGCCCACTACGGCAGCAGCTCAGGGGCGGGAGTCAGCTGCCTGCTGCACCTTCGCCCACTGCGGCAGCAGCTCAGGGGCGGGAGTCGGCTGCCTGCTGCACCTTCGCCCACTGCGGCAGCAGCTCAGGGGCGGGAGCCGGCTGCCTGCTGCACCTTCGCCCACTGCGGCAGCAGCTCAGGGGCGGGAGCCGGCTGCCTGCTGCACCTTCGCCCACTGCGGCAGCAGCTCGGGCGGGAGCCGGCTGCCTGCTGCACCTTCGCCCACTGCGGCAGCAGCTCAGGGGCGGGAGTCAGCTGCCTGCTGCACCTTCGCCCACTGCGGCAGCAGCTCGGGCGGGAGCCGGCTGCCTGCTGCACCTTCACCCACTACGGCAGCAGCTCGGGCGGGAGCCGGCTGGCTGCTAGCGCCACGCTTCTCCGGCTTCCCGGTCTCGGCGTCACTTCTGTGAACGTGGCGCTTTGTCGCCGTCAGCGCGCCCGGCCGGAGAGTTCCCTCTGGAGCTCCGGTCCAGGTCGTCCCTTTTCCTTCGCGCTCTGTTCCTCGCAAGGAGTCATTTGAGCAAAAAGAAGTTACGGCTACAAACTAAAAATGACGGTGACTGTCATGGTCTTTTGTAGGTACTTTTTCTTGATCACCCAAAAAAGAAGATTCGGGACACACAGAAATACAAACCGTTCAAGAGCCAGGTGAAGGTACGCGAGTGCGGCCCCTGCGCTGCAGCTGTTCCGCTGGCGCACACTTGCCGCTCTGGTCCTTGGTAGCTGACTTACGGGCTGAAGGGTGTGTTTCCTTTAACTTCACCGAGAGGGAGCTTAGAAGTGGGGTTCTGAGTGCCACCTTTAAATGTGCGCGTGACCCAGGGCAGGGTACTCACCCTCTGAAATCGGAGGAGACCAGCAGAGGGTGCCCCTGAGATGAGCGGGAACCCTGAGGCTGGGGGGCAGAGCTGCGGGCTCCCCAGACCTGCACTGTGGGCTGGCAGGGTGTCACCTGGGCCGGGGTGCAGTGCCCTCTGCCCAGTGCGCCGCTCCCGTGCTCTCCCCACAGAGCGGGAGGCCGTCTCTGAAGCTGCTGGCAGAGAAGGTCCTGGGGCTGCGGGTGCAGCAGGCAGAGCACTGCTCGGTGAGTGTGGGGGACATCCCGGCACCAGGGCCGCCCCTGGCCTTGCAGGGACGTGCCGTGTCACCTGGTGGCAGACGACATGGCACCTGGGTGGCTCTTTTTCAGGAGGCTGCTGGCTGATAAAATCCTGCAGAGCGTGCTTCAAAAGGGTTAAATTTAAATTCTGAATGTTCCGTTGGCACGGCACTAAAAAACTACTGTAGTTGTTTGGAAAGAAAGTCCCCAGTTAGGGCTCTGGGGACCGGCTGAGGTGTGGCCCACTCTGGCCCTCGGACCCCAGCACTGCTGTTCGTGGCCGGCAGCCCCTTTGCCGTGTGCGCTGGCGTCAGGCTTGGGGTGCGCGTCCACCTCAGCCTTCCCAGTGTCGGCCATTGCCGGAGGCACCTCGCAAGGAGCACGGTGGGCCCTCCTGTGAGTAGGGCACCGAGTCGCAGGAGCTCGGGACGGTCCCGTCACCGGAGTGCTCCCTGCTCGCTCTCCTCCTCCACTCACCCGTATTTGGCGCTCGGGCTCGGGAACAGTGGGACTGGCTGACGTGTGTCGTGCATGTCACCTGCTGGGACAGTCATGCTGTTGTGTCACCTAGATTCAGGATGCCCGGGCAGCCATGAGACTGTACGTCACGGTGAAGAAGGAGTGGGAGCGCATGGCCCAGGACAGGCGCCCCGACAGCGGCATGCAGGGAGCCCACCGCCCCGTGGCAGCATCTCCGCCCACAGGCACTCGTGACCACGTCACAGGACAGACTGGGTCTCCCCTGAAGCGACAGAATTGTGGCCGCAAGGGATGGGGCGTGCTGCCGAAAACCACCTCTTCCCTCTGATTTGTCCCTCTAAGACCTGGTCCCGCCCCAGGGGAGTGGGCACACAAGCAGGGCGCTTGTCCTGGGCACAGCCGGCAGGTCGGTGGTGGGGACCCGTGTGGACATGCTTGGCCGAGCCCCAGCATCAGGACGTCGGGGGTGGGGGGGCGTTGGCTGTGCCGGCACCCTCCTGTCCCCGCCCATGTGACAGCGTGCTCGCTGGGGTCACTGCCTGCCAGGGCAGGAAGCACCCAGTGCAGTGGGGCTCCAGGTCTTCCTCCCAGCAGGCCCCTCCCCTCCGCCACCGCGGGCTGTGCAAAGACCTCTGCTTGACCCAGGGGCCTAGCCCGTGTCTGCAGCCACAGCCTCACCGAGGAGCGCTCCAAGTCGCCTTTGGACTGGGGGACTTGGATGGCGGTGTCCCTTCTCTCCCCACCCCCACCGCCTGCCAAGCTGAAGCCCGAGGTCCGAGCCCACGCTGTGGCCGTGTCGGGCTCCGCTGCCCATGCGTGCGATGAGCTGTCACTGACGCGGTGTCTCCTGTGCTGGGACTGGCGTGCTGAGCTCGGGCGCTCTGAGCTGGGAAAGGGGGTTCCCGCGGGGAGCGGCCAGGTGCCTGGAGCCCGAGCTTCCCTGCGCCTCCGCCAGTACAGAAGGGCCCAGTCCACTGAGCAGAAATGGATATAAACAAGGTTTTTACTCGCGGACGTGGTGGGGCGTCTCCCTCGTTCAGAGCCGTCTGGAAGGGCCCCCGTGCCTGCTGCTGCCGGCGAGTCCAGCACCGGATCACCCCTCCCCGTCCCTAAGCAAACGCTGTTTCAGTGGGCAGCTCCGTGAGGCTGGAGAGCAGATTCCGGGTGGGGGTCGCGGGGTGTCTGTCCCTCAGGCCAGAGGTGACTGCTCCTCGGCAGAGCAGAGCAGCTTGGCCCCCTCCAGTCTCAGGAGCAGCTTTTCTGTGAGAGAGGCCAGGTCCTGGGGGGAGACGGGTCGCAGGCCCACGGTGAGTTCTTGTGACTTCACTTCTTTGAGGATCTGACTACCCTCCCCTTTGGGATGTGGGCATGGAATCCCTCGGGAAGAGCTGTAGAAAGCACACTGATGCGGTCGCTCGTGTGGGAGCCTGGTGGGGGCTGCGGGGCTGTGAGCGCGGCCCGGCGCAGAGCTGGGTGAAGGCGGACACTCACCGGGCCGGAGGCGAAGCGCCCCTGGATCTCCTGCACCAGGGCCTGCATGCCGCCTGCCGCCAGCCCGCACAGGATGTGCTCTGCGGGCAGAGCGAGGGCTCAGGCTGGGACAAGGCTGGGCCCCACCCCTCAGGCTTAGCACCCGCCCCGGGGCTCGAGCCAGCCTGATGCACAGCGGACACTCCCGTCCATGATGGAGCCTTTCAGGGGCTCCATCCTGTCTCCCACCAGTGCGAGCGGGAGCCGGGTGCCGAGAAACGGGGTTCTCACGGTAGGAGGTGAGGTGGAGCAGCAGCAGGCACAGGTTCTCGACCACCTCCGGGTGGTCCTTGTGCAGCTCGTAGGTGTCCCTGAGGAGGCTGAGGCTGCCGCCTTCCTCCAGCATCACCACCCGCAGTGCCGCCAGCTCTGGGGGTGAGGGGAGGTGGGCGACAGTCAGGGCCCTGCAGGCCCTCACTCGGGGGGTGATGGTGGGACCACGTACTCAGTGTTGAGTGCAACATGCTTGGGGCAGCAGAGGCCACAGTCTGGGAACCTCCAAGGTCACCACTTTCCCCGCTGCAGTGAAGCATCTGCCCACCTCCCTCTCCCCCCAGGCAGCCAAAGGCTCCTGCCAAAGGCTCTCAACCTGCAGGGAGGGCACTGGGGTGTCCATGGCAGCCCCGCAATGGGGTCGGGCCTGTGCACTAGGGGCCCGTGTTGCCATGTAGGCGCAGCAGACCCTCCTGGAACCTGGGGCAAACTGACGCGTCGAGGTGACACTGGCACGGCCAGCAGGTGGCCCAGCCCCGGTTCTCACCCAGACTCTGGCTCTGGGGTCCTGCTCGCTGGATTCTGAAACCCTGCCCCTTGCAAGCTGAGCCAAGTCCCTTTTGCCCTCAGGACCTCAGCCTCCCCTCCTGCCCCCAAGGACTGGCAGCCCACCTCCCACACAGACATTGGTGGGACCCTGGGTGGGTGGGGCAGGCCTACATCCCTGGGTGCCTCCCTCAGGGAAGACCCCACCAGGCTGTCTGGAGCCTCCCTGCCAGGAGTGAAGAAGGCCCACGCCCTTCTGCAGGCAGGGCCCGTGCACAGGCCCGGGACACAGCGGTCCTTAGGGGGGCCGACCCCCTCCACACCCCAGCTGGCGGCCTCAGCCAGTCCCCCGGGCACAAGGTTTTGTAAAGGGTCACTGTTCGGGGAATCAGGCACAGGGCCTGGCATAGTACTTGAGTGACGGGTTTGTTGTGGGAACTGAGACAGACCTGTCTTCTGAGCCCTTCGAATAAGCTAGACCTGTGCTTAGGGACTGGCAGAGATGGTCACGGCATTGTTGGTGTGGAGCCAAGTGCCGAATGTGTGTGTCTCCATGGCAGCTTATGGCTGATGGGACTATAGATTTTCTTTTTATCAAGTCCTTACCTAGGATGTTTTCCCACTGATTTTTAGATAGAGTGGAAGGGAGGGAAGGAAAGAAAAAAACATCGACGTGAGAGAGACACTGATCGGGGCTGGGGACTGAACCTGCAACCCAGGTCCATGCCCTTGATCAGGAATCAAACCCAGACCCTTTGGTCCAAAAGCCGGTGCTCTAGTCACTGAGTCAAACTGGCCAGGGCTTTTTTTTTTTTTTTTTTTTTTGCTGTTTTGCTTGTTTGGGGCAGCTAGCAGACATTTTTCTCCACCTCCCAGTGGCAGCCAGGTCTGCCCCACTCACCAGACGCCTTGGCGAGGCTGGCCAGCCCCCGGAGGGCGTTGTTCAGCAGCAGCACCCTGTCCTGGCCCTGCCTGATGCTTCGCACGAACAGCGACACCACCTCTTCAAACAGGGGCTCCTTTATGCAGCCTGCGGAGGGCCAGGGCGGCCTGGTCACCTCCCGGCCCAGGGCCCCTCCCAGCCCCTGGCCCAGGACGCTCACCTAGCAAGGACAGCAACCAGAGGACCGCACAGCCGGCCTCCGCCATCTCCCCGTCCGCAGAGTAGGTGGCTAGCAACTCCGAGATGAGGGCCGGGGCTTTCTCCAAGGGCCCCTTGTTCACAGCGGGAGCTGGAACGGACGGGATGGAGGACGGGACACCTAGCTCCAGTGCAGGAGTGTATGCAGGGCCCCCCACCTCTGCCCCCGCCAAGGACAACAGCAGAAGCCGTGGGGGGACCTCAGCTGTCTTCAGAGATGGAAGTTGGCTGAGGGGGGTGGGGCACTTCCCGGCCCACTAGGGAGATGGGGGGTGGGATCTCCGAATCCCAAGGGGAGGCCAGGACCTCTGCACTGGGTGTGAATAGGGGTCTCCCCATTTCTGGGGCTTTCTATGGCTAGGAGCCCTCTTTTCCTTGGGCAAAACTACCACCCAGGTCCTGCTCAGCCAGGATGGGGCCTGGGTTCCTTTTCTGAATCAGAAACAAGGCTAGGATGCCAGAGCCAACCTCTGAGACCAGGATGGGGGCACAGGGTCCCTCTGGACAGCAGGTGCCCGGGGTGAGGGCCCTCCTGTCCTGGGGCCTGCTCCCCTCCTTGGTCCTCTCCCCTCGTTCTTTCCCTCCGCTCCTGGTTTGTCCTGAAGTGTGTAAGGGACAGGAGGAGGCCCCTCACCGTCCACCAGCAGGGCCCAGAGCAGGCCTAGGCCGGTCATGCAGATGTTCCTGTTACTGGAGAAGTTGCTCAGGTGCTCCAGGATGTGCTCAAACAGCCCCGCCTCCTGCAGCTCCTCTGTATCACTCTCTGTGGGGTGGGCCCGGAATGAGGACCATGGAGAACCCCTCCTCCAGGAAGCCCTCCCTGAGCACCCCTTCGTCCTGTGCTGTCCCAGGCACTCTGCGTTACTGGGCCCCTGCTGGGCCAGTCTCACGCCGGTGCGGGATCTGGGAACGACACAGCCCACCCCTGCACCACAAGTCCCAGCCTCTCCTACCCCGTTACTGGGCTGGGCCTGGCCAACGGGGCTTTCCTTCCAAGGGCCCTAGCCCTGCCTCCCAGGCCACAGAGCAAGCGTGACCCTTTTGCAATGGTGACCTGGCATCAGCTCGCGCGTGCTGGTGGACACCTGTTGTCCCAGTGTGCCTATGCACAGTGCCCTTGCACTCCCAGTCCATCCCCCTGCCCTGCCCTGGCCGGCCACTAGCTGAGGGGGTGGGGGGAGGAGCGGAAAGGTGTGTGACCCTGGGGACTGCCCCTCCTCCACACCGCCCCGGCAGCTGCCCCTCCCTGGCTGACGGCACAGACACCCAGGTGCTCTGTGAAATGAAGGTGAGCGGGGCAGAGGGGCAACAAGGGCTCGCGTGTGAACAGATGCATGTGGAGCCCCAGCCGGCACCCGTGCACGTTTGTGCAGGGGATGAGGCAGAGCCGGCGAGCTGGGCGCAGGCCCAGCACTGCCCAGCCCTGGCACCCGCCGCAGCTGAGGGCGGGCGGGCAGACCCACCCTGGCTGCAGACAATGGTGAGGAGACTGTAGACCAGGACCAGGAGCTCCTGGCTCCCCGGGTGGCTCCTCAGGATGCCCAGCAGGACGGAGGTGATGTGCTTGGCCCTGGGCGTCTCGGCACCCGGGTCCAGTGCCAGTGCTGCTAGGCCAATGGAAGCAGCCTGCGGTGAACCCCAAGGCTGGGGACGGGTGGCAGAGGGCATGCGGGCGTGTCCCCTCCCTCCATCTGGGTGAAGGAATCGGAGGTCAGCCTGTGCCCCTGACACAGCCGGTCCCCACGAGTGCTTGTTGCACGAGGGGGAGAACCTGCCCAGCCTGCCCCACTGGAGGGCACCAAGCACACCTGGCCAGCGCCCACCTCGGCCCAGGGTGCGCAGCAGCAGGGAGCAGGCACCCAGCTGGATGTCGAGGACTCTCTCATGTTGCTTCAAGATGGTGACCAACACCTCCACCAGCTCCGTCGGCCACGGCAGACCTGGCGGGGCAGGTGGCAAGGTGAGAGTTGGCAGAGGAGCAGGGGGCAGGGATACAGACCAGGCCTGGGCACCAGAGAGTGCTGGTGCCTACAGGGCATCACACTTGGGCCCAGGTGCACGAGGTGGTGAGGAGACGTGGCTGGTGGCTGTGCCGTTTGCCCTGTGACCACCACAGGTGTCTGTTCTCATTGCCACCACCCTGAGCAGATCCCTGGCGACCCTCGTGTCCGGAGCCGCCAGGCTCCAGAGTCCCGGGCTGCACCTGCCCTGAGGTGGACGTCTGCGGGTCCCATGACTGTCCTGTGTGGCCCATGCTGGGCATTGGAGGGCGGGGCAGAGGCAAGGGGGTGACTGAAGGTCCACCCTGGCCTCACCCCTTCCCCACTGCTGCTCCCCTCCCGCACTTCCCTCATCCGCAGAGGGTGCAGCAGCTCCTGCATCCCGGGCTGTGGGACAGTGACTGAGTGCCAGCCCCAGGAAGCCAAGCCCTGGCCAGTCTGTCTCCAGACTTGTCTGAGGCAGGTGTGGCTCTGGGTGGCAGGAAAGGCCACCGTGGGAAGGGGCCCAGCAGCCTCCCTCAGTTTCTCCCCTCCCATGGACCCTGACCTGGCCACAGCCTAGCTCCAGAAGAGGTCACGAGAAGTGGGGAGAGGGGCAATGGCCACTGTGAGGTCTCTGCTGCCTTTTACAGCCCAGGACAGGGCCTCTGTGATCTGCCCCAGCCATGGGACAGACTTTGTGGGAGGATGGGTGTGGACAGATGGATGGTGGATACATGCACGGATGGTTGATGGATGCGTGGACAGATGACACTGCTGTAACTGCCTGGCTGTTACGAGCAGGGAAGGAGCGCAGGGAAGGCGGGCACCGCAGGCGAGTCGTTTGTGCAGCTGCGCCAGGAAGCGGCAGCCAGCACTCTCCAGGGCGGCTCCCCGCACATCAGTGCGGGAAGGACGGGACAGATGCCTAGTAAGGTCTGGGCGATGTGGGAAGATGCTTACCTGTCAGCCACCTGTGGGAATAGGTCAGTGGCCAGAATGGGCACGGCCGCTTCAAGCCCGGGAGATTTGATGTTTAAACTCCTGGACGAAGGGCTCTCTCTCGCTTGCCCGCGCTCCTGGCTCTTGTTGCAGGGGCGGGCTCCCCTGCACCTGCCCACACACTGGGCGGCACAGCCATGTGCACCCTCAGTGACCGGCTGCAATTCACTGACACCACGCCGGGCCCAGCTCACCGTGGAATGGAAGCCCTGGGCACTGGCTTTGCGCAGCTCTGCTGAGCTACAGCCACCCCCTTCCAGGGCTGGTCTGAGGGAAGCGGGACTTTGCGAACTGAGGGGTGTCACTTCACACACACAAAGCTTTTCACCACATCTCATCCTCCCGGGGGGCCTCCGGAAATGCTTGTTCCAAGAACCCCAGCGGTGCCCCAAGAACGCCACTCCCACTAGCAGCGGAGAAAGGCCATCCACACAGTTCCCCAACAACAGCTAGATGGATGGACAGTTGGACAGTTGGATGGATGAATGCACAGATGGGTGAATGAACAGATGGATGGAGAGTTAACTGGATGGATGGATGGAAAGATGGTTGATGGGTGGACAGCGGATGAGTAAGGGAATGTAATCTGCAGGCTGGTGAGACAGTTTGAGTGGACAGATTTTATGAGACCATCTCCCATGCACTCGATAGGTGGTAAGTCGGTGCATCTATGAAAACATGGAGTCTTCACACCTGAACACCTAGGAATTTCCTACAGAAACGCACATGCTCACATAGGCTCCAGGGTGCTCAGAATATTTGTGACACCAGGAAATGAGCCACCACTAAGATGCCACCATTAGGGACGTGGAAGCCGGGTGTCTTCTTCAGCATCCATAAAAACCAGGTGAAGGGGGGCCGCTGGAAACACTCTGGACCCCAAGCGCCCCCCCCCCCCCGCCCCGCTGGCTAGAGTCCAGCCTGCCTAATCCCATCAGGCCACACAGGTGCAGACCCTGCCCTGGCCCGTGTGGCTCAGTTGGTTGGACCTTGTCCTGTGTACCTAAAGGTGGCAGGTTTGATTCCCGGTCAGGACACATGCCCAGGTTTCGGGTTTGATTCTTGGTCAGGGTGTGTGCAGGAGGCAATTGATCAATGTTTCTCTCTCACAATGATGTTTCTCTCTCTCTCCCCTTCCCTTCCTCTAAAATCAGTAATTTAAAAAAAATGTTTAATTAAAAAAAAAAAAAGACACGAACATTTATGGGACTAGAGACCAGCCTCAGAGGTGTAAGAGACTTTGCTGGAGAGCTTGGGGTGAGGGGCCAGGCCTGGGGATGGGGAGCAGGGGAGGGGTGGCTACCTAGCTGGTCATCAGACATTTTCAGGAGCCTGTTCATGGTCTTGAGCTGGACTTCAGGCCGGCTGGAGAAGTTGTGCATGACCCCTGTAAGACACAGGAGAGCGTGGGCGCCTGCATGCACACCCACCGCCCTCGGCCAGCTCACAACCATTCCAAGGGCCAGGGCAGCCGGCCTGTCTGCAGGCCCCGCCTCACAGGTGCACGTGATGGGGCTGGAGGCTCTCCCCACTTGCTAGGCAAGCAGCCTGTCCGGAGCCGCGTCTGAGCATGCCTCACCAGCAAGACGTGGCCAAAGCCTTAGCCCACCCCACGGGAACAGAGGGCTGAGGGTGGAGCCACCCTGGAACTTGAAATGACCTCTTGACCTGGGGGGCGTGGCTGTGGCTGTGCTGGAAGCCCCAGGGCGCCCAACCTGGGGCACAGGCACCTGGGGCGCAGTGGGTGGGGCAAGCACTGGGCCAGTGACAGGTGGCACCCAGGACTGAGTCCTGAGGGTGTCAAGTTGCAGAGGGAGCCCGTGTGCTTTCTCTCCCTGCAGGGATGTGCCTGCTGGCCCAGGGTTCTGGGCACACAGTAACCACACAGGAAGTGCTGCTGAGTGGGGAAGGCACTCGGGGCACTGGAGCCACTGTGCCGGGGTGTGGGGGCAAATGCAGGGCGTCCCAGGGGCTCTACGGTGAAGGGGCTGGTCAGCTCTAAGGAGGACTCCAGCGCAGGAAGAGGGGAACGGGCGGGGAGCTTGGGCCATGCAGATGAACTCCACTGCAGGCCATGGGGGCTGGGGGGGCACCGAGCGGGCAGCGCCCTGAGCAAAGCTTGGGCCATGCAGATGAACTCCGCTGCAGGCCATGGGGGCTCGGGGGCACCGAGCGGGCAGCGCCCTGAGCAAAGCTTGGGCCATGCAGATGAACTCCGCTGCAGGCCATGGGGGCTGGGGGGGCACCGAGCGGGCAGCGCCCTGAGCAAAGCTCCCTTGTGATGGATGGAGGGGTGACCAGAAGCCTCCTACCCACTGGCCCCAGGAGCCCACTGCGCTGGAAGCTCAGACACAGAGGCCCGTGGTGCCGATGCCTCTGGGTCCCTGCCTCACCTAGAATGCTGGGCACGTGGCCTTCCAGCAGTATGTGGGAGATGAATGCGGGCACCTCCCGCCGCTGCAGCCGCAGGGACAGGCTCTGGGACCTGAAATCGCTGCGTATGAAGGTGAGCTGGATGATGTCCCTGGAGAGAGCGACAGCCGGTGGTCCCCCTTGCGGCTCTCCTCGCACAGACCCAGGGGCACAGGGTGGCCCCACGTTGACTCCACTGGGCAGCGCCTCTCACCATGTCACGGCTGCCCAGCTGGCACCCCAGCAGCCCCACCTCTAGGAGTGACATGGGGCTCACGCCACCGCCAGGCAGAGGGAGGAGCGTGCTGCGTCCTGGCACTTGCATGCGTGGGCCCCTCCTCCATAAAATATACAAGAAGTCAGATTTGACAACTGGGTGGTATAAAGCCGAGTGTGACCCAGGCTGGGTCCAGTGTTACAGATTCGCTCTTTCCTTCTGACTTTAAAATAAACCAGAATCAAGCCCTGGCCGGTTTTGCTCAGTGGTGAGAGCGTCGGCCTGCAGACCAGAGAGTCCCAGGTTCGGTTCCTGCTAAGGGCATGTGCCTCAGATGCAGTTTGTCCCCAGCCCCAGTTGGGGTCGTGTGGGTGGCAACCACTCGATGTGTCTCTCTCACAACAATGTTTCTCTTCCTCCCTCTCTCTCTCCTGCTCTATCTGAAAATAAATGCAAAAATGTCCTCAGGTGAGGATAAAAAAAATAAAATAAACCACAATCAGTACATGTTCCTGCCTGGGGACCATGCACCCCTCGCCCGGAGAAGTTGGCCCTGTTGTCTCCCATGCAGAGGGCCCTGCACCCAAGACACTTGTTTGAACAGCACCCCTGGAGCTGGCAGAGGTGCATGGGTGGGGCAGGTGGGTGTGGCCTTGCTCCACACCAGTCGCATGGGGATACGTTGGAGGCACACGGGGAAACTAGAAACTTCGATGCAGCCGGGCCGTGCTCACCTGACTGTTATCCGCTCCTCGGGGTTGACCTGCAGCATCTGGGGCAGGAGGGAGGCGAAGGTCTTCACATTGGGGACCTGCTTCTCCTCCATGGTCCTCAGCACACCGCTCAGGCCCCCGGGGAGGCTCCTGAGGGACTTGCGCAGCAGCATGGCCTCTGTAGCCTGCGAGGGGCAGGGACACCACTCCTCGAGTTCCAGAACCGACACAAACTGGGCCTGCCTCCGAGGGAGCGCCATGGGGTGGGGGCAGGGTGTGAGCGGGTGGGAGCAGGGTGTGAGCAGGTGGGAGCAGGGTGTGAGCGGGTGTGAGTCGGTGTGAGCGGGTGTGAGCGGGTGTGAGCAGGGTGTGAGCGGGTGGGAGCGGGTGGGAGCGGGTGTGAGCGGGGTGTGAGCAGGTGTGGTGGGTGTGAGCGGGGTGTGAGCAGGGGAGAGCAGGTGGGGTGTGGGTGTGAGTGGGTGTGAGCAGGGGAGAGCAGGTGGGGTGTGGGTGTGAGTGGGTGTGAGCAGGGGAGAGCAGGTGGGGTGTGGGTGTGAGTGGGTGTGAGCAGGGGAGAGCAGGTGGGGTGTGGGTGTGAGTGGGTGTGAGCAGGGGAGAGCAGGTGGGGTGTGGGTGTGAGCAAGGTGTGAGTGGGTGTGAGCAGGGGAGAGCAGGTGGGTGTGGGTGTGAGTAGGGTGGGAAGTCTGGCAGCGCCTCTAGCGGCCCAGAGACTCCTTTGAGCGCATCGTAGAAGAAGGGGAGGTTCAGAGAGTGGTGGGAGCATCTCACTGGCAGAGGGAGTGGGGGACCCTCCTTCCTGCCCGGTCCCTGCTGCAGGGACTCCAGCTGAGCTGAGTGTGAGCCCCCGCGGGGACGCGCACCCGCCTGTCTGGATGACAGCCCGTGTGTTCAGGCCCACGTGGGGCCAGTTCCCACTGCAGGTAAGTGCGTCCTTCACTCATACGGGCCGAGAGCAGCCCAAATCCCACCCTGGGTTTTCTTGTCCACAAGGGGTAGTGAGAACACCCGGAGGGCGGCTGCGAGGGGCAGACTCGGGCGGACTTGGATGTGGCCATCATGTCATTGCTGAAGGGCCAGGAGTGCAGGGGGCGGGGCCCTCCAGCAGCTGGGGCGGGGCTATGCACAGAAGCACAGAGCAAGAGCGCCCCCTGCGGGGCTGGGGTGAGCCCGACCTGCGACCTGCGGTGGGGAGGGGGTTTGCCGTGTGGCAGGGAGGGGTGGGCGAAGGCGGCTCACGTCCAGGAAGGAGCAGCTGACCATGTCCAAAATGATGCAGCCCAGGGACCAGATGTCCGCTTTCTGGCTGAAGGAGAAGTTGAGGGCTTCTGGGGCCATCCAGGACTTCTGAAAGGGGTCTGTTGGCAAGAGTGTGGGGTGCGTGAGTCCTGTGCTCCTTGAGGAAGCAGCAGCTTAACAAATGAGCCCTTCATCACCCTGCTCTGGGGACGCAGGGACGGGCTCTGTCGGGGGAAGGGAGCGGCCCTCACCAGCAAGTTCCTGTCCCTTGATCTCCAGTGAGGCTGCCCATCTAGGCCGGTGCCCACCGGCTGGCCCACTGTGGCTGCAGTGGTTGGAAGAAGGCTAAAATCTGCACCCACTTTAAACATCTTGCCCCTTTAAATATCAGGACCTTGAGGCAAAGTTCCAGTTGTCCCCCCCCCCCTTGTTTCTAAACCTGAACCCTAGACAAGGTGCCAACCGAGCAGGGTCCCCAGTCCAGCTGTCAGGTCCTCACGGGCCTCAGGCCTCCCTCTCTGGACCTCCATTCCCTGGCCAAGCAGGACTCCAAGGACCCTGCCATCTACACCTCCAGTAGAGCCACCCACCCACCTACACATCCCTCCTTCTATTCACTTGTCCATCTACCCATCTATCCACCTGCTCCTCCACTCACTCACCCACCCATCTATTCACTTGTTTATCCACTCATCCATCCACCCACCCATTTAACTATCCATCCATCCACCCACTCATCCACCTGTCCATCCATCCATCTATTCCCCTGTCCATCCATCCATGCATGCATGCCTCCATCCATCCACCCACCCATCCATCCGTCCATCCATCCATCCATCCTCTGTGCAGCAAGGACAGCAGGGCAGTGCCACCAGCACCTGCCACCCCACGCCCCTGGAACCCTCCACTGTGCTGGCTCTCTCCATCCCTGACAGCTCTCAGAGGCTGGAAGCCTGGTTCCCTTGGCCCCATTGTCTTTTCAGAGGAAGGAGAGTTCATGTCCCCTTACTCCCCACCTCCACCATCTCCCGGGTCACTGTAGGGGTCAGTCAAGGAACCCGACCCTAGCCAGTGCCTGGCACCCAGCAGGCTTCCACCTCTACATGCCGTTTCCTTCCCCCGGAGACTCTCTTCTCCCTCTGTGCAGGGTGTCGTCTGGACCCTGCATGCCTTCCCCCATGGAAGGACCCCTGCTCAGTTACGGTGCGGCCAGGGGTCTGTTTGGACTGTACATAGCCTAGGAGGGGTCTGTGGGGACCTTCTGAGCAAGGAGAGGTTTGATGTTGCCTTGTGCCAGCATCCAGAGTGGCCACTGCCCTCTGGACTCCAGTAACAAGGAGCTTCTGGTGACTGACCCCTCCCCCTGCTCCTCAGCCACCCCTGTCCCAGGCCTGGGGGCACCCAGCCACCTTCCTCTGCTCGGACGTTCCACTTGGCCTTGTGGGTCATCAGTGCGTTGCAGCTCAGGTCCTGCAGTTTGCAGTGGTTGGAGCTGACCAGAGCGATGTTGGAGGGCTTGAGGTTCCTGAAAGCGAGGGGCACACCTTTGCACCCACCTGCGGGGCCAGCGGGCACCCTGAGTCTTACTTCCTGCCCCACCCAGTTCCAGAGCAGCAGCTCACACCCCTCTCTTCAATAAATGCCCCCTTTGCAGCCCACTTTTGAAATATTGTCTCCTATAAACAGAAAACCCAGCCGGTTCTTTTCAATTGGACAAAACGAGCGGACGGGTAAGAAACGGCCCATCCTTCTGTGGCCCCTCTGGATCTGAGCTGCGCCTTTGCTGGGGTTGGGCTTCCACTGACATCAACACGGCCCGGGCTTTCCCTCTGCCCTGGACAGCGATCCAGCCGGAAGCCGTTCCCAGGCGTCAGACCATGGATCCCGGAGCTCGGAGCTCAGGGTCACAGCCTCACCACCTGGCCGAGGCCACAGCGGTGTAATCTCCCGCCTGGGCGTGGCTGGGAGTGTGTTATCTGCCTTCTTCCTTGCACTTTAGAACCACCTGCCCGCGTCAGCCCGCACTTCAGGAAGCTGCGTGGTGAGGGCGTCACTGGAGGGTGCGTGGGGGTGACATTCTCATTCTGCCCGGGAGGCAGGTGCTCTGGACCGGCGCCTGCCTTCATCCTGGCTGCAGGGACCGCGGCCACACCCCTCTCCCTGGACTCTGTGCTCAGGCACTGATGTCCAAGGGAACCGGTACCTGTTCTGAAGCAACCTGGCCCCTAGTCACCTGTGGATGAGGTCCAACTGATGCAGGTATTCTAGAGCATCCAGCACCTGGCCCAGCATGTTCTGCAGCCACTGGGGAGAGAGCGAGAGGGCAGGGCTGTGGGGCCGCCGCTGTCAGCACAGGTCGGGGGCGCTCCGAGCAGCCAGCAGGATCACACCTCTCCCGTGTCCTGACGCGGCTGAGGCCAGCCAGAGCTCAGAGGCCCTGCAGGAGGCTGGTCTCAGGGCCTCCGACAGTAAAACCGGGTCAGCCGGGCAACGCCCCAGTGCCCCACCCCACACTCGTCTCCATGTCGAGAACTGGGGCCCTGGGGCTCCGCACCTGCACCCCACCCCTGCGGCCCATGGGCCTCGTGGGCAGGAGAGTGAAGTCTTCAGTGCCTACGTGGGGCTCATCTCTCTGTCACTAGAATGAAGAGAGCTCTGACAGAATGTTCTGGAAGCATTCTGTGTCAGAAACAAGACCCAAACCATGTTCCTAGGAGCCCTGGATGCTCCCCTGGGGTGTCAGAGGCTGAGCGGGCAGCACCCCAGGCTTCCCCCCACATGCCCCGACTGGAGTAGCTCAGCTTTACTTGCTGGTTTCTGAGGACACTTTATCTTCAAAAGGCTCTATCACCCCCAGAAAGCTTGAGACCCTCCAGAGCCTGCCTCTGAGGATGGGTGGGGGTGGGGAGGGCCCCTCAGCCAGGAGACAGTGAGGAGGCCACCAAGCAAAGGGGAGCTTAGAGCAAACACAGGCCGCAGTCATCTGGGGTGGGCCATGGACCTGAGTGTGAAAGCGATGTTGACCAGGCCAGGGGACGGCGAGGCCTCGGGGCAGGAAGGGACCCACGTGACCTGTCACAGAAGCCCGGATAAACTGCCTTCACTACGGCGAAGGACTTCTGCTCATTGGGAAGAAAGAGGGCTGGCTAGTCGCAGGTGAGGAGAGGCCACTCTGGACACAAAGGACTCCGATGGACCAATAAGAGACAAACAACCCAGGCTTAGACAGATGGACCAGTAAGAAGAGACAAACAACCCAGGCTTAGACAGATGGACCAGTAAGAAGAGACAAACCACCAGGGCTTGGACCGATGGGCCAATAAGAAGAGACAAACCACCAGGGCTTGGACCGATGGGCCAATAAGAAGAGACAAACCACCAGGGCTTGGACCGATGGGCCAATAAGAAGAGACAAACCACCAGGGCTTGGACCGATGGGCCAATAATAAGAGACAAACCACCAGGGCTTGGACCGATGGGCCAATAAGAAGAGACAAACCACCAGGGCTTGGACCGATGGGCCAATAAGAAGAGACAAACCACCAGGGCTTGGACCGATGGGCCAATAAGAAGAGACAAACCACCAGGGCTTAGATGCCCGAAAGGCCGGCACAGGCACAAGATCTGCCAGTGGCCAAGAGGTGCTCACTGAGCTGACTCATCGTCCCTGAAATCAAAACGCCACTTTTCAGTAAAAAACATGGACATGCTGAAGGGCTGGCCAGGGTGCGGCGCCGGGGGCTCCGCTGGCGGCGAGGGCGGCCCGGGTGGGCCAAGCTGGCTGGAGGCCGGCACATCTGCTCCAGCGGCATCAACTGCTCTCCGGCCGGGCGACTCCACGCCTCAGGGTTGATCCAGGAAAAATGAGCGCTCAGGGCCACCATAGGAACACCCCGCAATGTTCACGGCCACCTTCTCCACAGCCCGAACTGGAAACAGCCGCTCCCAGCGCTGCACTGGACATAGGCCACCCAAGGCCACGGCACCAGCCGCAGAAGGGGACAGTTTGCAGGGGCGCTCGCAGTGGGGGTGGGCCTCAGAGGCACCAGGATGAAGGTCGGAGACCAGACATAGACAACAGCACCCCGTGTGAGCCTGCCTGTAGGGACTTGGGGCCAGGCAGGCGGCGGACGCAGCTCCTGACCGCGGGACCTTCTGGAGTCCCGGGCTCTGTGCCCGCCTGGGAGGTTGTGAGGACAGCTGTGTGAGCACACCCGGCTGTGCGTGAAGACCTGTGGGCGGCAGTGTGCGAACACCTCCACACACGGACCCCAGTAGTCCTGCCCCCCACCTTGTGGGCGGTGACATCACATGGTCAGGTGGTCCCCAGGCCCGGTGTCCTAGACCAGCTGTCTCACCTCCGAGTCCATGACCATCCTCTTCTCCCTGTTCTTGTCGATGACCCTCTGCAAGCTCCCCCTGCTGTAGTCCATCACCAGGCAGAGGAACAGGGAGGAGATCTGTGGGGACACAAGGCCTTAGGCAGGTGCGCGGTTCTGGCCCCGAAGCCCAGCTGGGCGGGGCTGCGCTGGGCGGCCACCGCAGTGCCTGCGGGACCACTCCTGGGGGCCGGGGTTCAGGCCCCTGGTGAGCAGCTCCTGCTGGACCTCCAGCCTCACCCCCACCCCCACCCGGGCTCCATCTACAGGGGAACTTCTCTGAAGGCCGCCTCGGCCTCTTGGCCACCGCACGCGTGGAGGCCTGGGCCCGGGACCGCGCCCCTTCACAGCCCAACTTACATCCCTCCCCTCCCTCGGAGGAGGCTGCCCCAGAGGGGACCCCAGCAGCCGGTCAGCCTCAACTGGGGCTTTAGGACAGTGCCTTCCCGCCCACAGCGCCATGTTCCTGGCTTCTCTGTGTCTCCTTCAGAGCGTCAGGGATGCTCAGGAGATATGTGGGAGGTGACGACCTCTCCCCAGGGTTTCCTTGGGGCCCAGTCAAAGGGAAGGCATGGGTGTGAGGGGGACCCTCCGCTCCTGCTCAAACCCTTGCTGTCAGCCGCAGAGGGGACACTCATGTGGGGACGTGATGAGGGTGACGCTCAGCCGGAGGCCGCGTGTCCCCTCACCGCAGCGCCCACGCCCCGCTGCCCGCTGCCCCGCGAACTGCAGCTCTGGCCCGGTGCAGGCCGGAGGCCACGTGTCCCCTCACCGCAGCGCCCACGCCCTCGCTGCCCGCTGCCCCGCGAACTGCAAGCTCTGGCCCGGTGCAGGCCGGAGGCCACGTGTCCCCTCACTGCAGCGCCCACGCCCTCGCTGCCCGCTGCCCCGCGAACTGCAAGCTCTGGCCCGGTGCAGGCCGGAGGCCGCGTGTCCCCTCACCGCAGCGCCCACGCCCTCGCTGCCCGCTGCCCCGCGAACTGCAGCTCTGGCCCGGTGCAGGCCGGAGGCCACGTGTCCCCTCACTGCAGCGCCCACGCCCTCGCTGCCCGCTGCCCCGCGAACTGCAAGCTCTGGCCCGGTGCAGGCCGGAGGCCACGTGTCCCCTCACTGCAGCGCCCACGCCCTCGCTGCCCGCTGCCCCGCGAACTGCAGCTCTGGCCCGGTGCAGGCCGGAGGCCGCGCAGCCGTAGGATGAAGCACAGGCTGGAGCCACAAGACCCAGACGGGCCTCCCACTCAGCTGCGCTGGCTGTGTGGCCTTGGAGAGCTCCTCAGCCTCTCTGAGCCCCAGTAATGAGGACAGCCGTCCCACCTGCAGGCCTCCAGCACACTGCGTGGGTCCAACGAGGGGAAGGAGGGCACGGGGTCCTGATGCCTGCCTGCTCCTTCGTGAAAGTCGGAACTCCAGCCCTGGCTGGTGGGGCTCAGTGGTTAGAGCATCAGCACACAGACCGAAGGGTCGTGGGTTCCATTCCCAGTCAAGGGCAGGTGCCTGGGTTGCAGGTTTGTCCCCAGCCCTGGCAGAGTTCATGTGGGAGGCAACAAATCAATGTGTCTGTCTCATGTCGATGTTTCTCTCTCTCTCTCCCTCCCTTCCACTCTATCTAAAAAAAATCAACAGAAAATTATCCTTGGGTGAGGATTAACCAAAAAACAACAACAGAAGCCAGAACTGCACCCTCAGAGGCACAGACTCACTGAGCCTGCAGGACGAGCTCAGCAGCTGAAGGCACTGGGCGCTGCAGCCATGCCCACCTGGCTTCACGTCCCAGCTGGGCCACAGGAGGGGTAAGAGCCTGGGAGGAACCTGTTTCTCTCAGCCTCCGTGTCTTCTGTGACCTGGGGTCATAACCCCTCTCCACCCAGGCTGCTGCGGCCCACAGGAGACAAGGCCCAGAGAGCAGCCCACGTGGCTGAGAGTCACTGCCATTGACGCTGCAGCGGGGACAATGGTGCGGGGTGCTCCGTACCCAGATCGCTGTCCCTGCAGCCACCAGGTGACCCACCTGGCTATTCCACGTGATGAACATGTCCCGGTAGACGGAGATGTTGGTGTGCCGAAGCTTCAGCACAGGCATCAGCTGCAGGCACGAGAACACAGGGGAGACTGTTGGCAACACTGGTTCTCAGTTGCTGCTTCCCTGTCCCATATCCTAACAAAAATGCAAGCTTCCCGCTCCGAGCAGGCCAGGGCACAAGGGGTGTGTGCAGCTGGCTGGCGGTTAGGGGCCACAGGGTCCGGTGTGGGTCCTGGCTCCAACACGTGTGTGCAGGGTGCTGTGTGACAGAGGAGCAGCTCCTCAACCTCTCTGAGCCTCCTACCCTCGCCTGACAACGGTGGTAACGGTGGTATCTGCTCAGTGGTGTCCTGACTAGGAATCGAACCGGCGACCTCTTGGTGCATGGTTCGATGTTCAACCACTGAGCCACATTGTCCGGGCTGAAAAATAATCTTTTAAAAGATGGTTGGGAGAAAAAAGGAGAAACATCTGTAACAAAAATAAATTAATAAATATTAAAAAAAAAAAAAAAAAAAGATGGTTATTGGTAGATTACCCTAAGGACCTGGCCAGCATTTAAACTTGATCTTTCTCACTCGGCCGGTGTGGCTCAGTGGTTGAACATCGAACCATGCACCAAGAGGTCGCCAGTTCGATTCCCAGTCAGGGCACATGCCTGGGTTGTGGGCCCGATCCCCAGTGGGAGGCATGCAGGAGGCGGCCAATCGATATTCTCTCTCATCGATGTTTCTCTCTCTCTCTCCCTCTCCCTCTAAAATCAACAAAGAAAAAAAAATTAAACATCTCCTCTGAGACATATATTCTAAGTTGTCTGCACTTAGATGTAGACTTGAGTGTTTGGCCAGACTCCCTTCACGACCTGGGGGCTTCTGGCTCCACAGCACAGGGAAAGAACTGTCTGACCCTCCCTGCCTCTGCCCAGTCACCCCAGACGAGTGCACAGAACATCCTTTGTGTGCTGCATCATGTCCTCCAGGGCAGGGAACCACCCAGAGAGTTACCTCCTCCAGGGCCTCATTGGCATGATGATCGTCAATGCATTCTACCTGTAGGCGCACAAGAGCACTAGCTCAGTAAACGTGTAGTAAGCCATCACCACTATCATACCACCGCCAATATCATCACCGCCACTACCATCATCATTACCACCACCACCACCACCACCATCACTATCATCACCAACACCATCATTACCACCACCACCACCACCATCGCTATCATCATCACCATCACCACCACCACCATCACTGTCATCATCACCATCACCACCACCACCATCGTTATCATCACCACCACCACCATCACTATCACCACCCCCACCACCACCATCACTATCATCACCACCACCATCACTATCATCACCAACACCATCATTATTACCACCACCACCACCATCACTATCATCATCACCATCACCACCATCATTATTACCACCACCACCACCATCACTATCATCATCACCATCACCACCATCATTATTACCACCACCACCACCACCATCACTATCACTACCACCACTATCATCATCACCATCATCACCACCATCATCACCATCACCATCACCACCACCACCACCATCACTACTACCATCACCACCACCACTACCACCACCACTGCCATCATCATCCTCACCACCACCATCACTACCATCATCCTCACCACCACCATCATCCTCACCACCACTACCATCACCCCACCACCACCACCACCACCACCATCATCACTGTTAGCTTTAACTTCCATATTACTACCCCACCGCAGCCCTAAGTTAAAACCCCTTGGTCTGTACGAACCGGCTGCTGCGCTCTACTTGGAGGCAGCCAGGCAGGTATTTCCCTCAATAAACCTGCACTTCCTGGTGACTCAGCTCCATCCCGTTCTTATAATCACCACCACTACCCCAGTATCACCGTCATCATCACCACCATCACCATTAATTCACCAGGGTGCTAGGCGCCTCCCATTCATGTCCCACCACATGGCACCACATGGGGCCTGAAGATGTTCCTAAGGCAGGGATCCAAAAACACTTGGAGCAATGAGAATATAGTTGCTCCTGCTGCAAGGGTAAGTGTAGGATAGCAAAACATAAATTCTAAACTATCATGAGAGGATTCATTTTCAAATCATCTTGAAAGCAGAAAAGAATGTGTTGGCCCCAGAGCCAAACAGCTCTGCTCTGGCTGGCAGAGTCTCAACCTTACCACTTCATGTGTTATCTGAATTGGGAAGGTTCAGACCTGCACATGGGGCAGGAGACAAACACACGGAGGGCAGAAGGGTGGGAGAAGGGCGGTACCAAGCTTCGAGTCTGCAACACACTTGTGGCAAAGGCTGCAGGTAGATGGGACCCTCACGTCTCCTACCAGACCCTTACCCAGGATTTGCATGTCTGCTCGCGAGACAGACACACGTAGATCTCTGCAACGGGTGATCGTAGACGAAAACGCCGTTGGTGGGCTAGTCCCGAGCCCTGTACGGGCCCAGGTGCGGCAGTGCAGAGTCGGCCTGTCTCCCCTTCCTCCTGGGCAGGGGCTCATGCTTAGGTCAGTTCAGCCAACACATGCTGAGAGCCTTAAAAATGGCACATCTTTTGTCCTAGAAATCCCACCCCTCGGCCTTTATCCTAAGCAAACCATGGATCCTCAAAAAAAGGAACTCTGTGGTGGTTTATCAGAGCTGACTGTGCAGGAAGAGCTAAGTGCTTGTGGCGCAGGACGGGAGCCGCAGCGGTGGCAGGCTGTCCGCCGAGGCCAGCAGAGCTGAGCGGGAGCTGTGCCAGCAGCACGAGCGGCGAACAGCACGCCGAGGGCACAAGTACACGGTCCACTTCCACACCATCTCGTGAAAACAGATTGTACAAATGCGTAGAAAAAGGCTGGAAGGCACACAAGCCCCTCCCTGCACCCCGCCCTGTATTTTTAAAGAAAGACTGACTTTTTAAAAAGCTCCACTGCCCGCAAGTCAGGCAGCTGTCCTCCCATTGGCCGTGAGACAGCAGAAGGTGGGTGAGGACTTCACGCCCGGCACTGGGCACAGGCTGTTGGGCTGACCACAGACAGGCAGCCTGGCAGAGCGGAAGGCATCTCCACCTACAGGGGCAGCCCTGATCCCGAGGGGTCCCAACTAGGGGGTGCCAACTGTCTTCCCCTGGACTCTCGGCTCCTCAGGACCAGCGGACTTGGACACACAGAGGGCTGCCCGCTCAGGTCTGCATCCCACCGTGCCCTGCCAGCTGGTGAGGAGGTGGAGGAAGGGCCTGTGTGACCTGCCCTCTGCCTGGCTCCCCATCAGTAAAACTGGTGGCCCCCAGTGAGGTAGCTTGAATTCAAATCATCTTGGGAACTGTGATGCTGGCTGGTCTGCAGCCTCCCTCTCCTCCCTCTCCTCCCTCTCCTTGGCTGTGAGGTTCGGTCATGGCTCCCGCTTTGCTGGGTCAGAGGGAGATTCAATGAGATGACGCCTCACTGAATGAATGGTAGGTGTGGTTGTGGTTGTTGTCCAAGTGAAGATGAGCATTTCTTCTTCCCCCAGGTGGCCTCAGCCACCCCCACGGCTACCCGACTGGATCTGCCTGGTGCCCGCTGGCGGAGAGGAGTCCAGATGTTGCATCCGGAACTCAAGCTTTTCCTAACAGGGGGATGGTGATCGGATGTTTGGGGAACCGCCTCCACTGGGTGCCAGGGGCGCAGCCTCTTACCTGCTTTATTACACGCTTTACTTTGGTTGCTTTCTCCTTCACCACCAGGTTCAGCCCCAGGGCCCCAGGATTCAGCTCCTCCACAATCTACCAGCGACAAGGAAAGAAGTTTCAGGAAATGCATAGCTTTTCACTTCCCAAAGTGCACCCTGCTGCAAAGCCTCCTGCGCTCCTCCAAATTTCCCCCCAGTTCTCCCTGCAGCTCCGAAAATGGAGGAAACGGTCCCCAGGCTGAGTTGCCCTTTGAAGGTGGAACCCAAGCCGGTCTCTTATGTTTGTTTGTTTTTTTTATCCTCATGTGAGGACATTTTTTCCATTTTTTTGTTCAGATAGAGTAGGAAGGAGAGAGGAAGAGAGAGAGAGAGAGAGAAACATCGATGTGAAAGGGACACATCGAGCGGCTGCCACCCACACAACCCAACCAGGGCCAGGGACAAACTGCAACCGAGGTACGTGCCCTTAGCGGGAACTGAACCCGGGTCTCTCCAGACCGCAGGCCAACACTCTAACCGCTGAGCCAAACCGGCCAGGGCCCAAGCCGGTCTCTTTGGGGTTGATCCTGGAGCTCTTTCCACCACCCCCTGCCCCTTCTCCATGGTACAGCAAAGACCAATCAGGGGCATCCAAGAGCCAGCACAGGGTTGGTTCACTCTCTCCAGCTCTCTATGATCCCAACTTCCAGCACCCACCTTCGAAGTGGGCACCCAAACAAGAAACTGATCCAGAACTGGCGCAGTCATGATCACAGCCATGTGTGTGCCTAGCACCGTGCCAAGCACTGTGCATGTCATCACCACTATCGCTACCTCCATGTTCACCCTGGAGGAAACCAAGGCACGCGGAGCGAGGTTCTTGCCTGAGGCCACAGCACTAATAACGGAGTTGGCCTGGATTAGACTGGAACTCCCGGGTCTGACCCTAGAGCCTGTGCGCTGAGCCAAACCTGCAGAGAGACGGCTGCCATGCCATACATGGGGGTTAGGCGGTGAGGCTGGACAATGGAAGTACATTGACCAGAGACTAGAGGAGGCGGGGCACGATGCAGCGCAGAAATGTGGGGAACGGAACCCTGGGTCTAGGGACTTTCCGAGTCCAGAAACGTTTTAGGGTTCTGTAATGCAGCCCCTCTGAGTGACCTGAATCCTGCTCAGGAAATAACAGGGACAATGTCCGGAGCAGTTTGCGCTGCTGTAAGAACGCAAGTGCTTAGGCCCTCTTGGGGGTGGCAAATTAAACAGTAAAGTGCACCTGCCTCAGATCAAGACTATTTTCCCTGAAAAACTACCTTTGCTTTTTAATTCTAAAAATATTTTTTAATTTTTTAAATAAAAAATGTCTTGCCCTGGCCGGTTTGGCTCAGCGGTTAGAGCGTCGGCCTGTGGTCCGGAGAGACCCGGGTTCGGTTCCCGCTAAGGGCACGTACCTCGGTTGCAGTTTGTCCCCGGCCCTGGTTGGTCGTGCGGGTGGCAACCACTCGATGTGTCCCTTCACATTGATGTTTCTCTCTCTCTCTCTCTTCCTCTCTCTCCGTCCCGCTCTGTCTAAACAAAAAATGCAAAAAAAAAAAAAAAAATGTCTTTAAGTTTTGAGCCACTGGTGTGGCTCAGTGGTTGAATGTCGACCAGTTCGATTCCCGGTCAGGGCACATGCCCGGGTTGTGGACTCGATCCCCAGTAGGTGGCATGCAGGGGGTGGCCAATCGATGTTCTCTCTCATCGGTGTTTCTCTCTCTCTCTCCCTCTCGCTCTAAAATCAATAAAGAAAAAATATTAGCCCAGCTGGTGTGGCTCAGTGGCTGAGAGTGACCCATACACCAAGAGGTCGCTGGTTCGATTCCTGGTCAGGGCACATGCCCAGGTTGTGGCAACCCCCAGTGGAGGGCATGCAGGAGGCGGCCAATTGATGTTCTCGCTCATCAATGTTTCTTTCTCTCTCCCTCTCCCTTCCTCTCTCACTAAAAATAAAGAAAAAAATTTTTTTTAAAGATTAAAAAAAACATTTTTTTTTCTTTACTGATTTCACACTCCCCACTGGGGATCAGGCCCACATGCTGGGCATGTGCCCTGACTGGGAATCGAACTGGTGACCTCTTGGTGCAGGGTCCACAGTCAACCACTGAGCCACACCAGCTGGGCCTAACTATGCTTTTTAAATTCTCTGGCCCCCAGAAAGTCCTCTGCTTCACCCACTGACTGCCTTGCAGTCATCCCACACAAAGTGAGAAAAATCTAATTTACAAATTATTTTCAGATTAATGACGTTTTTATGAGGCTCGAATCTAACACTTCATAAAGTTGACATATTATGTATAGAAACATTGAATTAAACGTTCATTCATTTGTATTCTGCAGCTTTTCTTTTGTGAACTTTTCAGGTCCTGTACATTTTCACAGGTCCCCCTACCGGGACTATTGGCAGGGTGTTTCAGGAGTTTGGGGGCCCCTGTCCTGAACTCTGGATGTATCGGGGTGCCCTGTTTCCGAAGGCCCAAGCGCATGGACCCATGGGTGAGAAGCATGGAGCTGTCTTCCACTCCATACATTCAGACAAAGCTGGACAGTCCTTAATTTCCCCCATCATTTTAGAGAGGGGTAAACTGAGGCCCGGAGAGGCAAAGGGCACCCAGGAGGTCACCTCTGGAAGCACTCGATGAGCTAGAGGCAGACACTGGCCAGAAAACGGGTCCCCTGCCTCGCTGGGGTGGGCCCTCGCTTGCAGCCTGCACCGGGGCCACGACCGTTACACCAGCAGGGGCTGGGGGTGCAGGCAGGAGGTCCAGGTCCAGGGCTTGGCCCAGATCGTCAGGCCCTCGTCGCCCCAGCCTCCCCGCGAGGGGACAACCAGGCACCTTGTACTTTTCCATAATAACGACTCCAGTCTTCCCTCGCTCTCGGTGGGGCACTGAGGGTGCGCCCCCAGCCGGCGCCTGCGGACCCTCGACGGAGCATGCTCAGTCGGGACCGCGTCTTGGTGAGCACCCCAGCCCCCACCCTGGGAATGACCCTCGGCCCGGGGTGTGTCTGCCTGACCACGTGACCCTCCCTGCCCAAGCAGGAACCGCTGTGGCAACGTTGCGTCCGTGTGGCAAGTAGGCCCTCAGGGCCCGGCCGCCCTGAGTCTGGTGCCGCGTTGGGCCTTGAGCTCGGTGGGCGTGGCCGGGGTGAGCGGGGCCGGAAGGGACCGCCGAGGGTCGACGCGCGGCGGGCGGAGCCTCAAGCGCGGAGGCGGAGCCTGAGAGCGCGGCGGGTGGAGCCGCGCGGCGTGGGGGCGGGGCCTAGTGGCGCGGCGGGCGGAGCCGCGCGGCGTGGGGGCGGGGCCCAAGAGCGCGGCGGGCGGTGCGGCGGCGGGCGGTGCGAGGCCCCTTTAAGGCGCGGCCGGGGCGGGCCCCGCGGCGCGGCCCCTTTAAGGCTTGGCCTACGTGGCAGCCGCTGAAGCCGCCCACGAGCAGTGAGGCCGGCCGCCGGGCACTTCCTGTGGAGGCCGCAACGGGCGCGGGCGCCGACGGGCCGAACGCCGAGCGAGCGAGCGAGCGAGCGAGCCGAGCCTCCCGCCGCCGCCATGGGCCAGAACGACCTGATGGGCACGGCCGAGGACTTCGCCGACCAGGTGCGGCCTGCGGGCCTGCCGGCCTCGCCTGCCCGGCCCCCTCCCCCGGCCCCCGCCGCTCCCACTCGGCCCCCGCTCGCAGGGCCGCCCCGAGGCCTGGGCCGTGCCCGCACCCCTCCCGGTCCGGGGGTCGCGCCCCTCCCCCCGCCACGGCCCTCCCTCCTGGGCTCGTTGCCTGTGCCGGCCTGGGACACCCCAACCCGGCCCGGGCCCAGCCTCCCTTCGCCGCCCCCTCACCGCGGTGGGGTGTGTTCTCGGGCCCCGCTTGGCACCCCGCTCGGTGACCCGGCCCCCCGTCGGCCCTGGCCGTGCTGGAAGGGGAGGGGTGGGAGCGGCTGCCTCCCCGCCCCCCGAGAGGGCGACCCGAGCCTGGGGGTCGGGGTCGCCGCGGTGCCCGGCTGCCGGCGGGGCCCCTGCGCGCTGCTCCTTTCGCTGGGCTCTCAGGAGGCGGGTGGGCACTGGGATCCCGAGCTGGGTCGGGCCGACTGGAGGTCTGGGGGTCCTCCCAGAGGAAAGGGGGCGCCCTGGGATGCACCCCAACTACAGACAGCGCAGCACTTTTTCCTTTCTCTTTCCCAGCTGTGTGGACTCGTGGGGTCCCTTTGACCCCGCCAGTTCCCTCCCTGGACTCTGCCCCCGGCTGCATTGAATGAGTATCTGTCCATCTCGCACAGGCCTGGGAGGAGGGGCCGCCTGTGCTCCTGGGACCTGTCCTCCCAGAAGCGCGCAGGTGGCAGGCACTCCGGGTGACAGGGGAGCCCGGGGACCGGTGGTTGGGGGACACCGCCGCAGGTATTCAGCACCAGGACAGACTGGCCCCGCAGGGGGAGAGGACAGAGCTCCCCCCCTCCTGCTTGGTTTGCTCGGCAGGAGTGGCAGGGACTGTTGAGCTGTGTGCCCTGGGCTTGTAAAAGTGTCCCGTTATGTTTGCAGACTGGCAGCCCTGTCTCTGCAGGCAGAGCGCGCTGGCCCAGCGGCCACCCTTGCCCGGTTCGCTCGGGGTGCGTATGTATCTTGGCTTTGCCAGAGTTCAAAGGAGTGAGGTTAAGGTTTTAACTTTTATGGGAGTGCTATCGAGTCATCATACCCCGTGGCTGGGTTTCTTGGAAGGCTGGTGGGTGTGTGACGTAAAAAACAGCAATCGAGTGTTTTCTGATCAGTTATCAGTGAAGGAGATTTTCCGTCGCCCCCTGAGTGCGGCCTCGTAATTGGGTTCTCGGTGCACCACTTTCCTGTAACTAGCCCAGTGTTTTAAAACCTACCTGGAGAAATCGTTTTTTCTGAAGGTCGTGATTTGGTGTCTACAGACACAACTTAGAAATCGTATCCCTCCCCAGAACGGTCCATATCGAAAGCGGTCAAGAACCACCTGGGCCTTCTTTGTCAGTTTTCATTGACATGATTTTAGTGACCCAATTTTATTTCCCCAAGTAGCAACTCCCTAAGAAATGGCTGCTGTTAGCGGAGGGAACTGTGAGAGCTGCAAACACTGGCTCTTCAGCCTGGAACACCCTGGTTTTGCAAGTGAATTTCATAACCAAATCTAGATAAAACGTCTCTAGTCCAGCCACTGCCAACTATCAAATGGTAAACTCTTGCACTGAAAAACAAGTTCAGATCTCTTCACATAACCCTTCCTTCTCTTCCTTCCATGCATTTTTGTTTGTTTTCAATGAAAGAAGCAGAATCTGGGACCTGGAAAGACCCTGGAGGGGCACACAGGGTCAGTGGCACCGAGTTACTGTGGGAAGGAAGGCAAGGCCTGCTGCATCCCACGACCTCAGGCTCTTGCCACATAGAACCGCTGCTAAGGCCCGTGTTCCCCAGCACAGATGCAGAGGAGAGGCCTGCTGCCTAACACCCAGCATGGGCCAAGGCTGTGTCTGTCCCGTGGGCCAAGGCTGTGTCTGTCCCGTGGGCCAAGGCTGTGGCTCTGTCCCGCGGTGTGGCTCCTGCTGCGCGTTTGTCAGCGCCCAGCGCTGTGGCAGTGGCAGGGGATGTCAGCAGACGCCTCCACGTGGGTGACACAGGAGGGCAGAGGTCCTGGTGCTCTTCAGAACCAGTCAGGAGCCTCTGCTGCCGCAGGCAGCCTTGGTGCAGGAGGGCGTGGGCAGGTAGCAGGGTGCAGAGCCCAAGTCACGGCTTCCTGCGGACAGATCTGACCAAGCAGCGTGGCGCTTTCGTTTTTAACATTTAGTTAAAAACACGTAGTAGTAAAGCAAAGCTGCCAATAGAAAAGGGGTGAGTGTCCAGGCCTTTAAAGTGAAAGTGCTCTAATTTGAAGGGAACGGGGAAATACTGAAGTCACTGATAATGTGACATACCTGTTTTTCTCTAACTTTGTCTACAGAAAACAAAAGCAAAATTGAAGTGACAGGATTTGACCTGAAAGTCAGGGCTGCTGAGAGTGGACCTCAAAAGGCCTGTGCGTCCTCTGGTCCTCTGGTAGTTATGATAGTGACATCGGCCCTTTACTTGCACCAGACGGGCCAGGCCCTCCATACGGATCACTTGTGTCACCCTCCGGACTGGGTGAGGTTGGCCATAGTGTCTCCATCTTCTATGCGGAGAGGGAAGTTTGCTGTGGCCTTGCATGGCACCTAGTGGGCTAAGGTTTGAGTCCCTGCCTTGGTACCCCAAGTCTGGGCTCCTTGCTGCTTGGCCGTAGTGTGACCTTCCCTTCAGGTCTGCAGAGGTGAGGGCATGGGATGAGCGGTCTGGTTAGTTTCTGCTGGCAGGCTTCTCCCGAGCTGTCTCTGGCATCAGGCTCCTTGCCCTGGGCAGCCAGGGATAGTGTCTTCCTGCTCCCAGGGGCCAGGTGCTGGGGAAAGTGCTGAGTGCTGACCGAGGGGGCTGGGCACTCGGAAGCCATCTGAGACTAGGTCGGAAGGGCTGAGATTAGTGAGCTCAGCAGTCCAAAATCATACCCTGCTGTGCATGGGTCCCCGCTGCCGGTGTGCAGAGTGTACCATTGAGCCCACGGACACCGTGAACAGGATTAGTAGCACTTAATGGGTCTGCCTGATGGCTCATCACCAAGGTGACACGCGCTGCAGGGGGCCTTACTCTCCAGTGCAGCCTTGGTATTTCTGCCTGTCCTTTGGCAGGACAGAGCCAATTCTGGAAGCTGTCGCCTCCCGGGAGCTCCCCTTGGCCTCCGGTCGAGCGCTGGGGAGTGAGGATGGCTTTGTAGGACACTGAACTAGGCTCTGGATTAACAGCTGGGGCATGCCATGGGGTGTGGGTTCTGAGCACCACCCCCTCCTCCCCCGGCTTCCTGCCCTGCACCATCAGGGGTGGGGAGAGAGGAGACTAAGAGGAGCCACCGCACCTCTTCTGGGGAGTGGGGTAGGGACGTGGGGAGACTGGTTAGAGGCTTCCCCGGAAGGGGAGGCGCAGCCATTTTTCTTCCGTGTGGCTGCTGCCCTACAATTAGGTAGGCTTTGTCACAGTCAGTAGACTTTTGGTAGAGAAAACCAGCCCGTCTCTCCAGCTGGGGAGTTCTGGGCTCACGGTGGCCACGCATGTGTGAGTCACCGAACTCCTGCACCTGTCTGGCTCAGCCTGAGGAAAGTCACCCGGCCACAGACAGGCTGCAGTTTTCAGGGCTGTGTGGGTGTGAGGTAGCCCTTGAGAGGACAGCCCCAAACTTGGGGACAAGGAAGGCTGGCCTGCCTGTCCCCTTCCCCTAACCAGGATTGCCGACTACACTCAGTTCCTTTTAGTCCTGAACACGAGGAGAAAGTAGGCTTCTCTGTGGTGTGTGGGAGCTGCAGGTGGGCTGTGTGACGGTCACTGTAGTCCCAGAGTTACAGCTTAGTGTTGGTATGATTACATTCCTTAAATCCTCTAAAATAGCAACCCCTTGGACATAAATCTCAGCTCCCATATTTCTGATGCTGTCACTGCTGGTGAAAGCAGGGGACTGGGAGGCTCTGAGACTCCTGTGAAAGGCCCGCCCCCCCGGGTAACTGCCCGCCCTCCCCAGGCAGGCTCTCCCCTGGTGTGCCTCCAGCCGAGGTGATTCCCTCCTGAGGGCCAGCACCGGCGAGTGACAGCCCTCGGCCTCGGTGCTGCCTGGATGCTCCGGTACCCGGGCTCCTCCCTGCTCTCCTGAGCATCCCTGGCTTTGGGATGCTGTTGAGAGGGGCACGGTGCGGGTTGTGGCCAAGTCTGAACCATGGTGACCAAAACACATACAGGAAATAAGATCAGAATCGGGTCCGGTCTCATGCTATTAAACATAGTTTTTTTTCCTTTGTGTCCAGTCCAAACAAGTGCTCATTATAGAGTTGCTGGCTTACAGGGGCTCTGAGTCGCCCGACTTGTAACAGTGAAACGGTCAGCCCTCACCTAGGCCATGCTTGGCTCGAGATCAGGTTCATGAGTAGTTCAGAGCATCGAATACCTGGATTGTTGCAGTTTTTTCAAAGTGGAGATGTCTGCCTGCTCGACACGTCTGCACGTCTGCTGGGAAGGGAGAGTGAATTACCTGTCTGAGGGAATGCTCTTCGTGCTCTTTAATCCTCTTGACCCAGACACTCAAATTAAGAGTCCAGACTCATCATGGAGGCTTTTAAACCCTGCCTCTGTCTTGTGGGCTGCTGTGGCCACCAGTATTAAACAGGGTGCTTAGCTCAAAGCCCCGTGCGTCCGGGCCGATTTGCTGCTCTCTGGTGAGCACAGGATGGGCAGACTGGGCAGGGAGCGACTTTCAGCTCCAATCAGGAGGCAAGTCAGAACATCTCTGCTGTTTGTCCCTGTGTCCCTGTGCTGCCTTTTGAGGTCACCCCCCATCCTGGGAGTCCCACCATGGCTCCAGTCTCTGAATCCGCCCAGCCTCACCGTGCTTCCCCTCGGGCTTAGATATTAGGTGCGGACACCTTGTGTCGTTGCCAGGGCTTCTCATGGGGCCCTGGCCCGAGGCCTCTCATTAGCGCTGGGGAGGTGCTGTTTGTCTTCTCAGGGACTAGGCTGGTTGCACCGTTGCGGGGCATTCTGAAAGCATTTGGGCGTGAAGCAGAAACAGAAGGGGTGTGGTGTCAGTGGCCCCCGAGCCCCCTGATCTGATGCAGTGTGTGTGTTTGCACGGAGTACGTACACCCTGTGTTTGTTCTCACGTGGACTCCAAAATTCACGTAGGAGCACTTGGGACCTCTTTTTTAAATGAGGTCCTTTCTCCTTCCCTTTTATCCTGCTTATTAAAGTCGGAACAACCCTAGGCAACCATGAATCTTGCTGTCCTCACTTTTCAGAAGGCACCACAGACCCCCCCACAGGAACTTAGTTTGGCCGTGGCTGCACGATGCATTGGCTTGGGTAGCGGAGCCAGGAGGACACGGCATCAGCCTCAGCCCCGTTATGTCCCACGCCTGCTTGGCTCTCTCTGTCATTGTGACTTCTGCCACCGCTTCAGTGGGGGTGAAGGGCTGAGCAAATGTGTGTGGAATCGACAGCTTGGGGTCAAGCTCAGTAGATTGGAAGAGAATGGACACCCAGCTTGTGATGGCTCCCTCCCTCCCAGGTGAGCCAGGCTTTTCTGTGCTCACAAGCCAAAGCGGATGAACCAGCACCCAGAGCTCAGGAGCGGTGATGGACCGCTGTAGCAGTTTCTAGCGCTGTCAAGCAACTCTTCAAAATGCCCCAAATTAAGACATGCTCATATACGCATCTTCATGTATTCCCACAACAGGTTTAATCAGCTCTCAGAGGGGCTGTGACTGTAATTTGACTGCCCCTTTGAGGAGTCAGGCTCATGGGTGCCCTTTAGACTCTCACTTGCTGACATATCACTTATGTGGGTGGGTCCCCGATCTTTCTCCCAAGTTCCTGCTGTGTTATCATGTTCCCTAGGATTTCTGTCCCTTTATATCTCAGCTGCATACGGTTGGTAAGAGAAGGTGCACGTGGAACGCCTGGTGACATTTGTACTTCGGTTCCCACTGTGTTCATCTCCCAATCACCGTCATAATGGCATGGCTTGCATGGAGCAGGGCGAAGTATAAGTGTGCCTGTCTCTTTGACATTAGCCAGTGATTTTACACACCCGAATCTGAATTTCATTACTGTTGAACAGCTGTCCATCCCATTTGTTAGCGTGGTTTTGTTTCTGGTGTTTTGTTGTCTTTTTAAGGATTCTTTTTTTCTTTTCTTTATTGGTTTTAGAGAGAGAGGAGGGAGAGGGAGAGAGAGAGAGAGAGAGAGAGAGAGAGAGAAACATCGATGAGAGAGAACATCAATTGGCTGCCTCCTGCACGCCCCCCACTAGGGATCGGGCCCACAGCCTGGGCATGTGCCCTGACCGGGAATCAAACGGTGACCTCTTGGTGCTTCGGTCGACGCTCAGCCACTGAGCCACACCGGCCGGGCTGTTTCTGTTTTTTATAATCCTTACCCGAGGACTTGCTTAGTGAGAGAAACATTGATTAGTTGCCCTCCATACGCACCCCAACCGGGGATTGAACTCATAACCCAGGCACGTACCCTGGCCAGGAATGGAACCGGCAGCCTCTTGGTGCTCAGGATGATGGCCAGCCAACCGAGCCACTCTGGCCGGGCTTGGTAGCATGTGTTTTATTTTCTTTGGCCTACGGAGGCTTTTTATTTTTTATGTATTTATTTATTTATTTTATCCTCACCCGAGGACATTTTTTCCATTTTTTGTTCAGGTAAAGTGGGAGGGAGAGAGTGGAAGAGAGAGAAACATCGATATAAAAGGGACACATCGAGTGGCTGCCACCCGCACGACCAACCAGGGCCGGGGACAAACTGCAACCGAGGTACGTGCCCTTAGTGGGAACCAAACCCGGGTCTCTCTAGACCGCAGGCCGACGCTCTAACCGCTGAGCCAAACTGGCCAGGGCTACTGAGGCTTTTTAGAAACGAGCTTCCTGAGCTTCCTAGCCATGCCCCACACCACGTCCAGGTGTCTGCTCACAGTGCGCACAGCTGCCCAAGGCCCATCTCAGGCTCTCCGGAGGGGACTCTGAAGGGCTGGGAAACTGCTGTGGGGCCTTGCACAGTGCTGGCCAGAGCCTGGCCTGCCGTCTCGCTGCCCTGCAGATGCTGGGTCAGTCGGCAGGTGAGCTCACTGCTGGCCACCACGAGGCGCTCTAGGCCGAGGACGTGGCTGCAACCTAAGCGGACTGTCGTCTTAAGAGCACTCAGTTCTCTTCCGTCTAGACCAGCGGCTCTCAACCTGGGGGTCGCGACCCCTTTGGGGGTCAAACGACCCTTTCACAGGGGTCGCCTAAGACATAACAGTAGCAAAATTACAGTTATGAAGTAGCAACAAAAATAATTTTATGGTTGGGGTCACCACAACATGAACTGTTTTAATGGGTCGCGGCATTAGGAAGGTTGAAAACCACTGCTCTAGACTCGAGGGGGCTCTGAGCGTCGCTGGGAGGCTGGGAGGCCAAGGGCTCAGCCATGGCCAGCAGGAGGGTGAAATCTGTGTGGCTGTGAGCAGCACAGCTCTGGGCAAGCCGCGCTGCCCTCGGGTCTGACTGCTGATCTCTGGCTGAGGATGGAAGCTGTGTCTTGTGGCGATTCTTATGCGGCGACTGGTCACCACTATGTGTGTCTGCGGTGGTGCTGGAGGAGGCCACAGGAAAGAGACACGCTGCCACCTTACGGGGTCTAGGCTGCCCCTGGAGCTGGCACACAGCATGCTGGGAGCAGGTGCGGGGTCCCTCGCACAGGCCCAGGAAGGTGCTGGCGGGGCTGGGGGCCTGCGCAGCCCTCACTGGGTTCTGTGCCGGCAGTTCCTCCGGGTCACCAAGCAGTACCTGCCGCACGTGGCGCGCCTCTGCCTGATCAGCACCTTCCTGGAGGACGGCGTGCGCATGTGGTTCCAGTGGGGCGAGCAGCGGGACTACATCGACAGCACCTGGGGCTGCGGCTACCTGGTGGCCTCCTCCTTCGTGCTCCTCAACCTCCTCGGACAGCTGAGTAAGTGGCTCCGAGGGCGCCGGGCCCTCCCTGAGAGCAGGGGTGCAGCCCTGGGCTGACTGCTGGTGGCTTGCTAGGGGAATAGGACCAGTGCCCGTGTTTAAGTGCCCAGAGCAGGTGTGGGTGGCTGGGTGGGCCGGTGAGGGGCTGGGCAGTGAGACCCCAAGTGCCTGGAAGGATGAGTCGAGGTGAAGAAAGAAGGGAGACTAGACCAGAATGTAGCTCATGGCCTCAGGACCGTCTGCTCCTGGACCGTCTTCCAGTGGCGGCCCACCCGGCACACACGGGCAGGACAGGGGTTGCACATCAGCCTGTCCTGTGGGTGCCGCAGAGGCCTGTGATGGCAGCCGCTCACAGCACAGCCCGTTCTCTGCAGCAAGTCAGACAGCAGTCCAGCTGCCGCGTGTGGGCTTCACGCCTGTCCTCCATCTTCCCACACTTGTTTTTTTTTAATCCTCACCCAAGGATATTTTTTCCATTGATCTTCAGATAGAGTGGGAGGGAGGCGGGGGGAGACCGAGACAGAGACATTGATGTGATAGAGACACATTGACTGACTGCCTCCCACACAACCCTGACTAGGGCTGGGGATCAAACAGCAACTGAGGTACGTGCCCTTGACTGGAATCGAACCTGCAACTCTTTGGTCTGCCGGTCGCCACTGTAGTTGCTGAGTCAGACCGGCCAGGGACTTCCACACTTGATTTTTGCATGGGGTAGACAGCTGGGCTGCTGCAGCACCTGAGGGCCATGTCTCCTCACCCAGAGCCCCTGACCCTTGCCTTCTCCTTTCCAGCCGGCTGCATCCTGGTGCTGAGCAGGAACTTCGTGCAGTACGCCTGCTTTGGGCTTTTTGGGATCATAGCACTGCAGGTAAAGGGCGTGAGGGCAGGGCTCACCCAGGGGCCATAGCTCCGCGGGTAAAGGGCGTGAGGTTGGGTCTCACCCAGGGGCCATAGCTCCGCGGGTAAAGGGCTTGAGGTTGGGTCTCACCCAGGGGCCAGCGCCGCGGGTAAAGGGCGTGAGGTCGGGTCTCACCCAGGGGCCATAGCTCCGCGGGTAAAGGGCGTGAGGTTGGGTCTCACCCAGGGGCCATAGCGCCGCGGGTAAAGGGCGTGAGGTTGGGTCTCACCCAGGGGCCAGCGCCGCGGGTCAAGGGCGTGAGGTCGGGTCTCACCCAGGGGCCATAGCGCTGCGGGTAAATGCGATTGGGGCCTTGCTTTTTCTTGCTCTGGTTGGAGCGGAGCTTCTGAAAAGGCGTTTGTGGGGATTCCGCATCACTCCCCCTCTGGTCCTCTGTAGCTCTCTCTGGAACTCCTTTTCTGAGAAGTGACTTAATTTTCTTCAAAGCAAACTCCGGAGAAGTCACAAGGGTGGCTGCTGCCAGGGCCCTATTCTTGTTACCATTTTACTTCATAAAGAAGAACACCTGGCTATTCTTATGCAATCTTAACACATGACCTTTTAGTCTGGGTCAGTGGTCTCAGGTCCGCTGTGTTCCCCGGGACACCTTGGGCACAGCTCCGATTGAACAGGTGAGGGCCCACCAGCATGCTCTGAGACATGCTGAGCCAAACTCGACCTTGGAGTTGTCCTGGGTGTCCTGAAACGGCTTTGTGTATCATATTTTAAAATTTGCCTAATGCTATTAATTCTGTAGAGAAGAAGGTTGTTTGAAAATGCTGACACTCAAGGTTTTCTGTCCTCCGTTCCCCTCAGACGATCGCCTACAGCATCCTGTGGGACTTGAAGTTTTTGATGAGGTGCGTGGGTTCTGGCTGCAGTTCACTGTTCCCCCTGCACATCTGAACTCAGTGCTGTGACCGCTGGCTGGGGTTGAAATGCTGCTGCTTAGACTGCTGTGGGTGTTGGCAGCGCCTCCTCCACCCCCACCCAGAGCCCTGGACACATGGGAGAATGAAGGCACCTCTCCTGACCTGGGTTTCAGGAGGGAGAGAATGAGGGTCCAAGTGGAACCGCTTGTTCACAGGGACCCAGCTGGGCAACAGTAAAGCCAAACCCAGGACCAGGTTCCAAGCGTGTTCTGGTGACTGGTCACTGTCGAGTGGCACAGACGCATCTGTGTCTTTAGCCGTGTCAGCGTTTCCATAGGTGGAGCTTAAGTCTGGCCTGTGGGCTTGCGCCCCCTGGTCCTGGTGCAGAAGGGGGCGAAGGGGCCTGTCCCGTGCTGTCCCGAGGTCTCCGTCGGTCTGGAGCCGGAGCCGGAGCCGGAGCCGGAGCCTGAGCCTGGCGTTTCTGTCCGCAGGAACCTAGCCCTGGGAGGAGGCTTGTTGCTGCTCCTAGCGGAGTCCCGTTCTGAGGGGAAGAGCATGTTCGCGGGCGTCCCCACGATGCGCGAGAGCTCCCCCAAACAGTACATGCAGCTCGGAGGCAGGGTCCTGCTGGTCCTGATGTTCATGACCCTCCTTCACTTCGACGCCAGCTTCTTCTCCGTGAGTATGCCCACTGTTTGGCGGGTGGTCTCTGCCCCCAGCCCCCTGCTCAGTGTGCAGAGCATTGCCAGGGGCCATGGAAGGAGTCGCTCAAAGGAAGCAAACCTTTGGATCCTGTTAAAAGAAACAAAAAGCCATCGGGTTCTCGTGTGCCAAGAACCTGCCTCCTGAACAAATGGAAGTCCCGAGTCTTGGACCTCGCTGTGGGGTCCTGTGCCCGGTTCTTCACACAGACTCACTGTTGTCCTTCCTCACCTGTATCTCCTCATCTTTGTGGCCGGTGTTGGGGGTGCAGAGTTGAGGAAGGTTCTGTCTTTGTCCCCCAGGAGCTTACAGAGCAGGTCTTTGTAGCTGAGTGTGCACCCTGCCTGGCGAGGTTCCCAGGGGCTGCAGGCCGAGGCACGGGGAGGCTGGGCCTGGGCAGCACTGTTTCTGGGTGGAGGTCCACCAGGCCCAAACGAGCGGTCTGGGGAAATCCCAGCATGCCTCGCTTCAGAGCGCTGCCTGCACAGCCTGGTCTCTGCCTGCACAGCCTGGCCGGTCTCGCCCCCACGTCTAACAGCCCCCGGCTGTCCGTGGCCTCAGCACACTCCTTGGTCCCATGGTCTGGGCACGTGGTTCATCCTTCCTCACATGCGTTTTGAGTTTCTTACCTTTCCACCTGTGCAGATTCTCCAGAACATCGTGGGCACAGCTCTGATGATTCTAGTGGCTGTTGGCTTCAAAACCAAGCTGGCCGCCTTGACTCTGGTCGTCTGGCTGTTCGTCATCAACGTGTATTTCAACGCCTTCTGGACCATTCCCGTCTACAAGCCCATGCATGACTTCCTCAAGTACGACTTCTTCCAGACCATGTCGGTGATTGGAGGCTTGCTCCTGGTGGTGGCTCTGGGCCCCGGGGGTGTCTCCATGGACGAGAAGAAGAAAGAGTGGTAACAGACCCCTTCCGTGCCTGGCGAAGACCCGTGGCCGTCGAGGACTGGTTCGGGGTGGATTCGACAAAGCTGCCGGCATTACGTGTCCTCTTCCCTCCCCTGCCTTGGCAAAGGCACAGATGTGTGAGAACTTCCTCTGAGATTTGATGGCTGACCCTGCTCTGCTCCTGCCGCCCACCGTCTGCCGTGGAGCCGGATGCTTGGCTCCTCCCACGGCCCTGAGCGGCTAGGTTGGCTGCGGCCTCTGTCCTGTTTTTTCCCTTTTTTGGGTGGTGGGGGCCTTCAAGCTGTACTGTGAGCAGATACAACTGTGTCTCATTCAAAGCAGTCTCCCTCTTAATTTTTTTAAAGTTTACGTTTTTAGCTAAAACTACTAAATGATTTCGGATGGCCCAGCCAAACATCAAAGTCCCCGTCAAACTCCTGGTTCCAAGTCACAGAGCGGCTTTCCTGCTGTCTGTCTTACACTGCGACGCTGTGTAAGGACAGTGGGAAGACCGAGAGTCCCAAACCCCGAAGAACGAGGCGGCATTCGAGGGCCACTGTCCATGGTGAACGTCAGTGATTAGTCAGAAAATCGGCCCAGACCGGTGCAGCTTGTATGGGTCATCCCCTGGGAGCTTCCGTGGCTCAAGGTGGGGGTGGAGATAGTATTCCCGCGGGAAGCCACCGGGAGCCCACGGGACCCACACGCCCACCATCTGCATGTTGGCCCCAGCCGCTCCCGTGTGAGCTGGGGAGGAGCAGACCAGTTACCTCACACCCGACTTGTAGCCTCGCCTGAAACGGCAGAGCTGGCCCTGGCCGACGCCTGGGTTTCCTTTGGCTCGAGGGTCCTCCCAGGCTGTGCACCACGACTTCCGTTTCCCAGGCTGTGGCTTGCTCGGGTCGTCTAGTTGCTATGCTGAACACAGCCCAAATTACTTTTTACGATGTGTGATGCCTTACCGATTGGGTCTGACTCCTGTATTTAAAGTTTTCTAACATTGCCTTACACTGTGTATCTCTTCTTGGGGTGTGAGCGCTTGCTGCTCTCTGCATCGTAGCGAAGGCCACTGGGGAGCTGGAGCATCTCTGCCTCCTGCTCCTCCCCCCAGATCCTGAAGGGACAGACCAACCTGGCCAGGCTGACCAGACTCGGGACGAGGGCCGAGGCTTGTCAAGAGCCTGGCCTCGGCCTCCACTGGTCATCAGCTGAATGTGCGAACCTGAGGTCCGTCCCCAGGGCTGCCAGGGGCCAGTCCTGAGCCAGGCTCCATGTTTACCTTCCAGACCAGAGCCAGGGCAAGGTAGAGCCTCCCCTGCCCTGCAGCCTGGACCCACCTACCCAAGGGAGCGGTGGCGCACCATCCCACCACCCACCCGTGTCCCAGCCACACGGGCGGCTCGTGTGAGCATCACTGAGACGAAGCCATGGCTGAAGGACGGTGTTTCTACTCCCATCACTCAGACGCTCACTACATGGACAGTCTCTTCACTTTCTGACTCAGCCTCTGCCGGGTGGGCTCTTGGCCCACCCTCTCCCCTGGTAACATATCCGACAGTCCCATCAAGTGGCACCTCAGCCAGGCGGCATCACCCTGCAGCACCCTATCGCACGTATGCGTCCTCGCTGGTCTGTGCTTAGAGACCTTAGTGTGGTCATCCCTGGTCACTGCCGATGCCCGAGGAGGTGCTCCCGCCTCCCTGGCCCCGAGCAGGCTAGTTCCTGGGCCCAGGGCAGACCTATGCCCTTGCAGGAGCGGAAAATGATCTACCAATTGGTTTTGGCAAAACAATTTCTGAAAATTTTTTTGCTTTATGTGGGAAATAGGTATCAATCTCATTTTATGCTGTATTTTATATCTTAGTTGTGTTTGAAAACGTTTTGATTTTTGGAAACATCAAAATAAATAATGGCATTTGTTGTATGCAGTGTGACCCTTGGGTGCTGTCCTGGTGGGTGGGGCCTAGCCAGGGCTCTCCAGGTGCTGCAGTGAGGACCACTTGGAAGCCACGTCCAGACAGGATTCTCCCTTCGAGGTTCCTGCTGTGTCCTGGGCGCAGGGACAGGACCCAGCCCTGCCTTCAGGGGCAGCCGATGAGTGGACGGAGAAAACCCCAGGACACCCCAACAGCTCGGAGGACACGGTGGCTGGCTGGAAGAGGAACACAGGGTACACCCCAAGGACTCTCAAAACTAAGAGGTGTTTTCTCCGGCAAACTTTTATTAACCCGACTGCTTGAAAAGGCTGAAGCGCTTAGGCTTGCGGTGACGGCTTTGGAACTTCTTTGATGAGCCCAACTGCTTCTGTGGGGACAGACTTCCCATCAGTCCCAGAGAGGAAGGGGTGCCGAGGCAGGCTCCCCTGCAGCCCACGGACAGGGGGCTTGTGGCTGGAGAGCCCTAGGTCAGCTGTCAGAGCTGCCAGGCTCATCAAAGGCAGCACTTCAAACCCCAGACACAGCAAACACCTTGACCTCTTCCAGCTCCTTGACCTCTTGCCCAGTTCTGCTCATCTGTCAAAGGGAATGGAATTCCTGCCCCGTCCACAAAGGTGCAGCGTGGTGTCTGGTCAGGCCCCTCCCTCCGGGTTCCCAGGGCAGCCCTGCCGTCCCTCTGCCGGGTGGTCTTGGACCAGTTCCGTGTGGCCCCGCCCCCACGAGAGCAGCCTTGGCTCGCTCCCAGCTTACATGTGTGCTGCTAGTTTGGGATGTATCTGCGCAAAGGGTTCTTTATTTTTTTTGTGGTACATGCCCCTAGTGGGAACTGAACCTGGGACTCTCTGGTCCACAGGCCGACGCTCAACCGCTGAGCCAAACTGGCCAGGGCGGGTTCTTCATATTTCTAAAGAAACTGACAACCATCGCTAAGGAAGCTGCTGCCATGGCAACAGCCCTGGAGGTACCACTCACCTTCCTGCGTTTGAGGGTTAGCTCTGGGGCCACTTCCATGTCCTCTCTGTCCCCAGAGCCCTCGTCTCCCGGGCGCCGTGGCTTCTCCTCAGCTGTCGTACAGTCGTCAGGGTTGTCCCTGTGCTGCGTCCCTCCCAGGTCCTTTTTGGAGAAGAGGTTGGCTGGAAGGAAGAGGGATTCACTGACTTGGGTTAAGGTCTAACCTGTGCAGGGAACCGAGGGGTCAGGTGGAGGAAGGAACAGGCCAAACCCCACTTGCTGCTGCAAATGGACAGGACCGCTGAGACCCGAATCCACGGAACAGTCAACAGCGGGGGGAGGTGGAGGGAACACGTTCGCGCTCACGTGGGTACAGGTCCACCATGCTGTCCTCACTGTCACTCGGGGCTGTGCCGTCACCATCACTGGACTCGGGTTCCCAGAAGGCTGCTCTCGGGTGGGGTGGCCTGTCACCGTCCATCTGGCCTTCCCTCCTCCTCCTCTTGTGCAGGAGACAGGCGGGCACGTACTCCACACCCTGCTTCTGACACTCTTCATCTGGGGGACAGGCCAGCACACTGCCTGGTTCTCCCCATGTCCCCCGTCCTCTGCGCCCTGACCCCAGCCCACTTGGTGCACGGCTGCGGTGGCCACCAGCTCAGTTCCTACAGGACAGGAGGCCAGCGGGGTGTGGCCTGGGGATACGAGGGCTCAGGTGTACTGGGCCTTGAGCACCCTCCTCCGGCCCAGGCCCGCCAGGCTCCAGGAAGCAGCCGCTAGGAGGTGCCCAGCTGCGTGGGCTCTGCACCTGGCCTGGAAACCTGCCCACCTGTCACCAGGAGACAGGAGCCCCACCTCCTTTGCTGACCTTTGGCCAGGAGCAAAGGAGCAGGAATAAGGAAGGCTTCCATGGAAGGACCTCACTGGAGTCACACTGTCCCCGCCTGCACTGAGGACTCAGGCCCTTCTTCAGCACGAGCCTCCCAGCCCAGTGCAGCTCCCTCGGGGACAAGTGGTGACACTGTCCCCCAACTCCTGCCATCATTCATGGGGTGGATGAGCCCTGGGGCCACTGCCCACTTCTAACCACTTCCAGGACCCCATCTCCTTCATCTCTGCCACTTGCTCTGCGGCCCCACAGTGGCCTTGTCATGACCAGAACCGCACACGACGTCTCCTCAGCACCCTGGCCCTACGCCCCCGCCACCACACGGTGTCTCCTCACGCTCTCTGCCCATGGCTCAGCGTTCCAGGCCCTCTCTGACTGCCGGGACCGGTCCAGCTCCCCCTGCCCACCTGAGCAGCCGCCCATGGCAAGAGCATCAGCCCAGGCTCTGCAGGCCCCAGAAACAGGTGTGGGAAGGAGCCTCGGGTGAACGGCCTTGCTCTTCACCAGGACACAGTCAAGCCTCGGACCTCGTCCTGTCTTCCCGCCATCACACCCACCCGATGCCCCTACTTGGCCTCCTTCCCCACCTCACAGGCTGCAGTCACTGCCCGGCTCCAGCCTGGCTGTCCCCACCACGTCACCCCGTGCCTCTGTCATCTCCAGATCACTTTTCTGTCTCATTTCCTCTTGGCTAACATTTGATAAGAGCCCACCACTTCCTCCCTGGATCTGCTTTCTGCCCTAGACACCGGGGCCCTCCTCCCTCACCTTCCTGGGCTCCTCGGGACACAGGCCCTACCCTGTCCCTTCTCCGCGGACACCGCGCACCTGTCAACGAGCGCCGGCCCATGTGTTCTACAGCCACACTCCCTGACACACCTCCCATTTAAAGTGCTCGTGTTTCCCTTTCGCCGTCCCCTGAAGGCCTGTCATTCAGACTCAGCCCTGCTAACCTCATGACGCTGTCGGGCACCTGCCGGTTCTCAAGCCAGGGACTTGGAAATCGGTCGGTTTCTTCCTGTCGCTCACTCCTCGTCTAGCCATCTGCCTCAAGTTAAACCCTGCCCTCATCATTCCATCTTTCCTGCCAACACCTGGTGACCTCACTGGGCACCCCAGCCTCCATCCGCACCCACCGTCTGTCCCCTTCCCCTCGCACTCACCCTCCCCTGTCAGAACAGTGATGCTGACACACACTGGTCCCCGTCTCCGCTTTAACCCCCTCAGTGCATTCCGGCTGCACGTGCTCCTGACCACAGCCCCCAGCACCCTGTGCTCTCGCCCATCTACCTTCCGAACCCCACGCGCGGGGCACAGTGAAGGCACATCCCTCAGAACCTCCCACCGCCCAGCGTGTTTCGGCCTCGGACCTGGCCCGGATCCTGTCCTCCCCCACTCCGCACGTCCCTCAGTCTCCGCCTAGAGAGAGGCCCTCGGAGAGCCTTTCCCAGGCTCCTGAATCGGGCATCAGGAGCCCCCCACCCCGGCTGCCCGCCACCGGCCCCTCATGGCACTCATCACAACCTGCAATTGGCAGGTCCTCCAACGTCATTTCATTGTAACACTGATGAAAGGCCATTGGTGAGATGCCGCAGGAACTGGACTCTAGTGCAGATCAATTAGCTGATGGCAAAACTAGCTTTGTCATTCGAAGTTTCACTTGAAGTCGCAGAACCTATCTCTGTACTGCAGGCCGACGCTCCAACCGCTGAGCCAAACCGGCCAGGGCAGAAGTCGCAGAACCTATCAATGACGTTAAGTGAGGACGTACTGGACCGGGGAGTAAGCTTCCTGCTATGCACCTCTCTTCACTGCGTGGGGCCAGTACACCCACCAAGTACTGCCAAAGGATGACCCAGATGCCGTTTCTGCCCTCTAGGGGTGCTGATCCCGGGGCCGGGCCGGCATGCACCCAAGTAGCTGTGACTCAGGCAGCGTCCCCATCACTTACACGTATGCAGAGCTTTCTGGTAGCGCTGGCCCTGCGTATGCCTCAGCACGTGCTGTGGGGACTTGTTGATGTGCCGCAGGGTGAGTTTGCAGAACAGCTGGTGCCTAAGGGTCAGGAAGACCTGGTTTGCAGGAACCATTCACACGAAAGGCTCCAGACCTGTGCTCTGCACGTGGATGGGTGTCAGAATCACCCCAGAGGCTGATGGGGGCATCTACGATGTGGCCTGGGTGGGCATCAGAGTTTTGTTTTTGGTAAGAGTTTACTTTTATTTTTTTCTTTTACTGATTTTAGAGAGAGGTGGGGAGAGGGAGAGGGAGATAGAAACATCTATCCATGAGAGAGAACATCGACTGGCTGCCTCCTGCACGCCCCTCACTGGGGATTCGGCCCACAACCTGGGCATGTGCTCTGACTGGGAATCGAACCAGTGACCTATTGGTACATGGGTCGACGCTCAACCATTGAGCCACACTGGCCGGGTGGCATCAGGGTTCTTAAAAGCTCCTGAGCAGTTCTGCTCTGCCGAGGGTGAACCATGGATGCCCGGAACGGTGGCCTCCCCGTGTGCTGGGCATGTGGCCTACTGGCCAGACTCCCACCTGCTCTAGTGTGAGAGCGCATGTTGCGGACTCAGCGGTTCAAGTTTCCCATGAATTGGCGTTGGCCACGCCATCGCCTCTGCCTGTTGACTATTTCTGTCAACCGCACACCTTCCGCTAAATCCAAGTTCTCCTTGGAAGTAAAAAGTGAAACTCACCTCGATCAGAACCTCAGGTGACAAAGCACAACTGCTCCCCATCCTCTATGAAGCAGGCAGGCCCGGGTGACAAACCTCACGTTTGCAAAACAGCAAACAAGCTCGCACGGACAGGCCTGGCCGGGAGTGGCGGGTGACAGCTCCAGGACTCCCACCCGCATCCCAGGTCTCCTAGCTCCTGGGCAGGGAGGGGTGGCCAGGCACAGGCTGGAACTGCGCCACCCGGGGCCCTCCTGCCCCGCCCCGCCCCGGCCCACGTACGGGTTCTTGGTGCTGGGCACGATGTGCGGCTCGAACTCCGCGTAGTCGAAGGCTGGGGAGGTGCGGGCCAGCCGCCGGTACTTCTTGCCGCTGGTGTAGACCTGGAGCTCCGGCAGGCGGCAGGGCAGCTCGTGACCCGTCAGAGCGCACCTCACCTGCGGCGGGAGGGCGGGGCGGAGGGAGTCCTGGGGCGGTCGGGGGAACCCCGAGGGCGGCCGCGGGTCCCGGGGCCGTCACGGAGGTAGGCGGTCGGGGATCCCGGGGGCGGCCACGGGGGTAGGCGATCGGGGGGACCCCGGGGGCGGTCATGGGGGTAGGCGGTCGGGGGGACCCGGCGGCGGTCGGGGGTCCCGGGGGCGGTCACGGAGGTAGGCGGTCGGGGGGACCCCCAGGGACGGTCACGGAGGTAGGCGGTCGGGGGGACCCCCAGGGACGGTCACGGAGGTAGGCGGTCGGGGGGACCCCCAGGGACGGTCACGGAGGTAGACGGTCGGGGGGACCCCGGGGGCGGTCACGGGGGTAGGCGGTCGGGGGTCCCGGGGGCGGTCCCGGGGGTAGGCGGTCGGGGGTCCCGGGGGCGGTCACGGGGGAAGGCGGTCGGGGGTCCCAGGGACGGTCCCGGGGGTAGGCGGTCGGGGGACCCGGGGGCGGTCCCGGGGGTAGGCGGTCGGGGGTCCCGGCGGCGGTCACGGAGGTTGGCGGTCGGGGGTCCCGGGGGCGGTCACGGGGGTAGGCGGTCGGGGGTCCCGGGGGCGGTCACGGGGGTTGGCGGTCACGGGGGTAGGCGGTCGGGGGTCCCGGGGGCGGTCACGGGGGTAGGCGGTCGGGGGTCCCGGCGGCGGTCACGGGGGTCCCAGGGGCGGTCACGGAGGTAGGCGGTCGGGGGTCCCGGGGGCGGTCACGGGGGAAGGCGGTCGGGGGTCCCAGGGACGGTCACGGAGGTAGGCGGTCGGGGGACCCGGGGGCGGTCCCGGGGGTAGGCGGTCGGGGGTCCCGGCGGCGGTCACGGGGGTTGGCGGTCGGGGGTCCCGGGGGCGGTCACGGGGGTAGGCGGTCGGGGGTCCCGGGGGCGGTCACGGGGGTTGGCGGTCACGGGGGTTGGCGGTCGGGGGTCCCGGGGGCGGTCACGGGGGTAGGCGGTCGGGGGTCCCGGCGGCGGTCACGGGGGTCCCAGGGGCGGTCACGGAGGTAGGCGGTCGGGGGTCCCGGGGGCGGTCACGGAGGTAGGCGGTCGGGGGTCCCGGGGGCGGTCACGGGGGTAGGCGGTCGGGGGTCCCGGGGGCGGTCACGGGGGTAGGCAGTCGGGGGTCCCGGGGGCGGTCACGGGGGTTGGCGGTCGGGGGGACCCGGCGGCGGTCGGGGGACCCGGGGGCGGTCACGGGGGTAGGCGGTCGGGGGTCCCGGCGGCGGTCACGGGGTTCCGGGGGGGTCACGGGCGCCGGCCCCGCGCACCTTGCGGGCGCCGGGCTGCAGCCGCAGGCTGGGATGCTCGGCCAGGAAGGCGCGCACGTCGGCCGGCGGCTCGCTCATGGCTGCGGACCTGGAAGCCCCGCGCCGCTCGAACCACGTGGAGCCGAGGGCGGGGCTGGAGGCGGGCTTGGCGGTGCCCCGGAAGCAAACGCCCTCGGCTCCGGGATCCCCCGCGGGGCGATGGCGGCGGCGGCGCGGGTGCTGGGGCAGGTGCTGCGCGCGGCGGGCGCGGGGCCGGTGAGCGGGGCGGGGCGGGGCGCGGGGCGGCCGAGCGGGCGGGGGAGGGGCCGGCGCCCCGGACTGGGCGAGCTCAGCAGCCCCTCGCGTCTCCGCAGGCCTCAGCCCGCGCGGTCCGGAGGAGCGTCCTCGCGGGGCCCCCGCGCGCAGGTGAGCACTCGTGCAGGCGCGACCCAGGCACCTGGGAGAGCCGCCCTGCCCCCCACGGTGCAGCGGCCTGTGGGCGCGGGGACACGCGCCTCTTGACGGGGCCTAGATTGCGAGCGGGGTACGCCCGTGTCACACCCGTGGCGGGGACTTAAAGTAACTAACCCACGTCTCATTGGCCTAATGAGGGGCCCGCCGAAGACTGAAATCGGGTGCCTGGGGCCCTGCAGGAAAGCATGTCTAATCAGCAGCTTGCATGCTGCCTCTGGACGGTAGCAAGGGGGCATTCGGCGTGTGCAGACTGCTGTGCACCCACGAAGGGTACTTGCTAAGCCTGCCTGCCTGCCCACGCCTGCTTTTTCATCATGCAGGAGGCCCATGATGCTTTCATGTGATGGACTCGCCTCTGAGAGCTTACGTGTACTTTCTGTGCACCTTGTTCCATCTCTGAGTTTAGGAGCAATGAAAAAGCAAAGTTCTGTGCACCTTGTTCCATCTCTGAGTTTAGGAGCAATGAAAAAGCAAAGTTGGCGCCTTTCCCTCTCCTGAGCCCCAAGGGCCCTTTTGCTTCTGTAACTTGTTTCCTGAGCCTACACAGCCCAGCTGGCTCACTCCTACTGTCTCTGTAACTTTCTAAATAAAATTTCTCTTATAATTTGAAAAAAAGAAAGCAAAGCTGTTAAGAGAGCTCTGGAAAGCACTGAGTTTATGTCGCATTTCTGCCTCTTCAAACCACATTAGCCACTACCAGGTGCAATAGAATACATCATAGTATACTCCTGCGTGAAAGCATGAGCTGGTGCCATGACTTACCCAGGGCCGTGGTTGGTGGTAGAGCCAAGACTAAGCCCTGGGTCTCATGCAGTCAGTCAACATCCACTGAGTGCCTTGTGCGGGGCACGAGCCTGGGAGCTGGGCTAGACTAACAGGTGCTGCCAGCTGGCTCCTGACTGCAGGTGGTGGGCCGTTGCCTCCTGGACCGCACACTCTAGGACAGTATGGTGGGGTCCTCAGGGGCTTCCGACACTGTGTGGAAAAACTTCCTAGGGCCGGCCTGGAGGCCAAGCAGGTGTGGCAGTTCTGCAGCGGAAGCACCTGCCACTAAAGGGGAAGACGACTCCTTTCTCCAGTGGTTCCTGCTTCTCATTCCTGTGACTGCCTTTGGCCTGGGGACATGGCAGGTAAAGACTGGTCTCTAGCTCTGTGGCTCTGAGCCCTTGACCCTGCTGCCGTCTGCTTGGGCTTATGCTCTGTTTCTGTAGGTCCAGCGCCGGAAGTGGAAGCTGAAGCTGATTGAAGAGCTGGAGTCGAGAGTTATGGCCGAGCCTGTCCCTCTGCCTGCAGAGTGAGTGGGGCTGCCGGCCTGGGGCTGGTCTCACTGGAGGTCAGCAGCAGAGCCTGGCTTCTGCTTGTGGTCCTGGCCCTCAGATGGGAGCCTCAAGGCCAGCGGGCCTGCTGGGCTTGCTGACACGATCACCCTTGGGAGGCTGCCTGAGGTCCTGGGTTTCACCCTCTTTTCAGGTCCAGTGTACCCAAGGGATCCCCCACAGTGCTGATGGCCCCCGAAGCAGTAATTCTAGCTGGTGGGTGAGAGCGGCATGTCCTAAGTGGTATTTTGAAAATGTGCCCTAGATGTTGCTACTGCCCTCTCCCCTCATTTCAAAGCACTGTCCTAGAGAAACAGCTGTATTCAACAAAGCTTTCTTTTCAGGGGTGCAAACCTGTACTTGCAGATGGGGTTTTAATTGTGTTTCATTTTTAAATATATTTTTATTGATTTTTAGAGAAGAAGAGACAGGGAGAGATAGAAACATCGATCAGCTGCCTCCTGCATGACCCCGCACTGGGGATCGAGCCCATAACCCAGGCATGTGCCCTGACTGGGAATCGAACCAGCGACCTCTTGGTGTGGTCTATGAGCCACACCAGCTGGGCTAAATATATTTTTTTGTTAATTTTTTTTTAGAGAGGAAGGGATAGAAATGTGAGAAACATTGATCAGTTGCCTCCTGCACGTTCCCTACTGGGGATCAAGCCCTCAACCTGGGTGTGTGCCCTGACCAGCAATGGAACCGGGGCCTCTCCCTCCGTGGACATCACTTAATCCACTGAGCCACACCGGCCGGGCTACAGATGGGGTTTTAGCCACAAAGATCAGGTTCATGCAGGAATCCGTTTTTAGCTTCTCCTGAAAACATGGACTAGACTGTTTGGCAGCACAGATCTGTTCCCACTTGACATTGAAAGGATCAGCTTTCCCTTTTGTGGGCACTCCCTGCACCCCAGCTGTGCCTACGCATCACCTACACTACCTCTCAGGCCACGGTGGGCGTTGTGGTTTGCAGCCCCAAGAGGGTTTGCCTCCCCCTGCCCCCCAAGCTTGCTTGGCCTCAGCTCCACTTGGCCCCTCTCCCATGTAGCCCAATGGAGCTGAAAAATCTGGAGTACAGGCCGGTGAAGGTCAGGGGGCACTTCGACCACTCCAAGGAGCTGTACATGATGCCACGGACCATGGTGGACCCAGCCCGGGAGGCCCAGGCGGCCGGCCGGCTCTCTTCCTCCGTGCAGAGCGGGGCCTACGTCATCACCCCTTTCCACTGCACCGACCTGGGGTGAGTAGGCGTGCAGGGAGCTGACCGGCCTGGCAGGTGGAATCCAAGATACCTACAAAAGTTCAACTCCTTGAAGAGTCTGAAATTTGTAACTCTGACATTAAGGCAATTCATGTAACTTATTACCGCACAACTTCTCTGAAAAGGAAGGAGATGGACTCGCCAGTGTCCAACTCGTTAAGGGATACTGTAGCATAAAGGGACAGCGAGAGGAACCGTCTAAATGATGCTGTAGCATAAAGGGACAGCAAGAGGAACCGTCTAAGTGATGCTGTAGCATAAAGGGACAGCAAGAGGAACCCTCTAAGAGATGCTGTAGCATAAAGGGACAGCAAGAGGAACCCTCTAAGAGATGCTGTAGCATAAAGGGACAGTAAGAGGAACCGTCTCGAGCAGTGGTTCTCAACCTGCAGGTCGACCCCTTCACAGGCGTCGCCTGAGACCATCGGAAAACACATTTCCAGTGGCGATTCATAACAGTAGCAACATTAGTTATGAAGTAGCAACAAGAGTAATTTTATGGTTGGGGGTCAGGGCATTAGGAGGTCGAGAACCACTGGTCTAGAGGGAGTCAGTTCACGGAAGTCTTCCTAAGATACTATTTGGGCCAAACTTGGAGCAAAGGGATGGGAAGAGAGCATTCCAGGGAGAAAGTGCAGGGGCAGCTACCCACACGTCAGTACAAATGAAACCCTGGGTGCTTATCAACCACAGCTTCCTGGTCTTGGGTCTGGGATGGCCCCACTGGCCTCCATGAGGCTGCCCTTCATGGCTCCCCTGGTTAGGAGGGAAGACTGAAGGCTGGTGCACAAGGCAGCTGTTCCAATAGTAGTTCAAGCGAGAAGGGGGTGCAGGAACCCCAGGCCCTGTTGGTTTTAGCCACTGGTTGGATAACCTTGGTCTCCCTTTCAGGACTTGGTGGCTCCTACCATTCAAGGTAGGCTCAAGAGGAAGACCTTCCCAATGGCACAGCCTCCTGGGGCTGGAGGCACCCCCCAGCTATTCTCCACTTGAACTCTTCCCAGGCCCTGGAGTTGTTCGAGCAAACATCAGTGATGAACTTGGTTCAAAACCCTTTTCCCGCCCGAAACGCATGCTTTCATTATTCTAGAATCAGCATCCTGGTAAACAGAGGGTTTGTCCCGAGGAAGAAACTGAATCCTGACACGCGGCAGAAAGGCCAGGTAAGGGGTAAGCCTAGCTCAGGTGAGCTGCCCACTCTCCACGCTGTGCCCTGAGGAGCAACCTCTTTGCTTTCTATTCAGGTGGAGGGAGAAGTGGACCTGGTTGGAATGGTGAGGCTGACAGAAACCAGGAAGCCTTTTGTCCCTGAGAACAACCCCGAAAGGAACCACTGGCATTACCGGGATCTGGAGGCCATGGCCAAGCTCACGGGCACAGACCCCATTTTCATCGATGCAGACTTCAGTGCGTGTGACCAGCCAGATCAAGTAGCTTTAGTGAATTCCCCTCTGCTTCTGTGTGTTGCGGGGAGGGTGCTGGCCAGTTATGGGTAGAAGGTCCTGTTGGAAAGACTTGAAGAAACTGGCCATGCAAGAAGGGCCAGCTAGGAATGCGCCACGGAAACAGCTGGCCAAGTGGCCGGAGGGAAAGAAGTGCTGAGAAGCCTGACATGTCTCTGCAGAGAGCACAGTCCCTGGAGGACCCATTGGAGGGCAAACCAGAGTCACCCTGAGGAACGAGCACATGCAGTACATCATCACCTGGTGAGTCCCCAGCCCCAGCCCCTCTCTTGCCCCCTCGCCTTAGAACCAGTCACCGGACACTTTCTTTCAACCCAAGGTATGGACTCTGCGCAGCCACGTCATACCTGTGGTTTAAGAAATTCCTGCGTCGGGCTCCTGGCACGTGACAAGATTAGCTGATGCGACTGTCCTGGGAAGTCACCGAGCAAACATTTGGATTGGTTTAATGCTGGGCCATGTACTTCCGGTATCAATAAATCAATGCTGCACACATTGTGCCTCTTTTTCCCTAAAGGAGCTAGGCACCTGGCAGATGGAAAACCCAGGCCTGGTCGAGTGTTCGAGCGTGCGTGCTGGAGCAGCGGTTTCAAAACCACCCAACAGAGAGCAGCTTACACAGCAGCTCTGCCCGGTGGGTGACAAGGACCCTGCTTTGAAAACGCACTTGCCCCCATCCCAAACTCCTCACTGCCAGTAAGGCAGATCACTCTCAACCCCAAATGCCCAAGACACTGGTTGAAGGAGGATTTTTATTACTTTTATGTACAGAAAACCCGACAGTGCACATTTAGCCCAGCTTAGTGGCCAGTTCTTTGGCCTTGGCCTTTTCCAGCTTGGCAATGCGAGCCACCGACTTGGGACCCAGGACGTTGCCTCCCCAGTGGCGGCGGATCTGCAAGGACAAGAGCAGAAGTTAGCGGGGCCTGGCATCCCCAAAGCATGCCCGCCCGTGCTGCCTGTTCCCTGCTGACAGCAGGATACACCGCTGCTCACCTCGTCGTATCTGTCGTTGTAATTGGTCCGGATAGCTTCCACCAGCTTAGCCAGAGCTCCTTTGTCTTCCCTAACAAGATGGGGAAAGGTGGGTCAAACTCCCGGGTCCCCTTCCAGAGAGCAGGAATGACCTTTTGGGCTCCAAACACAAGCCTTTTGCCTCAGATACAACGTGACCACATCGTTTATTCAGGTGAAGAAATTCGTAACCATCACTGGCAAAGGTTCCGTTAAATATATTTCTTTAAACCACAACATTTGATTGTTAAGGTAAAATCCGAAGAGATTAAGTGAGCTGGGGGGTGGGGGTAGGCTGTCCCCTACTGAATCTTGGGGTTTGGGGCCACAATGCATACTTACGAGTTAACCTGTGTGAAGGCCACCGTGGTGCAGGTCTTCCTGTGGACTAGACGCCCCAGCCTGGCCTTCCCCTTGATGATGCAGTAGGGAACCCCCATCTTGCGGCACAGGGCAGGCAGGAAGACAACCAGCTGGAAGACAGTGTTAGCTCTAAGAGTGTGTTCTGAGCAGAGCAATGATTAAAAGTTAGGTGGGCAGCAATTGCTCAGGGTTAAAAAGCTCATGATATTTGAACTTCAAGGTTTAATTCAGTGAAAAATTCGCATCATTGCAAAAGCCACAACACAAGCTGGATCCCTTGTTGGTACTGTCCTCAAACAAAAAGCTGTCTGCCCACTTTGGCCCCTTAATGTTTCAGACACAGAATTAAGCTTTATCTTTGGCACCAACATGAAGACCCAGTCAGTCTAACAGCCAGAGCTTGCCAACAAGGCCGACGTACCTCGATGGGGTCCACGTCATGTGCAATCACCACCAGCTGGGCCTTCTTGTTCTCCACCAGGGTGGTGACAGTGTTAACCCCTAGAACACAACCAATCTGCATGAGCACGGGGTGTGTGCTGGGCACAAAAGCAACTCTGCAGTGGGCCCAGCTACACCTTGGGGTTAAAGAGCTCTATTTTCCTCTTCAGTGACCCCAGATGAAGACACTCACACCTGCCTGCCCACAGCCTGCCCCAGCCTCTTCCAGGAGGAACCCACTCACCCGCTCGAAGGACAGGCGGCCTCTTGGTGGGCACATCCCCTTTGCCGGCAGCCTTCTTCTCAGCCCGGGCCAACAGCCTCTGCTTCTTCTCCTGCTTCGTCTCTGGCCTGTACTTGTGGGCCAGCTTCAGCAGTTGAGTGGCTGGGAAAACAACCATCAGTTTAGGCTTGTAGTTTAAGTTCTAACCTTCGTCACTTCACGTAACAGGTGTCAGGTCACTGTCCTGAATGTGAGCTGCACTTGAATAAAGCTCAGGCACTGCACATCTCTCCAGCCACGTCACCTTCAGGTTCTGGAAACTAGACAAGGAATCCTAAACGTCAACAAAACCGTCTTCTGTGAAATACCCTCAGATGTAGTGCTGTCAAGGTCAAGATGGTAACCACGCCCTTGGCCAGGAAACCCCTCCCAACGCTGGCTTTATGCCTCAGAGCCTACCTGTCTGGCGGTCCAAGGCCTGGGTGAACTGGTTAATGGCAGGAGGCACTTTCAGGCGCTTATAGAGAATAGCCCTTTGCCGCTGCAGCCGAATGTAGCGGGGCCATTTGACAAAGCGGGTGAGGTCCCTTTTGGGCTGGATGTCCTGTCCTGTGAGGTAAAGGGCAACACTGAGTGAGGTGCCACTTCAAAGAGTGCAGATGCACCAGCGATCTTGGTGGTGCAAAGCGTCATCACTTCTTGCAGAGAGCAAATGTTCTTACATTACCTGCACACAAATGCCTAGGACCACAGGAGACAGCGACTCCCCTCCCTACTGGGCAACCAGACCGGGTATCCCTGCAGCCACACCGAGGGCAGTGCCTCTGGTACCGCCATCACCCCATCCCAAGGGGAGAGGTTATGGTGGGAGCCCCTGCCCGTAGCTACAAACTGCCTCTCCCGGCAGCCCCCACTCCCGACCCATTAATAAAGACAGAACCGGGGTGTTTCATTTTGAAGGGTGTCTGCTGCTTTCTGTTCTGAAAAAGCTGTTCAATACCAGCCTTTGCAGGTGACAGGTCACGATCTCCGACACTCAAACTGACCGTCGTTGGCGGTGGTTGCCAAGAAGGCAGAAAGGACGCTCAGGCAGAATCTACAGCCATTCTGCTTCTCTGGTGTTCCACTGCCCATCGCGCAGGGGCTGAGGGCCACTTACAAACGTCGCCAGGGGTCAGGGGCAACCATCACAGCCCCACCACAACCAACGGGGTGTTTCACGAACCAGAATCAAGTTGCTGCCTCAGTAATGAAGACACTGACAGACACCACCTCAGAACGACCTTAAATTAACCCTGGACACCTCTGGGCACTCTCCAAGTCTGTGCAGCTTTTTAAAATAGAAATAAATTCTACCTTTAAAAACGTACCAGCCCCCTCCCCCCAAAAACCTGTTCGGTACAAGCCGTTTCCCCTGGCAACCGAGCCCTCTCCGCTCCCGTCCTACTCACCAATGCCGAAGTTCTTGGGCCTCTTCTCGAACAGGGGGTTGACCACCTTCTTGGCCTCCTGCTTCTTCACGACCGCGGGGGCCGGCGCCACCTTCTTCCCCTTGGCCTTCTTTCCCTTCGGCTGCGCAGGAAGAAAACCCCGGTGAACCACCGGCGCCCGCACCAGTCCCTTGCAGGCGAGGGGCTGGGGCTGGCGGGAGCCGCCCGGGGGGAAGGCTTCGCCCCCGTCCAGCCCACGAGCGCGGCCGCCGCGCGCGTGCATCAGCGATCTTGGTGGTCAGGGATGTCCTCACCATTGCTCAGATAGCAAATATTCGCTCACATCACCTGCACGAGCGTGGCCGGCCCCCAGCGCGGCGCCCCCAAACGGGCACGGGCCCCCCTTAGGAGCCGGACTCCCAGAGCAGCGAGGGCGGACTTGGAACCCCTGGCCGAAGGCCCCAGGCCGCGTCAGCGCCAAGCCCGCATTGCGGCGCTGCGCTTGACGGCTCCTGCCCCGGCCCGGCCGCCGGGAGTCTGCCCCCGCCAACGCCCCTGTGCCAGGCCCCGCGGGGCTCTCCTCGCGCCGGGCGATGGAGGGATGCCCGCGCGGCCGTGCCCCGAGGAGGATGGCAGCGGATAGAGCCTAGGCCCGGCGCCGGCACCCCGACCCACCGCCACACTCACCATCTTGGGCGGCGGGAGGATAGAGAGAAAGGGAAGGGAATTGTGGGAAATATGTATGCGACTTCGCAGATCGCGAGAACTGGAGCCTGCGCGGGATTTCGAATTTAAAGCGACAGCCCTCCCGTCGTCAGCCCCTCGGTCGGGAGCGGGACCGAGAGCGGGAGGCGGGTCTGTGGGATCGCAAGGGGCGTGGAGACGGCGGCGGGACGCTCCAGGCGCTGAGTGGCGCGGTGGGGCCGGGAAGCGGGGCTTCTTGAGGGGCGTTCGCTCGTCCGCCACCCCATCCCGGCCAAGGGCCCGCCGGGCGCGAGGACTGCGGACCAGGTGCAGGCATTGGGGTGGCGGGCGGGGCCGCCGTGCGATGCACCCGGAATGGCTCCGAGACCGCGAGTTCGTTGTTGGGCGTGCGCCCGGCGCCGGGCCGAGCGCTGGGGCGCAGGGGGAGCGCTGGGGCGAGACTGTCGGCGCTCCGTGGCCCGGCCTGGACGGGGTGATGGGGTAGAGTCGGAAGCGCCCTTTGGGTAAAGAGATGGGGCCGGAAAGGAGACCGGGGAGCGGCGGGCAGGGGGCAGGTGGGGAGCTCCTGCAGGCCTGGCCTCGGAGAAGTCTGGGCAGGACGCGGGCAGGGTTTTGCGGGCTCGCCAGGGTCCCCGCATGAGCTCGCCGGGGAGCAGGCGTGAGACTCCGCAGTGCACCTCTTAGGAAGGGCATCCCCGCCGATCTGCACGTTCTCCGGGCCACGGAGGGTCGGCGGCTGGGGTTGGCTCCGCTCACGGCAGACTCCGGGTGGCAGGTGCTGACGACTGGCCGCAGGCCCCTGCTCCCTGCACAGAGGGCGCCCCGCCATGGCCCAGCAGAGAGCCCTGCCGCAGAGCAAGGAGACGCTGCTGCAGTCTTACAACAAGCGCCTCAAAGACGACATCAAGTCCATCATGGACAACTTCACCGAGATCATCAAGACCGCCAAGGTGGGTGGGGCCGACCTGTCTCCCCCGAATGGAGAGTGGACAGGGTGAGCCCAGGGATTGGCCTGCTCTGCTCCAGAGTGTCACCAGAGTGCTCTGGGCCAGGTGGTCGGGGTACAGCAGCAGTGGACACAGGCAGGGCCCTCGTCCCAATGGGGAGAACATTGGTGGGGCAGCAGTAAGGAGATGCAGATGACCAGGTAACTACAGGTCCTGGTGAGGCAGCTGAAGGGGACTCTGGTCACATCGCACCAGGTTCAACATCCACACCACTTGCTAGCGTGGGTTTGGACAGGGATTTGGTTTCTCGAGTCCTAGGGCCCTTGTGAGGATTGGATGGTTTTATCTCTGCAAAGTGGTTACCTCCGGGCCTGACAGGGACCCAGGCATCACAGCTTTCGGGAGTGAGTGCCATCAGGAAGGGAAGCTGGGAAGGCCCCTCCAGGTGGGGCAAGCGGTCAGCATTGGGCTCAGGGGTGCTGGCTCTTTTCGTGACCCTTGCAGACTTGGAAGACTTGAGTACTAGTGACGGTGATGCAAGCTAGCATTTGCTTAGTGTTCACCCGTGTCAGGCTGTGTTCGGAGAGCTTTTGGGTCCTGTCCCGTTTAATCTTCACAAGACTCTTTGATGCAGGTGTCATTGTCTTCTTCATTTTCAGAGGAGGAAACTGAGACTCAGAAGATTTAGTAACTTACCCAAGATCATTCGGCTAATACCTGGCAGAGCCAGCATTGAACCCCGGAGGTCTGGCTCTTAGCCACTTAGGGTGCCCTGACACCTGCCAGTACACTGGCAAGGCCCGGTGGGGAAGCCCTGTCCAGGTGGATGGATTGGGTCAGGTAATAGCCTGGACCTTCGCAGGGTGGTGTGGCTCAGTGGATGGAGCGTCATCTCACGGACTGAGAGGTCCGGGTTGGATTCCCTCCCGGTCACGGCACATGCCCGGGTTGCAGGCTTGGTCCCCAGGAGGGGGCGTGCAGGAGGCAGCCAATAGATGTGTCTCACATCAACATTTCTATCTCTCTCTCCCTCTCTCTCTAAATTAAAAAAATAAAAAGCACAATAGCCTGGCCCTTGGACAAGACAGGCAGGGCGGAGCAAGGCTTCTGGCTCCCACGGTTACCGTCTGAGATACATAGAGCAGGCTTATTGCCTGTCCTGGCCTCAGGTTTGCCCACCGGTAAACTAGAGGGGGCTGTCCACGCTTCTGTGAGAATTCTGTAAGGTAATGGTGGTCAAGGGCTAAGGGTGGTACCCAGCACCCAAGAAGTGCTCAGTAAATGGTCACTTAAAAAAAAAACATTGTTGCCCTGGCCGGTTTGGGTCAGTGGTTAGAGCATCGGCCCTCAGACTGAAGGGTCACAGATTTGATTCCCAGTCAAGGGCATATACCTAGATTGCAGGTTTGATCCCTGGCCCTGGTCGGGTTGTGCAGGAGGCCACCAGTCGATGTATCTCTCTCACATGGATGTCTCTCTCCCTCCCTCCCTCTTTCCTTCCCTCCATCCCTTCCATTCTATCAAAAAATCAATGGAAAAACATCCTCGGGTGAGGATTAAAACAAAAAAATAATTGTCTTTTTATTCATCTATTCAGTTTATTGAGTGCCTGAGCTAGTGACACCGTCGGTACTGAACAGGGCTCACACCCCAGAAAGACTTGACAAGACCTCCCTGCGCCTGGCACGCTGTCAGCCAGCTGTGTGGGCCCCCACCCGTCCACGTGAGGTGCCGTTCTCTCCTTTCCCTCCTTGAATGAGGGGAGCTGACGTCGCCTGCGGTCTGGGCAGCAGTGCCTGCTGTAGGAAGTGACAGGCAGGCCCAGCTGGGGTGGCCCAGTGGTTGAGTGTCGACCCTGCACCAAGAGGTCGCCGGTTCGATTCCCGGTCAGGGCACCTGCCCAGGTTGTGGGCCCGATCCCCAGAGGGGGGCATGCAGGAAGCGGCCAGTTAATGTTCTCTCTCATCAATGTCTCTCTCTCTCTCTCCCTTCCTCTCTCTCTAAAATCAATAAAGAAAAAAGAAGGTGACAGGCGGGAGGCGGGAGTGTGGGTATGTGTAGTTGGCAGACACCTATAGGCCGGCGCCTGCTGACTTGAGACTCTTATCTGTCCTCCAGATTGAGGATGAGACACAGGTGTCCAGGGCCACTCAGGGCGAGCAGGACAATTACGAGATGCATGTGCGAGCCGCCAACATCGTAAGTCACCAGGTGGAAGGCCTGGCCCGGGCTCCAGCACCTTGGGGTCCCCGCTGTGGTCTCCTGGGTGGGGGGGCAAACCACTTCTTAGTTGACCACCCCCCTCAAGAGGAGGGCTGTCCATGGCAGCGTGAGGGGCAGGCAGAGCGCGGCCATGGCTGTCCTGTCGAGTGCCCTGCAGTGCCTGGAAAGAGAGCGACCCTTCCTTGTTGACCAGAAAGTTCTCCGAGATTCATTATGAGTACAAAGGTGAATTTCGGAGTGAGGCAGGATTTGTGTTTTGGTCCCTTCTGCTGTCACAGCACAAGCGCATCGATGGTGTCCATAGGTGTGTGTCCATGGGTGAGAACACACGGGTCCCCGAGGAGTCCGCCCAGCTGGCAGGCGAGCTGCCCCGAGGAAGGGCAGGGCAGGCGGTTGAACGGACTGTAGCTGTGTCTGTGGGCTTAGGGCTGCTGGGGAGCAGGTGTGTGCTCGCATAGCTTGTGTGACCGGCGAACAGGGGCAAGCGAGGGGGCCCTGGGGGCTGGCGGCACCTGCCATCTCCCCGGCTGCGTTTCATGCAGTCGAGGGCCCTGCCCTCCCGTAACTTACCCCTTTGCTCCCTCACTTCTCACAGTGACCCTTGAGGGTCAGTGCCGCAGCCCCACATGTAGATGAGGACACAGGCCATCCCTTGGCCAGCATCAGGCCCAAGGAGATGGTGCAGTCACCCCGTCACCTGCCTGCTCCGGTTCCCTTCACCACAGGTGCGAGCCGGAGAGTCCTTGATGAAGCTGGTGTCCGACCTCAAGCAGTTCCTCATCCTGAATGACTTCCCGTCCGTGAACGAGGCCATTGACCAGCGCAACCAGCAGCTGCGAGCCCTGCAGGAGGAGTGTGACCGAAAGCTCATCACCCTGCGCGACGAGGTCTCCATCGACCTGTACGAGCTGGAGGAGGAGTATTACTCGTCCAGGTACAAATAGGGCTGGACCCGGACCTGCAGGCGTGGGCCCGGCAGCCCCGAAGGTCCTGCTTTCCAGACCCGGCCTGGTCTCGGCAGCAGAGCCCCGTGCGCGGTTTCAGAGCAGATCTCCTGGTCAGAGCGTTTGATCGACAGACACGACGGCGTTCACGGGGTCCTGGGCCCTGGGATGAAAATCACGGGACTTCAAGGGTTGGGAGGGCCAGAGCCAGCGTTCCTGGCCAGGATGCCGGCTGCCTCTTTCTGAACTTGTCTGCTCGTTTTAGCTTTTCAGTCGGTCTTTAATCGTTCCAGCCAAGCTAGCTCCTCTTGGCTGCCCGGGCTATGTCCAGACAGCGGTGATTCCATGTGGGCATCACCACACTCCCAGGGTGGGGCCTGGGGGCCCTGGAAGGAGGAGGGAAAGTCCCAAGTAGAGGATGACCTTGAGACCCCCTAGTTCCCGTTCGGCTCAGCCTTGTGCGGGGAGCCAGAGCCCTCGTGCCAGGCCCATGCTGGGCCCCAGGGTTACAGCAGTGGGCACAGCCCATTACCTGAGGCCTCGGAGGTAGAGGGGCCCTGAGAAATCTCAGTCCAAGTATAATTGACATGAGGGAAACTGAGGCTAGAGACTGGGAGGCCTTACACCTCCGTCCCCATTTGCTTGGAAAGTCAAGATTCGGTCCAGCAGACAGTCTGTGCCCCGTTCTCGCCCGGACAGCGTCTTCCCGTGGTAGGTTTGAACGCTCCTTTCTGCCGCATGGAAGCCATGCTGGGAGCTGCAGGTGCCCAGAGCCAGCATGCTCTGTGGTCGGGGCTTGGTTTCCTTCCTTGAATTCCATGCCACCCTCGTCCCTGCCCATCTCGGCCTCTGTGGGCAGGGACGTTACGTTAGTGCCCAGCTGGAGTGGTTCTAGACTTTCCCAGAGCGCTCTGGGGCCCTCTGTCCCTGAGACCTGTCAGCTCAGCAGATACGTGGCAGTTGCCTCCTGACACACCAGGTCTTCAGAGAAGGGTCCTGCGTGGGTCCCTGGGGGGTTTCAGACCCTGCTGGGGACATGGCTCATGGCCCCCAATGTCATCCCCAAGGGCCAGCCTCTGGCTAAACAGCTGCAGGACAGATTCGGCCCTGCAGCTTGAGGTTGAGGGCAAAGGGGAGGGACCCTGCCCTGTCAGTCTCTGGTTCACCCACATGGTTCTGGGCCGGCCTGGTCGCCCCTCTAGCATCCCTGGGGCCTCAGGAGACCGAGTCCCTCCCTCATCTGTGACACCTGTACATGGCCAGGGCTCAGCTGAATCAGGGCCTACGGACTATGTACCCTCCCTGCTTGTCACCCGGCACGTGCCCCCCTGAACCCCCAGTGCTCAGCCCCCCTCTACCCTCTGCAGCCCCAATGCCTCGCTCACCCGCCTCCACGCTTGCTCACCCACTTTCCACTCGTGATTTGCTCTGTCTGCCTCTCGCCCTCTGCTGTCCTTGGGGCATGCTCTGTGACCAGGATGGTTTCTGAGACTGAACACTGCGGAGGGAGGGAGGGAGGGAGGGAGCCACAGGCAGGGTAGAACAGGATGCGGGAGACGGTCCATCGCCCCTCCACGACCTTTAACCTGGGTCCTCCAGCAGCCATGTTAGGAAGAAGGTGTGGTTTCGGGGGCCGGTTCAAGGGCCTGTTTGCAATTGCAGGGCTGGTACCGTGGTACAGGACAGAACACCAGGGCCTCTGGTCCTGTCACCCCACTCGGTCTCTGTCCTCGGGGTCCTTGCAGAGTGTAGGAACCATGGAGGGACCACAGTGAGCTTTGGACGCTGGCTGCCACTGCGGGCCCCTCCCAGAGAGAGGAGGACAGCCATGTGACAGGGCGGACACCTGGTAGATCAGTGGAGGGACCTGCTGAGGTCGCACAGACCTGTATCAGCCGGTCCTGGACAGCTCCTCCCTCAGGACCCTGAACTCTGACACGGGGGCTCCCTTGTGCCTCCTGCTTGACGGGAGCGCCTACCCAGAGGGGAGAGGCAGGTCTGGGGTGCTGTTTTCTTAACTCTGCTTCTGTCTCGCTTTCCCTCCCCTGGCTCTCATCTCTGCCTGCTCCTGTCCCTCCCTGGGTTTCTGGTGGCGGAAAAGCTCCAGTCTTTGCGAAGCTAATGATCTGCCTCTGTGTGAAGCTTACTGGAGGCTGGACCTCGACACAGACACTGCTGATGGCCTCCCGGCCCCTCTGCTGGCGTCCCCGGAGCCCAGTGCTGGCTCCCTGCAGGCCGCTGCCCCTGCCCACTCCCACGCTAGCGGCCCCGGCCCCACAGAGCATGCCTGAGCCTCTGGCTCCCTCCGCAGGCCCCTAGGGTCTTAGGAACGAGACCTGGTGCTTCCCTCCTGCTGCCTCAGCTCCATCCTCTTGGCCGGAGCTCCCGCGTGGGCAGCCACTGCGGCCTCCTTGGGAAGCTCATCAGCCCAGGGGCAGCCCACCCAGGAGTGTGGAGAGCAAGTAGTTCCCCCAGCCGTTTCTGGGGTGGCCCACTCTTCCTCAAGGCCCCTCTGCTCACTGCTTCCCTGTAGCTGGGGGTTTCCGGAGCAGTCTGGCCTGCAGGGGACCTGACCTGGGCCTGCTGTGTAAAGTGGGCAGGCAGTACTGGCCAAGCCCAGACCAGGCCTCTGTGTGGAGACCCCATGCTGCCTCGCCCTGAGGGTCCCTGCAGGGCTGGGGGTGGGGCCGTGGTTCACATGCAAGCCTGACAGGTGGAGGTTCTTCCTAGTTCTGCCGGGTGCACCGTCTGGTTGTTTTATGGGGCTGCTGAATAAAAACAGCTGCCCTTTGGCTGTGGTTGGTTCTCCTTTCTTGTTCATGCTGGCCATTCTGGACTCTCCATGATCCCCTGTTGGAACTAGCAGCTCCTGGCCTCTGCCTGAGCAACCTTGAGCTCTAGGTCAGCCTTCTCCCCTTGGGGCCCTGGGCAAGCAGGGCTCGGCCAGTGTGGGGTCATGGCTGCATATTCCTATTGCCTAGAACTGCCTGGGATCTGGATCCTTAACTGGTGAATGGATGAAAAGCACACTGCACGGCCCAGGCACCTGTACCTCTGGTCTCTTCTAGTCCTCACTGCAGCCAAGCCTGTTGTCACCGGGACTTCAGGGAGGGGTGGTCACAGGCTCGGAAGGGGTTGATGGGGTCATGGAGCCTGGAAGCAAAGTGGCAGAAATCACCCAGTGCCAGGGGACCTGAAAACATGGGGAGGGTCACAGCAGAGCAACTGAGACTTCAAGCCTGCACCTGGTCACTGGTGTGCTTGCTCTCACTAGGGAGACCACTGTACTGGTGTGTGGAAGAAGTAACAAACAGCCCAGAGTCCAGCCTCGGGGACAGGGAGGGACACAAGCCAACCCACCTCAGGTCCCAGAGACCCCAACAGCCAAGCAGAGGCACCAGACCTGCCTGGGTTTCTGGGGTGGGCCAGAGAAGTTGCTTCCCCTTTGGGTGAGTTTCCCCATTAATAGGATGGGTGATCTCTCTGGCAGCATTTTAATTGTGGAAACAACTTGCACTGAACCACTAAGGGAGAAAAGATTACGATCGACAGAAGTACATTTTGGGGAGAGGCGGGAAGAAGTGGGCCAGACTTAGCAGGGGGGTTTGGATCATCTTCACTTTCTAAAATGAGTAACAGAAGGTCCTGTGCCACCCCTTTTGCCCTCCTGGGCTGGTGCCATCATTCCCAGTGCAAAACAGAGTTGTCCCTCCTAAAGCAGAGCACTCTGCCCTGTCCTGTCCTGTCCTCTGCAGACCACGCCCCTGGCAGCAGGAAGGGGCTGTTTGCCTCCCGTCCCGAGCCTGAATCAGGCAGGTTATGGTTCCCCTGGCCCGGCTACACATCTTAAGGTCCCCAGTGTCCTCCATGTGGCTAACCTCTGGTCCTTCAGTCCTCACTTTTTTTTTTTTTTCATCCTCACTCGAGGGCATTTTTTCCCGATTTTTGTTCAAATAGAGTGGGAGGGAGAGAGAAACATCGACATGAAAGGGACACACCGAGTGGCTGCCACCCGCACAACCAACCAGGGCCGGGGACAAACTGCAACTGAGGTACGTGCCCTTAGTGGGAACCGAACCCGGGTCTCTCTATACCGCAGGCCGACACTCTGACCACTGAGCCAAACCGGCCAGGGCTTTACCACCTTTTCATTCCCAGCTTTTTATTCTGAGAATGTTCAACCCTGCCCCCTCCCCGCCCTGGAAACGTGAAAAGGTAGAACGAAGGACCCCCGTGCAGACCGGCTTCCGTGTTGTTTGCACCTTCGCTAGCTCATTCTCTGCATAAAAGCCATCTGAGCGTCAACTACAGACCTCATGACACTCACCCCTAAATACTTGTCAGCCTGCCCCTCCAAGCCACGTTCTCGCTGGCCCAACTGACCAATTATTCCATACCACCTAGCATCATTACATGTTCTGATTTCCCCAAATGTCTTTATAACTATTTTTATTTTGCATTGCATTTATTTTTTCTGTAGCCTTTTAAAATCTAGAACAAGCCCTGGCCAGTTTGGCTCAGCAGTTAGAACATCAGCCCATGGACCAGAGACCTGGGTTCAGTTCCCACTAAGGACACGTACCTCAGTTGCAGTTTGTACCTGGCCTCAGTTGGGGTTGTGTGGGTGGCAGCCAGTCGATGTGTCTCTCTCACGTCGATGTTTCTCTCTCTCTTCCTCCCTCTCCTCCTGCTCTATCTGATGATAAATGCAAAAAATGTCCTCGGATGAGGATAAAAATAAATATAAAATCTAGAACAGAATCAGAGTGGTGGTTGGAGTTGAATTCCCGATATACTTTGAAGGGCGAGCCAAGGGGATTTGCCCAAGGATTGGATGTGGGAGAGGAGTCGGAGGCTTCGAGGTCTGCCCCATGTGCCCAGAAGCACTGAGGTGAGGGAGGAAGGCAGTGGGGGGGAAATGGGACTGGAGGGGGTCAGATCCCCGTTTTGTACACAGCAGGTGGAGATGTGTCCTCCGAACCCAAATGTGGGTCTGGAGTTCAGGGGAGTTAGTACAGAGGGGATCACTGATGGGGAGAGTTGACAGAAAAGAATTGATTTAGAGCAGTGGTTCTCACCCTTCCTAATGCCGCAACCCTTAAACACAGGTCCTCATGTTGTGTGTGGGCGTATTTGCGTGTGGATGGACTGCCTGGAGAGGGTGGAGGAGCCGTTCCGAAGACCATCGGAAATATGTTTTCTGACGTGAAAGGGTCATTCGACCCCCAAAGGGGTCGTGACCCACGGGTTGAGAACTGCTGATTTAGAGACCAAGGGAAGAGAACCCAGGTAGGGAGGAGGAAGAACTGCTGTTTGGGGTCCCCCAAGCCATATGAAGACAGGGTTTGGGTGAGGAGGATCAGTTGGTCAAACCCTCCAGACACCTCGCCCAGAAAAAGTAACTTAAAATCAGAAGACCCGGCTGCCAGGGTGGCTCAGTGGATGAAGCGTTTTCCCATGAACTGAGAGGTCCCAGTTCGATTCTCAGTCAGGGCATGTGCCTGGGTTGCGGGCTCCACTCCCAGTAGGGGGCGTGCAGGAGGCAGCCCATGGAAGTTTCTCACATCAATGTTTCTCCTAAACTCTCTAAAAAATAAAAATATTTTTAAATCAGAAAGGCCCTGCCCTGGCCAGTGTGGCTCACTGATTAGAGGGACAGCCCACAGACCAAAGGATTGTGGGTTCCATTCCCGGTCAAGGGCACGTACCTCGGTTGCAGCTCCTATCCCTGGCCCTGGTTGGGGCGCATGCAGGAGGCAACCAATCAATGTGTCTCTCACTTCGATGTTCCTCCCTCCCTCCCTCCTTCCTTTCCACTCTCTTTAAAATAAATCAATGGAAAAATATCCTTGGGTGACGATTAACAACAACAAAATTTAGGAAGGCCCGTAATCAAGATCTACCCTCGGAACTCAACTATTTTCTCTCCCTGGCCTGTGGCAGCTCAGCTGGCATCTACCACCCCAGTCCACTGAAGGCCGCCCTGGCGATGGAGCCACGGGGCCGAGGGCCCCAGACGCGCTGTGGGCTGCAAGCGGGCCCCGTCCTTCCCGCGGCAAGGCACCCCGCGGCGGGGAACAGGGGTGGCGGTCCCGGCGTCCGGCGGGCGCACACTCCCCTCCCTGCCGGGGGGGTTCTCACCACGCAGGAGCCTGTTTCCCGCTCGCCTGCGACCCGGGGACCCAGCGCAGCAGTCGCCGCCCGGCCGGGACGCCCCCGCCCTGCGCGCTCCCCATCGCCGCCGCCGCGGGCCTGCGTCTTCTCTCCAGTCGCCCCGAAGTGCAAGCCTGAGGCGGGCACAGTCGTGGGCCCCCGGGGCTCGGGACCCGCCCGGCAGCTGCAGTCCTTTCGGAACAACGCGGTCCCGCCAGCGCCCAGGGGGGCCGAGCGCCCGGAGTTCCGAGCTGATGCGGTCTGTCCCCGTCGCGCTACGCACTGAGCGCCTACGGTGCACCGCGCAGCGTGCGGGGCGCAGAGCCGGGGCGGGGCCACCAGCACCTGCTCGCCCCCTCGTCCCGCCGGGTCCGGGCCCTCGAGGCCACGCCCACGGGCCCCGCTCCGCCCGCGGCCCACAATGCTTTGCGCCCCGCCCCGCCCCGCCGGCCTTTCCGGGGGCGCCAGGCGTGGAGAATCGAGCACCGCGCGATGGCGGCTCGGCGCTCGACTGGCGGCGCCTGCGCACGTGGTGTTTCCGGCGAGCGCCGCGCTGTTGAGGCTCGCGCGGCGGGGGACCTGTGCGCACCTGGGACGCTGCGCCCGGCCCTCCGCTCCGGAGCAGGCCCCCGAGTGAGCCCCCCGAGCCCCAGCCATGGCTTCTCTGCTCGCCAAGGACGCCTATCTGCAGAGCCTGGCCAGGAAAATCTGCTCCCGGCCCAGCCCCGAGCCGCACAAGCGCAAGTCGGGTAAAGCGCAGCCTGGGACTGGGAGGGCTTCGGAAGGGGGGCCCCACTCCCCGCCGCGGCGAAGCCGGCGTCTGCCCCACACCGCACCCCGAGGAGCCTTGGGGCGGACTAGACACGTGTATGCGTGAAACGAGCGTGTAAAATGCTGAAAGGAAATACAAGTGGTGTTTCTAGCCACCGGTGTTTCTCCTTGGTGGTCCGGGGCATCCGCCTGGGGGTCCGAGGTTCAGCGCACCTGCACACCGGGCGGGCAGCGCGGCCCGGGTTTGGAGGAGGTGACTGTGGGATGGGGAATGTGGGGGGAGAAGGAAAGAAAACAGCTCCTTTCGTGGGGGGTTACATGGCAGAAACTGGCCTGCTGGGAGCTGAGACTTGTGTGCACTGCCTGGGCGAGACAGCTTTGGGTCTGGCATGGAGGGGGCAGAGGAGAAAGAGAAACAACTTCTCTTTTTATACAAGGAGAAGTTATTCATTGTAGCAAATGAGGAAAAGTGAGTTTTCTTGATGAGTTATCACTGAAGCCTATTTCTTTTTTTTTTTTATCATACTTATTAAAACAACTTGGTTATTATACTACATACTCGTTTTTCCATTGAAAATGGAGATATTTTCTCCAACTCTTTTTATTTACTTATTTTAATTTTATTTTTTACCCTCACCAGAGGACATTTTTTGCAGTTATCTTCAGATAGAGTGGAAGGAAGAGAGAGAACATCAATGTGAGAGAGACACATCAACTGGTTGCCACCCACACAACCCCAACCGGGGCTGGGGACAAACCGCTACCTTGGTACATGCCCCTAGCGGGAACTGAACCCAGGACTCTCCAGTCCACAGGCAGACACTCTAACTACTGAGCCAAACCAGCCAGGGCCATTTTCTCCAACTCTTGAAATGGAAGCCCGCGTCATTGTTTTTGATGGCTACATGGTGGTAGGCTGTGTAATTGCTCTAATTTGTCCCCGGAGGTGGATGTTTAGGCTTTCCTAGTTTTTCACTCAAATGCGTGAAACAAGCATGTAAAGTGACGTTGTGATCAATACTCTTGAGGGCAAATCTTTGTGCATACCCAGGATGAATTCTCACCGTGGAGTGCTGGGTCAAGTGTGGGGAAGTTGGTCAGGGTTTTGATATGTGTGGCCAGTCTGCTTTTTCTAGGAAGCATATCATTCTGAGCTCTGTGGATAACCGGATCCTTCATCCTGATTCACTTTTGGCCTCCTGGGATCAAAGCCTTTGCAAGACTTCTGCCTGTTGAATGGGTCACAGAGATCAGGACAGCATCGTTGACTCATTTTTTATTTCATTAGGCAAAACTCAAGGCTCAGAAGCTGCTGGACCCCCAAAAAAGAAGAGAAAGAGAGCACAGAAGAAATCCCGGGAGCGGGGGCAGAAGGCTGTGGAGCCCCAGGCCCAGGCCTTGGGGGGAAAGCCTCGTGCAGCTTCCCAGGCCCGGAAGCCAGCAGCAGCCAAGGAGGAGAAGACCTCTGGCCCTGTGGTTTCTGCAGGTGAGGAGCTCCAGGACGCTGGGCAGGGCCAGCTGGGATCCATGCAGCCACGGTTCCTCTAGTCATGAGAAAAGGCATTGTCGGGCACACTGGAATAACGGGAGACTTCCCAAAGAGTGAGCTTCCAGAGGGCATCACAGGGGCTCTGTGGGTGGGCGGGATCCCGGGGGGTGCACAGTGGTTCCAGGCCGAATGGTGCCCAGGATCTGGTGTGCGGCGAGGCTGTGAGTGCCTAGAACAGCTTGGCTTCTAAAGTGTCATTGCCCTCGAGTTTCTGAAGGGGCATTGAGAAAGCTGGCATGTTCCGGGAACCACAGCCTGCAGAAGTTGAAGAAATGGGAGATGCGTTTGGCTTGACCTGTAGGAAGCATTTTGCTATAACACGGGATGCCCTGTCCCTGAGGATGTTCTGGGGGCCAATCCAGGTTGAAGAGGCAGAGTGGAATTCATTGGAACTGCCATGCAGATCCATCAGTGGCCACCAGGGGAGGCAGTGCATAAAGACTCAGGTTTTGAAGCTTGGCCCTGGGGAGGGGACTCCTTTCAGTCCACGGATTCCTTCTCTGCAGATGGCCTGGCTGCAGAGTCTGACTCTGTCTTCGCTCTGGAGGTTCTGCGGCAGCGGCTGCACGAGAAGATACGGACGGCCCAAGGCCAGGTAGGTGTGGGGAGAGCTCGGGTACCTGGAGCAGTGGGTTTGCTACCGTGGTTTTCCCTCTCTGCCCGGGGAGGAGGTGCGCTCTGCGGGGTCAGCTCGCAGCCCTGCCGGCCACAGTGGGCACGACCAGCACTTACGTGAAATGTGGGCTGACAGGAAGGGCCTCGGCGGCTCTGTTCTGCACGAGATCAGGTGTTTTCATGGTTTCGGGGAGCCTCGGGCCACCTGCCTTCAGCTGGCCCAGGAGAGGCTCGGCCTGTTCCCTCTGGGAAGCCACCTGTGCTGAACACCACACTGGCGGCACTCCTGCGCATCTAAGTGTCCTGACAGCCCTGTGAGGTAGGCGAGGGTCTGGGGTGAGTGGCCTGCCTGGTGACAGCCACAGCAAATGCTGAGGTATGAGCCAGCCTCCGCCTCTCCTGCTGGGTGGCGTAGTTTGCCCTTTGCTGTGTGGGGACAGCCCCTCAGCTTCTTTCCACACTGCCCCAGGGCAAGCCCGGGGGCTGATTCCTGGAGGGGATGCGGGCTCCGTGCCCTGCCTTCCCGCAGTGCACATCTGGGCAATCTGCTCTGGGGCCCTCGTGCTGGCCGTGGGGTGGGAAAGGCTGTTGGTGAAGCAGAGCTTGGCTTGTCACCACAGGATAGTGCCATGGTCTGCAAAGTGCCGCGTTCTGGATGGTGGCCTGGCCAAGCCACCTGCCACTGAGCCTGTAAAGTGGTGAACAGCGTCTCCTGTGTTGCTGGGTCACAGGGGAGATTTGGTGAAACTGTGGAGTGCCTGGGAACTGGAAGCCATGGTTCTTGGGGGTCCTCTTGTCCCTTCTGGGGTCTGTTGCATTTTGGGTGACAGGTCATCTCAGAGGAACACTGAACTCCGTGGTCCCTTGTCCTGCACAGGGGCTTCCTCCCCTGCCCTCCTGCCCTGTCTCCACGTGCGGGGCTGGGGCAGAAGCTGGGAGAACCTCACGGGTGACCAAGGCTTTCCTCCTCAGGGCGGCACCAACGAGCTGTCCCCGGCCGCTTTGGAGAAAAGACAGCGGCGGAAACAGGAGCGAGACCGGAAGAAGAGGAAACGGAAGGAGCTGCGAGCAAAGGAGAAGGCGGCAAAGGCTGGGGGGGCCGCGGAGGCTGCAGAGCCGCCCCCTGAGGGGCCCGGCAAGGAGGCGCAGAGACAGCCAGGGCTGCTGTTCAACAAGGTGAGGGCCGGGGTGGCGGCTGCCCCTGCGAAGTGGGGGTCATGGCGGTGTGGGTCCGGGTGCTGCAGGCGGGAGCTAACGGGCACCGCCTGTCTCCCCGAGAGGTGGAGGTGAGCGAGGAGCAGCCGGCCAGCAAGGCCCAGCGCCGGAAGGAGAAGCGGCAGAAGCTGAAGGGGAACCTGACGCCGCTGACCGGGAAGAACTACCGGCAGCTGCTGGAGCGGCTGCAGGCGCGGCAGAGCCGGCTGGAGGAGCTGCGGGAGCAGGACGCGGGGAAGGCGCGGGAGCTGGAGAGCAAGATGCAGTGGACCACCGTGCTGTACAAGGCGGAGGGCGTGAAGGTCCGCGACGACGAGCACCTGCTGCAGGCGGCCCTGAGGCGCAAGGAGAAGCGGCGGGCCCAGCGGCAGCGCAGGTGGGAGAAGCGCACGGCCCACGTGGTGGAGAAGATGCAGCGGCGGCAGGACCAGCGGCGGCAGAACCTGCGCAAGAAGAAGGCGGCCAAGGCCGAGCGGCGCATGGAGAAGGCCCGCAGGAAGGGCCGGGTCCTGCCCGGGGACCTGGAGCGGGCTGGCCTGGCCTGAGGGGCTGCAGGCAGACCGCTCCCCACCTGGGCACCTTCCCACCTGCCGCTGCTAGTGTGACGCTGGGCAAGTACCTGTCTGCAGACTCGCTCAGGGGCTTGGGTCTGTGTGCAAGAGGGGACACCACTGAGAACCAGGGGGAGGGGCGAACCAGATCCAGGCTCCGGCCTTCTCTTTCGAGGCTGGAAAGCCCCCGCCGGAGTTTGCAGGTGAGGGTCGGGGAGCAGTGCGGGGCATGGGGACTTGGGGCAGTCACTGCTCCTCCTCCCTCTCCTGTGTTCACAGCAGCAGGAGGGAACGGCCTTGGTAACAACCTGTGTCCAACACTCACTTGGAAGGGACAAAAACCCAACTGCTCTTGTCCGAGCCAAAGGCGGAGCTGACCACTCGGTCGCTGGGAGACAGGAGACCCCAGGCCTCACTGAGTGGAATTATTCTAAGTTTATTTGTACAGTTCAAGCTAAACATGCACGTAAAGAACCCTTAAGGCAACCCCTGAAAGACAGGAACTGTCGTAAACTGAGGAAGAAAAAGGCGGGGTGGGGCGATGTCCGTCCGGAAGTGGGGAGAAGAGCCGAGAGCGAGAGGTGAGAACAGGATGGTGGAATGAGCCCAAGCCCGCGGTGGCCGAATGGGTGCGAGGTTAGGGTCATGTGGACGTCTCTGTAAAGCTGCTAATAAGACTTCTGATGGAACCAGTTGCGAACAGATTGTAGCTGCAGAGAAGCTGGCGTGGCTGTGGCTCGGCGGGCCGGCAGGTAGGATGCCCCGCTGTTCTCGGAACAGCCCTGCCGAGCACCAGTAACAGCTTCCAGTCTGTTCACAAACCGCAGGGAGAATGTATTTCACTTACAGATGGGGGGGGGGGGGAGGTTAACATCTCTGAGAAACTGGTCATCAGGCAGACGAAAGCCAGGTGGGTACGGGAGGTCTGGTAGTGGAGCTCACAAGCGCCAGCAATGACGCGACAGTGTGTGTGGAAGCCGAACCCACCCTGCCAGCTCAGAAAGTGATGGGGCCCCACCACCTGCCAGTCACAGTTCAGTTGACATCACACAAAGTATGTGACCCAGCCACAGCACAGGTTAGTTTTACAATGTTGGGCTCACTCCCCAGCAGGGGGCGTGCAGGAGGCGGCCAGTGAGTGTTGATGTGTGTCTCGTAGGTTTCTCTCCTGCTCCCTCCCTCTCTCTCTAAAACACTTCTTTAAAAAAGGTACGAGTTCAGCCTGGCTGGTGGGGCTCACTGGTTGAGCATCAACCCCTGCACCAAGAGGTCACTGGTTCAATTCCGGGTCAGGGCACATGCCCAGGTTGTGGGCCCAATCCCCAGTGGGGGGCATGTAGGAGGCAGCCAATCGATGTTCTCTCATCAATGTTTCTGTCTCTCCCTCTTTAAAATCAGTAAAGGGAAAAAAATCTTTCTTAAATGTAAGAGTTCGTTGTTAAAATTTCACGTTTGGAAATTTAAGTTACCAGAGTCAATAGTTCCTAGTAGATGTTGAATGTTTAGGACTGAAAGGTGATGGCAGTACTGGGTGTGTTTGGGGGCACAGGTGTGTGTGTGTGTGTGTTCAATCATGTTGTGCAGCATGATTTCCTGCCATCTTGTCAACCTGCGGCCCACTTCCAGGATTCTGTTGTCCCATCCTGTTTGCACCCAGTCATTTCTCCAGACTATTTTCCATCTGCCACAGGAGAGTTGGGAGAGTATAGCCCCTGTGAATACGGCAGGGAGCATCTCATTGGGCACCCGCCTGAAGGCTCCAAGGCCAGGAAGCTCACCCCTCCAGCTCAAGGGCTTCTGTGTCCGCAGCTTCATCTGGCTGATGTGCAGGGAGAGCTGAGGATGCGTTTTGGTGGCAGGTGGCCTCACCCCATTTCTAAACGCAGCAGCAGACAATAGGAGACAGAGAAGAAAAGGTGAGAAAGGAGGAGAAATCTTCACCTGGTGGCATGTGGTTGGCATCACACAAAGTGCCACCCTAACTCCAGTTTGACACTGAAAATGCTGCACCGTCATCTTCCCAGCCTCCTAGGCTTGGCCAGTCACTCCCTGGCCTCGGGCTGGGAGCAGAGATGCCCAGAAGCAAGGGTGGCGCGCCTGCGTGTGTTTTTTTTTTTGGTGTCAGGTGGCCACAGCAGCATCTCTTTCCAGATGCGTAGAATGTGAACAACAGGGAAGAGAAGTGGAGAGAGTTATAGGATGAGTCTGGGAGGCCCACTGCACACCTTCTGGGTGCTACACACTTCAGGGCGTAGCATCGGAGACATTTCCAGGACCAAATGGCAAGAGTCTCCAAATTGGAAGGCCACCCCCAACCCTGGTGTCTAACATTGGATGACTATAGCCCTAATCAGACGTATACCTGCCATCTCTCAGCCTGCTGGGGGTCAGCACAACGTAATGAGCTACAAGCAGACGCTGCTTAGAGTGAGGGGGAGCATCACAAGGGAGCAAATGCTCCAGATCTCTGGATACAGCCCAATTTGTTCGCAAAGTGGTTCCCCAGGTTACACGGTGTTTTGGGTAATTATTTCCTTGAGATGGCGTCTCTGCTGACCTTACAGCCCAGCCCTGTCTCGCTTTTTTCAGCAGAGAACCACCTGGGCCTTCTTGCCCTTTCACTTTGGGCGTGGTGTTCCTGCCCTGTGACATGCAGAGCTTATCTATTCCCATGTAAATGCCTGTGCACTCAGTTCAGACAGGGTGGTCCTGCCCTCCAGGCAAACCTTATCTACCCACACTTTGACCCTTGGCTGGGCATGGCTCAAAGTTACATTTTGTTCATCCACCAAACCCCCAACCCTACACATGCCCAGGAACTGAGGTTCACTAGGAACTGGGGTCCCAGCAGTCCTGAAAGGTCAGGGTGGTGTGGCGCTGGTAGCCAGGCCGTCTCTGTTCAGGGGTCTAGAACGTGGACTAACGTGCAGAATTCGGTGAGGAGCTTCAAGCAACTGGTAGCTCAAGTGAAACCTCTGTTCACCAGACCTAGAGTGCTGGGGGGAGGGGGGCGGCAGAGCCCCCCTGGTCTAGAGCCGAGAAAGGAGGGGTTGCCGAGGGGACTGGCTTCTTGGAAGTTACCCCCTCAGGTAAGGGCCTTCAAGGGGGCTGATTTCTTCAAATGAGCCTCTGTGAGGTTGGATGTCAGGGTCCCAGAGTCACCCCAGGGCAGCCAATATCCCCTTTCGGTGTTGAGCCGACGCTCTGCCATTGTGCTTTGGCTTTTCCGTGAGAGCTGCAAGGTTCCAACTCGCCTGTTGATGTGGTTGGTTGATGAACTAGTTAGAACTTTGGTCTTCAGCATCTTGGTCTTGCAGCTGGAACGATATGAGATTTTCCTGGGCTGGCGTGTTCATAACCCCATAATGGATGATTGGTAAGTTGTTGTGCTGACTTGTTTATAGCTCCATGGTGGATGATTGGGAAAGCCACTGTGTGCTCTCTAGCTGAACCCGTTTTGTAAAGAAGAAATTGTTGGGAGCCGGCTACATGTCTGACAGTCCACGGAGCCTGGAGAACTTGAGTCAAACTCCACCTCCCCCACACTCTCAAGGAATTGGGCTTGCGTGTGTTTGTGCAGCCCGAGGCTAAGTGTGACCCAACGTACCTTGAAATGCCTGGTGTTCCTGTTACCCGTAAGGCAAACTAATTCTGTACAGCATGGCTGTGGCCCTGGGCATTATGTCCAGAAGGTCCTATTTGCTGTGAGGTGTGGAAGGCATGGAATGAAGCACATCGGGGCTGGTTCCGAAGACTCTCACCGGGTGTTCGGAATCAGACGCCGGCCGGACTTCAGTTCTCTAGTGGTCTCTCTGTGACTCTGTGGCACCACGACATTTGGAGGCCCCAGGGCTGGTCTCCGAGAACTTGGGATCAGCTGCCGGCTGGCTTGGCTCTCTGGCTTTAATTTGGCTCTGGTGGTCTCGGTTCTCTCGCGCCACAACATTCCTACAGAGTAACAGGAAGTCTCTGATCCTCAGTTCATGGCTTGAGCTAAAAGTTGGGGTGTTGAGCCTAGGACCTTGTATCAACTCTGCAGCCCTGTTAAAGAAGCCACCCCGCCCTGCGGTCCTCAAGTTTCTCACGCCTTTCCCATTGTTTTATGGTGGTGTCCAGCTAGTCCCTCAAAGTCTTGCCTTCAAATGACATTTGTCACCCGGCCAGTGTGGCTCAGTGGTTGAGCACGGACCCCTGCACCAAGAGGTCACTGGTTCGCTTCCCAGTCAGGGCACATGCCCAGGTTGTGGGCCCGATCCCCGGTAGGGGGCATGCAGGAGGCAGCCTACTGATGTTGATGCTTCTCTCTCTCGTCAATGGTTCTATTTCTCCCTCTCCCTTCCTCTCTCTCTTAAAAAAAAAAAAAAGTTAACATTTTTTTTTAAAAACAAACAAACTGGCAATGTCCTCCATTCGCCTTTAAAAAATAGCAAAAGCCAAGCAGGAAAATAAGAAACAGAAAACAGCCCGGCTGGTGTGGCTCAGTGGTTGAGCATCGACCCAGGCACCAAGAGGTCACGGGTTCGATTCTCAGCGCACATGCCCAGGTTGTGGGCCCGATCCCCAGTGGGGGGCATGCAGGAGGCAGCCAGTTGATGTTCTCTCTCATCAATGTTTCTATCCCTCTCCCCCTCTCCCTTCCTCTCTCCTAAAATCAATAAAGAAAAAAAAATTTAAAAATAAAGAGAAACAGAAGACAAGTTTGCTGAACCAACCATCTCAGACGTAAGTAGGAAGCGTGCTGTTGCACACCTATGCTAGGTGGACAGGGTGCAGGGGAGCGCCGTGAAGTGAGGATGGGGGTGGAGAAGTCCCCGAGCAAAACCTTGTCCTAGCAAAGATGACAGGTGGTCTGGCAGCCAGAGCGGAAGCTGGGCTCTGGAGCAGAGGCGGCACTGGGCGGGGACTCACGGGCCAGCTGTGCAGCAAGGCACCTGCCCGAGTGGGCTGCTGGCGTGAGCTCCGGGAACCTGTCCGCAGCGTCCTCTCTGTGACTCGGCTGTGCAGGTGAAAGGCGGGGTGCGTACAGCCCTGCGTCACAAGGAAAACCGTTGCCCCGAACATGGCCTTTTCCCTCCCACAGTCCATGGCGAACATCCATGTCAGGAAATACTTATTCATAACTGAGTTTCAGAACAGGAATTAGTGCAGGATCTATGCCATGCTTTAAAAGTTTTTAATTTATTGGTTTTAGAGAGGGAGGGGGAGAGAGAAGCATCGACTTGTTGCTCCACTTATTTATTAATTTATTGGTTGATTTTAGTATGTGCTCTGACCAGGGATCAAACCCAGAACTTTGGCATATGGGGACGAGGCTCTAACCAACTGAGCTACCGGGCCAGGACCTATGTAGTGACTATACAAGATAAAAAGATGTGAGACAGGTGGCAGATGAAGAACCTGGGCCCAAAAGCTTTTGCCACGGAACATATGGCACTTTTCAAATATTCTCCATGCATTTAAAACAAATACAGTATTAATAAGCAGCAGCCCAGCTGGGGTGGCTCTGGATGGAGCATCGTCCCATGGACTCAGAGGTCCCGATTCCTGGTCAGAGCACATGCCCAGGTTGTGGGCTCAATCCCCAGTGGGGGGATGTGCAGGAGGCAGCCAAGCTATGTTTCTCTCTCACATCGATATTCCTATCTCTCTCTCCCCTTCTGCTTTCTCTGAAAAATCAAAAAAAACACTTGAGTTAAAAAAATAAATAGCCCCTGGCCGGTTTGGCTCAGCAGTTAGAGCGTCGGCCAGCGGACTGGAGAATCCTGGGTTCAGTTCCCGCTAAGGGCACGTACCTGAGTTGCAGTTTGTCCCCGGCCCTGGTTGGGGTTGTGTGGGAGGCAGCCAATTGATGTCTCTCTCTCACATCGATGTTTCTCTCTCTCTTCCTCCCTCTCTCCCTCCCACTCTATCTGAAGATAAATGCAATAATAAATAAATAAGAAAAAGCAGCCCTGGCCAGTTTGGCTCAGCGGTTAGAGCATCGGTCTGCGGTCCCGAGAGACCCAGGTTCGGTTCCCGCTAAGGGCATGTACCTCGGTTGCAGTTTGTCCCCGGCTCTGCTTGGGTTGTGCAGGTGGCAGCCACTCGATGTGTCCCTTTCACATCGATGTTTCTCTCTCTCTCTCTCTCCTCCCACTCTATCTGAATAAAAAATGGAAAAATGTCCTCGGATGAGGATTTTAAAAAAAAAGAACAAAGAAAAAGTAATCACCTCTATCAAACAAAACCCAAAGCAGAAAAACATGAGCTTATGGAGGAGAGACTGAGTATGTGGAAGAATTGAGAATGTGAGTTACACGAGCTCAGAGAAGGAAGAAGAAATCACAGAAAGCAAGTAAAATTAGAAACAGCAGATGACAGAATGAACACTCCTAAAAACACATCAAGAGACAGAAAAAATACATCACATGAGGAAATGGAACGGAATAAGGCATTTAAAAAGTTTAATGAGCCCTGGCTGGTTTGGCTCAGCGGTTAGAGCGTCAGCCTGTGGTCCAGAGAGACCCGGGTTCGGTTCCCGCTAAGGGCACGTACCTCGGTTGCAGTTTGTCCCCGGCCCTGGTTGGGTCGCCCGGGTGGCAGCCACTCGATGTGTACCTCTCATGTCGATCTCTCTCTCTCTCTCTCTCTCTCTCTCTCTCTCTCTCTCTTCCTTCCGCTCTATCTGAACAAAAAATGAAAAATGTCCTCGGGTGAGGATAAAAAAGAAAGAAAGAAAGAAAGAAACGGGAATTTATTTGCCAGGGAGGATGATCCCATCATACTTCTGCTGGAACCAATGCGTGGCCTCCTCTTTGCTGATTCTGTGTTTGGCTCCAATGCAGCCTGTCCTGCATTTCTTTCTTTTCTTTTTTTTCATCCTCACCCAAGGACATTTTTTTCATATTTTTGTTCAGATGGAGGGAGAGAGAGAAACATCGACGTGAAAGGGACACATCGAGTGTCTGCCACCTTCATGACCCAACCAGGGCCAAGGACAAACTGCATCCGAGGTACGTGCCCTTAGCGGGAACTGAACCCGGGTCTCTCGGGACCACAGGCCGACACTCTAACCGCTGAGCAAACCGGCCAGGGCCGTTGTGCATTTGTCTGTGATGCTGAGACCTGGCCTACCCCGCACCACACAGAAGTCCAGCCTGTAGATACCAATGTTTGGGTCATATTGGATCCCCAGATCGATGTGCTTGCTCCTGGATCCCAAATCTGAAGTTTCCAGCATCTGAGAAGTTATTTTCTCATAATTCATGCCCTCGCGCCTTTGGACCTTTCTCCAAGGTTTCTTCTGCCGTGGCCCATGGACGGGGCAGTGGACAGCAATCTGTTCGTGTCTCCTGATGCCAGAGGCTCTGACAGTGTCTCTGGCTTTGGAGAACACAGGAGTCTGGCCTGCGAGCTGCCCCAGGACCTTGGCTGCCCGGCCGTCTGTCTCCACTCTCCCAACACAGATGTTGAGGCGGAGCTTGCGGATGTGCGGTTCCCGCGTGGGGTTCTCCTTTCCACCTCCATCCCGCGAAAGCCCTTGAGAATTTTATGTGTCACTGTTTGTCTGGGAGGCCTCAAGGAAAACAGCTCGGGGTCTTGTTTCTTCCTCCACAGATGGAACGGGTCAACCGAAACTTACGACAGGTACCAAGGACGACACTGAGTATGAACCCCAAGGGGCTCAACGTGTAGGGTGACGGGGAGCAAGTGCCCCATTATAAGGCTGCCATGATGGAGAACAGGAAGAGAGAGCCCAGGAACCTTTTTTTTTTTTTTTATCCTCACCCAAGGACATTTTTCCATTTTTTGTTCATGTAGAGTAGGAGGGAGAAAGAGGGAGAGAGAGAGAGAAACATCAACATGAAAGGGACACATCGAGTGGCTGCCACCCGCACGACCAACCAGGGCCAGGGACAAACTGCAACCGAGGTACGTGCCCTTAGCGGGAACCGAACCCGGGTCTCTCTGGACCACAGGCCGACGCTCTAACCGCTGAGCCAAACCGGTCAGGGCCCAGGAACCTTCTTGAAGGAAGGACTTCAGAACCAGCCTCAGCAGCCACAGTGCCCCTGGAAAAGGGTGGCGGGGAACAGGACCCCATTAATATAGAACTAAGTCATAAGCAAGGGCTAAGACCATGACTTCAGAATGCAAATGAAATTAGATGATTCTCCCAAAGGTTCAGAAGGGAAAGGGGGGAGAAAAAGGGATTTCTTCATCTTTATAGATATGAATAAATGACATTTATTTTTTAAAATCCTCACCCGAGGATTTTTTTCCATTTTTGTTCAGATAGAGTGGGAGGGAGAGAGAGAGAAGCATCGACGTGAGAGGGGCACATCGACTGGCTGCCTCCCTCACAGTCCCAACCAGGGCCGGGGACGAACCGCAACCAAGGCACGTGCCCTTGACTGGAATCGAACCCGAGACTCATTGGTCTGTGGGCCGACACTCTAACCGCTGAGCCAAATCAGCCAGGGCAATAAATGATATCATTTAAAGATAAAAATTCAAGTAGGAGATGTAAATATATTTCAAGTAAATATTTAGAAGCATAACAACATTAGTTAAACTGGGTGAGGAGGAACAGGAAGAGGATACAGTGGGGGAATACAGTTCATCTCATCGTGACTCACGACGGCATTCCTTAAGTAAAGAGAGGACGTATTACATGAAATTATGACTATATAATTTGACTGGATTAAATGATCGACAAAACACTTCCATAGACCAAAGGAAACAAGCCACATGGTGAACGGTCCTTCACAGCTATAAAAGCAAAAGAAATACCGATAACTTCACTGAACTGAGTAAGCATATCATCGTAGCTGTAACTGAACATTTCTTCAGTTTACTTGTTAAAGCGCCTGAGCTGGAGGCGCAGGTGAGGGGATTGGGAGGCGGTGTGAGGAAGAGCATGAGCTGGAGAGGTGAGCAAGGGTGGAACCCCCAGTGTGGGCCTGGCAGCAGGGAAGCCACCGGCTGGGCATCTCTGTGCCCTGGGGTATCGTTAAAATACCACCCCGTGGTGGTTGAAACATCTGGGCGCAGGCATCTAGGAAGGTTTCTTTCGTGGGGCCGAGCTGGCTGGCTGCTCCTGCCAGATCTGATCAAATGGGAAACCTGCCCTGGCGGGTTTGGCTCAGCGGTTAGAGCGTCGGCCTGTGGTCCAGAGAGACCCAGGTTCGGTTCCTGCTAAGGGCACGTACCTCGGTTGCAGTTTGTCCCCGGCCCTGGTTGGGTCTTGTTGTAACCCAGGAGAATCAACCTCACTTGGACACAAAGTAATATTGAATATTAGGAGCTTTATTACCTGGGCAGGGACTGCAGCCCCGAGCTCAGGGGGAGGGCTGCTTATATAGGACAGGGGTCACTCAAGAGTTTAGCAGAGCAAGCAAGCTGCGTGCACAGAAGCGGTTATCAGCAGTTAGCAGCTGCACAAGTTGTTTACTTTATATTTCTTCACATTTACTAGACCCCAGCCTTGAATGTCTCATTGTCCCGTCTGGCATCTCCTGATTAGTTAAGCTCATGGTCAATACTTGTGGTCATGGCTGATGCATACCTTTCTCTTCAAGATTTTTCTTGCAAAAACAACTCGGGTTCAAGGAACCCAGAAGTTCCTTCTTCTAGGGGGTGGAGAATTGCTGGGTTGTAACAGGTCGTGCAGGCGGCAACCACTCGATGGGTCCCTTTCAGGTCGGTGTTTCTCTCTCTCTCCCTCCCACTCTGTCTGAACAGAAGATGGAAGAATGTCCTCGGGTGAGGATAATGAAAAGAAAGGAACCTGCTGAAGCTACTCCTGCCCAGGAAGGACAGGTGGGGGCTGTGCCCTGGGCAGGGATCGAACTTTGTTCCTCTGAACCTGAGGGCTGCGCTGTGCTTAGCTTCTGCCAGGCGGGCCTCCACCTCCCATCCCTGGCCTCTGCCTCCAAGCACTTGGCCTGTGGGTCCTCAGAAGAGCCATGGACCCCACAGGTGAGCAGGGAGGGACAAGGGCTCCAGAGCCGGCGTGGTGAGGACAGCGGGCAGGGTGGGAGCAGAGGGTCTGGGAAGCTGCGTGTGTGTGTGTGTGTGCGTGTGTGTGTGTGTGTGTGTGCGCGCGCGTGCACTTAGGCAGGGATGATGATGGCGCCTAGGGAAGTAAGAGACAGATTGTGGCCAGGCCCAAGTCTGCAGGTGGAAGTTCCTCCCATCCCCCTCTCCTGGGCTCTTTTCTCTACCTGTTGGGGCCCAGAGGACAAAGCCAGAGATCAGCAAGGGGGTTCCCCCCTTTTGCGAAGTCTGTTTGTGAGAAAGCAGGTCCAGGCCTCTGAGGAGCTCAGAGACACTGCCTGCGCTGGTAGGGGGAACGCAGGGCACCTGCTGCGGGGGGGGGGGGGGGGGGGGGGGCGTGGGAGAGGGAGGGGAAAGGAAGGGACAGATCATCACCTGGCCCCTTCCTGCCCTGACTCCTCCCCTGCTCAGGAAGGTGGGGTCTGCTCCACATTCTTGGGGAGGGTGGGCGGCCCTCCCCACAGCAGGTGATCTCTACCTCTTCAGCTGAGAAATGGAGGCTGCTGTCTGTCCCTGTACAGCCTGGGGACACTCCAGGTCTGTCTTGCCAGAGTAAGTGGCGGCAGGTGGGGAAATGGCTCTGGGGTCCTCGGGACCCCTTCAGGGAAGACCCAGTGCCGTCCGCTTGAGAAGCAGGCTCAGGGAAAGGCCCCATGGTTGGCCCGCCTGCGCCCACCCCTGCTCCAGTGACCAGGGCGGTAAGGCTCCGAGCCTTGTCTGCGTGTCTGTTCTGCCGCAGGCCCAGGCCCTGCTCACTCGCTCTCTCATCTGGGACCCTTTGCAAGGCCCTGGCACACAGTGCAGCCCCCGTGAACCTTCCAGAACGGCAGTCCTAAGCACATGCCCAGCGTCATGGGTGTGAAGACGAACCCAGCGGGGCCACACTGCAGTCCCTGGAGTCTCCCCTACCTCTACCAGTGCAGGAAGGCAGGGGTTCCCAGGGGTTCCCGGGGTTCTGGGCTTTCCTGTCCCTGCGCAGCCCAGGGGCCAGGAGGAAGTGGCCTGGGGAGACGCTGGGAGGGCCCAGGGAGGAAATGACAGGCACGATCCCTCTGTCTGTTCCCTCCGGGCTCAGGACGGGGACTGGCTGTGGGGCCCTGCCTGAGCCTTCAAGGAGGGGGCATGAGGGTCCGTCTGCCAGCCGGGCCAGGCCGGGGAAGCCAGTGCCCGAGGAGTGCGTGTGTCCCTAGAAGAGAAACCCCCGTGCTGGACGCTCCTTTTTATGGAGCTGGGTCATCACACACATGGGACTGGGCCTGAGGCAGGGCCCCCTGACCGAATCCTGTCCCCAGTCTGGCTGAGAGGGCTGTGCCAGGTGTTTGCTGTTCAACTTTGTGCGTATTTTCCGAAGAGTTCTGAGAGTCTGCCCTTCCAAAGCAGAGAGCCCACGCGTGGATGGTGGCTGGTGGCTGGTGGGAAGGGCTACCAGCGTCAGCGCCAGCCCAATCTCATAGCCCAGAAGGCACGAAAACTGAGCAGAGTCCGGGCGCTCCTGCGCAGGTGGTTCCCTGCTGCCGTCATTCTCCATGGCTCCTGCCCATCTGCCCCTCCCTGCTTGCCCGTCTCCTCCCCTGTCTGACTTTTGCCCACGGGCCCAGCCCTCGGCGCTCCCTCCCTCCCTGGGCTCGTGTCCAGGTCCAGAGCATGCCTGTCCTACCCACTTTGCGTGCTGGGGCACAGGAGAGTTCCTTGTACATCCTAACCGAAACGTGAGCTGATGGGACCCTTGGGACCCTCGGGCTCACCGGGGCCAGCCTGCTCTGTTTCAGAAGCAGAAGATGAGTAAGGGGCTCAGAAAGTCAAATGGAAAATGCCAGAACCCAGCCCAGCCCCCAGCCCTGAATTAGGGCCAGCTGTGCTGCACAAGGCGTGGGCTGAGCTTCCGTCCACAGCGATCTGCTGGTGTGTGCCAGGTCCTGTCTAGAGAGGGGGACAGGAGTGTCAGAACACACACCACCAGTAGCCCTGGCAGGCTAGACCCCACGCAGGGAACGTCCATTCTTTTATTACCATAAAGTACACATAATAGAAAATTGCCCATCGCGACCATGTTAAGTGCACAGCTCAGTGGCATTGGTACATTCCCCTTGCTGTGCAAACGTCACCACCATCACCTCCAGGACCTGTTTGTTTTCCCACACTGGAACTCTGCACCCATTGAAGGCTCACTCCCCCCTGCTCCCCCAGCCCCTGCACCCGCCACTGTCCAGTCATGAGCTGCATCACGACAAACCGTGTTTCGGACGATGGCGGGCCTCATAGACAACATGAGATTATAATGGCCAACCAATTCCTATCTCCTAGTGACATCATAGCCAGTGTGTGTGTGTGTGTGTGGTGATGCTGGTGTAGACAACCTGCAGCCCTGCCTGTCCTGTAAAGTGTAGCACACACAGTACGTAGAGCACATCAGCCTTGGTGATGTCAACAGCCGTGGTCCTGGTTTATGCACTGCTGTGCTACACTGCGTCTCTGGTTTGCATCGTTTTCTCTCGTCCATGGCTTCACCTCGGGTGGTTTTGTACAGGAACACGCCACACAGGCTTGTAGCCCGGGAGCAACAGGTCGGCACGCAGCCGGGCGGTGCGCTAGGTTTGCGCCACGAGACCGCCTAACAGCCATTTCCTAGCGCGACCCCTGTCATGTGGTGCCCACATGTGGAGGGATTCGGTTCCTCTAGGTCTATGGTCACTGCCTGCTGGGTATATCTTTTACTGTCCTTGCACACGGGACCTATTTGTATCTTTGTTTCTAAAATATGTCCCGTTGACCGCTTAGAGTGGAAGCTTTTCTTTAGACAATTTCTGCCTTTGATGGCGTGTTCGATGTTATCTGTGGTTGGATTTCCATCTGCCATTTAGCTATTGGTTTTCTGTGTGTTTTGCAAATTTTTACTCTTTTACAATCTTTTTTTTTTTTTTTCCTTTGGTATGTGCCCCTAGCGGGAACCGAACCCAGGACTCTCTGGTCCGCAGGCCAATGCTCCAACCACTGAGCCAAACCAGCCAGGGCATTTTACGATCTTCTTTCATATTAAATAGATATTTTCCAACCGCTGAGCCAAACCAGCCAGGGCATTTTACGATCTTTCATATTAAATAGATATTTTCTAGAGTATCATTTTAATACCTTTGATCTTTAAAAAAATTTTTTTTTCTTCATTGATTTTTTAGAGACAGAGGAAGGGAGAGGAAGAGAGAGATAGAAATATCAATGAGAGAGAACATCCATTGGCCGCCTCCTGCATGCCCCCCACTGGGGATTGGACCCACAACCCGGGCATGTGCCCTGACCAGGAATCAAACTAGCGACCTCTCGGTGCAGGGTTGATGCTCAACCACTGAGCCACACCAGCCGGGCAATACCTTTGCTATTTTTAAGGATGTCTTTTTTTTTTATCCTCACCTGAGGACATTTTGCATTTATTTTCACATAGACTAGGAGGGAGAGAGGGAGGAAGAAAGAGAGAGAAACATCGATGTGAGAGAGACACATTGAGTGGTCGCCACCCACACGACCCCAATTGGGGCCGGGGACAAACTACAACTGAGGTACATGCCCTTAGCAGGAACCAAACCTGGGACTCCCTGGTCTGTGGGCCGATGCTCCAACCGCTGAGCCAAACCAGCCAGGGCAAGGATATCTTTTTATGTTATTTTTCATAGTGGTTACTCTGGAGGCTGTGCATTTTAATTTATGCAATTTACTTCATTCACTACTAGTTTAATTTCAGTAGAATACAGAAACTTCAATATGGCTCCTTTCTTTCCTTCTGATTTGTGGTTTGTAGTATTATTTTCATATATGTTAATTCAATATGTGTTATGAACTCAGAAATACTGTCTTACAATGATCACTTTAAACAATCTTATTTCTGCCCTGGCCGGTTTGGCTCAGCGGTTAGAGCATCGGCCTGCGGTCCGGAGAGACCCGGGTTCGGTTCCCGCTAAGGGCACGTACTTCGGTTGCAGTTAGTCCCCGGCCCTGGTTGGTCGTGCGGGTGGCAGCCACTCGATGTGTCCCTTTCACGTCGATGTTTCTCTCTCTCTCTCTCCCTTCCACTCTATCTGTACAAAAAAAAAAAGTAAAAAAATAAAAAAAATAAAAAAAAAAAAAACAATCTTATTTCTTTTACTTCAAGTAGACAAAAAGGGAGAAAATCTTTGTGAAGTCTTTTATTTTTAAACTGTATATTAGCCATTTGCCTTACTCTCCGTTTCTCTGTGTGTTTGAGTTGTTGTCTGATGATACTTATTTGCTCAGTATTCCTTCATTTCATGCTCTTCACTTTGCTCTATTATTGTCATGCACATTACATCTTGTTATGCTATAAACCCAACTAAGTCAGCCTCTAAAGGCTAGGGGATACAAAGTCACCACATAAATCAGCTGCATTTCTGTATACTTGCTACAGTCAATCAGACAAAGAAATTTTTAAAAAGCCATTTACAACTGTATCAGGCAACATGAAACACTTAGGGATGAATGTATCAAATTAAGAGCAATATCTATACAATGAAAACCACAACACATTGCCAGAGAAATGTAAGAAGACCTAACAAGTGGAGAGATAGACTATGTTCATGGATCAGATGGCTTACTGTTGTTAAACTATTGCTTCTCTCCAAATTGATCTATGGAATTACATAATCCCAACCAAAAGTCCAGAAGGTATTTCTATAAAAATTGACAAGTGGATTCTACAATATACACGGAAATGCAAAGGTCTCAGAATACCCAAAACAATTTTGAAAAAGAAAAACACGGTCAGACGCAAAACACCGGGCATACCGCAGGAGCGCAGGAGAGGCCACGAACTACGTTCGCAGCTGTTTTCGAGTTCTCTTAGACACAATGAGCAAAGCTCACCCTCCCGAGTTAAAAAAATTTATGGACAAGAAGTTGTCATTGAAATTAAATGGTGGCAGACATGTCCAAGGAATATTGCGGGGATTTGATCCCTTTATGAATCTTGTGATAGATGAATGTGTGGAGATGGCAACTAGTGGGCAACAGAACAACATTGGAATGGTGGTGATACGAGGAAATAGCATCATCGTGTTAGAAGCCTGGGAATGAGTATAAAGAATGGCTGTGTTCACCGGAGAAATCAACTGCTTTCACTTGTCCCCTCTCCACAGCACCTGCTTTACTACAATATAAAAATAGAATTGTGTCCATTTTCACATTGAATTTTTGTTAAATAAACTTTTGTATTGGTAAAAAAAAAAAAAAGAAAGAAAGACACATGTTTAGGGCTTACACTCCCTTATCTCAAGACCTCGTCTAGAGCTACAGTAACCAGTGCAGGTTGGTATTAGAATAGACCTGCAGATCACTGGTCCAGAAATAGATCAACACACAAATAATTTTCAATAAGGTGCTGAAGAATAAAATGAGGAAAGGAAAACATTTTTAATTCAAGTGACAGAAACTACTGGGTATCCATATAGAAAAAGAAAAAGAGCTCAGCCGGTGTGGCTCAGTGGTTGAGCATTGACCCATGCACCCAGAGGTCACTGGTTTGATTCCCAGTCGGGGCACATGCCCAGGTTGTGGGCCCGACCCTCAGTGGGGGGAATACAGGAGGCAGCCAACTGATGTTCTCTCTGATCGATGTTTTTATATTTCTCTTCCTCTCCCTTCCTCTCTCTCTATAATCAACAAAGAAAAAATTAAAAAGAGAAAAAGAAAAAATAACCTCAATTCTTCACACCATATACAAAAATTATAACAGTTCTGAAAAAATTTTTCATGACATCAGGGTTTGCAAAAATGTCATAGATGACGCAGGGGGGAAGCTCAAATCATAGAAAAGATAAATTAGACAACTGTATCACAGTTAAAACTGACTTCAGGCCAGGCAGCTCTGTTGGGTCAGTAGCGTGCAGGGCTTCCCCTCGGTGTGTCCCCAGCTGGTCCGGGGATCCTGGCACCACCTCCATGGCGGCTCCACCCTGTGGACTGGACATCATGAAGCACCTGCCATACTTCTGCTGCGGCCAAGTGGTGTGGGGCTTTGGCCATGGCTCCAAGCAGCTGGGCACTCCCACAGTTAACTTTCCTGAACAAGTAGTAGATAATCTTTCAGCTGATGTATCCACTGTCTTGTATTGTATTGTATTGTTCTCACCCGAGGACATCTTTCCATTTTTTGTTCAGACAGAGTAGAAAGGAGAGAGAGGTAGAGAGAGAGAAACATCGACGTGAAAGGGACACATCGAGTGGCTGCCTCCCACAGGGCCCAACCGGGCCGGGGACAAACTGCAACCGAGGTACATGCCCTTAGCGGGAACTGAACCCGGGTCTCTCTGGACCACAGGCCGATGCTCTAACCACTGAGCAAAACTGGCCAGGGCTCCACTGGCATTTATTATGGACGAGCCAGTATTGGAAGTGGAGTTGTCCATGAGATGGTGGTGAGCATAGGGTGGAACCCACACTACAACGATACAAAAGTCCACGGACACTTACATCATGCCTTCAGAGAGGACGTTTGTGGGAAATCCTCCATGTGACCACCGTTGGTACCTCCGACCGGAAGAGAACTTGGATTCTAAAGTCACTAATTTCAGCTGTTCAAGGTGACATTGGGGAAGCTAAGAAATGACTAGATTTACCAAAACATTTGAAACTCAAAGAAGACAATTTCTTCCAGCTTCCTAAAAGCAAAATAATGAATGGCCACTGGTGAACAACCATCTTACCGATTCATTCACTGTTTTCCAGTATTTTACTGCTCATAACTACGCAGTCTCATCTTGGTTATATTTTAAAAACCAAAAATGTTCCCATAGCTGTGAATTAGTTTACACAGCACGATGTAATTATCATTATGCCTCATGTTCAATTAAACCCATCATGTATGGCACTAAAAAGATTCATTTTAAAAATCAAGATTCTTTTTATGTAATATGTGGACTAAAATTTACCACTAGAAATAAATAAATTAAATTAAATTTACCACTAGAAAGGTCTTAAGTGTTTCATAAGGGAAATGAAATGTATACAGCTATGTATATACATTTCCGTAGTATACTGTATCCATTTACAATGTATGAGTCACTAGTTTGAAATGAAAATGAATACTCATGGTAAAATACTAGCGTGTCTGTGCTTGTATAGTGTGTGCTGCTGAACAGAGAGGGCTTAGAAAAGTACATGTAGTTCCCTGGCCGGTTTGGCTCAGCGGTTAGAGCGTCGGCCTGTGGTCCAGAGAGACCCGGGTTTGGTTCCCGCTAAGGGCACGTACCTCGGTTGTAGTTTGTCCTCGGCCCCGGTTGGGGTCATGCAGGTGGCAGCCACTCAGTGTGTCTCTCTCATATCGATGTTTCTCTCTCTCTCTCCCTCCCTCTCTCTCTTCTGCTCTATCTGAGGATAAGTGCAAAAATGTCCTCAGGTGAAGATTTAAAAAAAAAAAAATGTAAATGTAGTAAACAGAGGTTTGATAGTTTATTCTAAACCTCAGGGGGAAAATTCATACTTTGCATTTCTGATATTTTGCGCATTAATATATTACCACAAACATGAAGACTTGTGAAATTTTAATTAGTCATTTCTTTTATGAAGTCAAATTGTTGTAGTATGTTCATTTTTTTCTCGCAGCTGCCTCAGCTCTGATTAACCTGGACTCCTGCAGCCTATCAGTTTGTCTGTCTTTTTTTCTTTATTGATTTTAGAGAAGAAGGGAGAGATAGAAACATCAATGAGAGAGGACATCGATTGGCCACCTGCTGTGTGCCCCACACTGGGAATCTGGCCCCCAACCTGGGCATGTGCCCTGACCAGGAATCTAACCGGCGACCCCTTGGTGCAGGGTCGACGCTCATCCACGGAGCCACACCGGCGGGGCACCAGTTTCTTAACACAAAATACTTGTTTTTCTCCCTAGGGAAAATGTTTAAGAGCCAATTAAACTATGAAATAGCAAGTTATTTCTATTGAAGGTGATTATATGTTCCTGAGCAAACACACTGTTGTGTCTAGACAACGGAATTTAATGATAAGAGTGCTTGTAGCGTGGGGGAAGGTATAAAGAATTTAGTTTTAGTTAAATAATCTTCTTACTATGCATTTTTCTTCCAAACAACTAAGAAGTGACGCTCAACCACGGAGCTACACCGGCCGGGCTAAATCTATATTTTAAAGACTTTTAGAAGGAAACATGGAATAGTCTTTCAAAATGGAAGCAAGTGATTCCCCGCCCCTGGTGGGGTCAGCACTGGACGTACAGAGTGCTGTCAGGGGGTCCTGTCAGTCTCCAAGGAAAGGGGGTGCTCAGTGGAAAGAGGCCATGGGGGGGCCGGGTACCTGGGAGTCAGGGGCCCCCTGGGGGGGGTGCTGGGAGGGAGACCCAGCTGCCCCTCGCAGGGAGAGAGGAGAAATGTCTGCATTTGGGCAGGGTCTAACAGGGGCCCCGGTGATGCTCCAAACCCACCTGCAAGGGTGGGGGGCTTGGGGGGACCCAGGCCCGTGCACCGTGACGCCCGCATCACCAGGAGACAGACACGGGCCTGGAGGGGAGGAGAGTGGGTGATCGGGTCTCCACCGCTGTTTTCCAGAAAAGTCCAAGTGCCGCTCCCTTCGTCCTCTGGCCTTTCTCCTGACCGTGCTCGTCCTGGTCTTCCTCAGGTAAGAAGCCTGCGGGACCCTCTGGGTCTGCCGGGCTTGGGAGAAGCAGCAGCAGGAGCAAAGCAGGTTCTGTTGCCCCGGAGCTGTCCCCGGTCCCCGGATCACAACAGCAATGACGGGACAGATGACAGGCGCCTCAGGCCCCACCGATGGTCCCAAGCTTCACACTCCCTCTTACTGAGGCCTCACCTTGTGAGGAGCCGTCTCCCCCCACGCCACCAGTGGGGAGGCGCGGCAGGCCGGGAAGTCCCCGCGGCCGGGAGTGGGGACGGGCAGCGGAGGGGCTGTGCTGTCAGCTGCTTCCAGGGGGAGCAGGTGCTGCCACAGGGAGGAGGTCACCTGGCCGCTCTACTGGGGGCGGGGACCCTGCCAGGAACCTGTCCCTGGGCAGCCTCGGACCGGCTGGCCGTGCACAGGGACCCCTCCAGCGGCGGCAGGGGCTCACAGGGGAGCGGTGGCCCCGGTAATTGGCCCTCCTTGGGCCCAGTCCCCTGAGCTTTGGGGAGAATTCCCCTGGCCCTGCCCGAGGTCCAGCAGCTGCTCTGGGAGCGCTGGGCCCATGACCTGGGTGCACCGCCTGCTGTCCCTGGAGAAGGTCCCAGGCCGTCCCAGGACCGTGCTCCTCACAAGGGCCCTGGGGCGGGCTCTTCCGCAGCGCTGGGGTCCTGAGCCCAAGAATTCCGGTGCTGGGGACCAGACCAGGAGGAGCAGGGTGAGTGCGTGAAGGGCGGGGTCCACGCCCCTGACAGCCTGGGTCCAGGTTTGTGCTCTATGGGTCTTTGCACCCACTGAGCCCCCTGCCGGACCTATTCTCTCCTCCTGCTCTCGGCATCGGGCCAGCCCCGCCTTGTATCAGCTAGTTGGGTGGTTCCCAGATCAGTGTCCTCAAGAGACACAAAGCTGCATCCCTTTGAGGACCGGGCTGTAGAAATCTACAGCATCAGCATTTGATTGGTTAGAATCTGGAAACCGAGGCCAGCCATGTGCAGGGCTAGGGATCGGGCCACCTCACGCGAGGAGGGTCAGCGCGCCGACACCTTTAAACCACCACCTGCTCGGTCTCGGCTCCGCAGCGGCTGGTGAACGCGGGCCCTACGGCTCAGCAGAGGGCACCCCTCCTCCGACTGCGGTGTCTCATGTCCCCGAATTAGACATGCAGGGACACAGGCCAGCACCAGCCCACTGCCCAGGGAGGGCATGTTTAAGACGAAGTCCGTGTCCTCACTCCAGGCCACCCCATCCCCTGAGCGTGGCCCTGAGTTGTCCTGCTAAAAGCCCTCTGTTCTCACTCCGCAGCGAAGTTGCTACAAAGCCAGCCGGCCAGCAAGTTGTGAAATTACCGAGGTACAGTGACTTCCTCTGGGTCCTCCCGGCGGGACGCCTGCCCTCCAGCCGAAGGGTGTGTGGGAGACAGAGGCGGGGGTTCTGGGGACAGGCCATCTGTCCTCCTGTGCTCCCCCGGAGACGACGGCCCTGCTCCAGCCCCGGGCACTCCTCCAGGCGGAAGGCAGAGGCCTCAGTCACTCTCCGCCGCCACCCCTGCCCCTGCGAGGGACCTGCAGAGAGCTTCCGGAAACTCAGGCCACGCTTGCTGTTTTGCAGGATGGTTTATCCCCAGCCCCGGGCGCTGACACCCTCGTGAGTACATTGATTGGGATTCACCGTCACTCGCGACACTGCAGGGAAGTCCCACTGGAATCTCCCCTGGAACCGGCTCTGCCCATCCTCCCTCTGGGCCGCCTGGATCCGGGCCTGGCGCCCCCAGAGCTTCTCTGCCTTTCCTCCCTGTGGCCCCCTCTCCTCTTTCCTGCCCCTCATTCGCCCAAGAAAGCGCAGAGGGTGAGGGGCCTCCTCGCAGGGGCTCCCGCTTGGCTGGGTCCCGGCTGCCCCTGGGGTCCCCAGGGTGCAGTATCTGGTCCGTGGAGGGGATCTGCACAGTTTGTACCTGGTAGGTTTCCTGCGGATGCCAAGTCCTCTGGAAGGAGGTCAGCCCCGGGCGCAGAGGCGATGGGCAGAGTGGGGGTGCCCCGTGGGCGGTGAGCAAGGGGACGCGCGTCTTTACCCTCCTGCCAGCTCACACGTTGCCATGGTGCCCTCTCGCGGTGCAGAAGGAGAGATGTCCTTGTCCTGACCCCCTGGCTAGCCCCCATCATCTGGGAGGGCACCTTCAACATTGACATCCTGAATGAGCAGTTCCGGCTCCAGAACGTCACCGTCGGGCTCACCATCTTTGCCATCAAAAAGTAAGGAGGTGGCACAACAGAGGGCAGAGACCAGAGGTGGAAGGGACAGGTCCATCAGGGTCTGTCTTTGTGTCCAGGGCAGAGTGGGGGGGTCCTGCCCTGTCCCCCAGAGCGGCAGATGTGAAAGCCCAGAGCCCGCATTCACAGGGCAGGGGCCGGCATGACTTTCGGGATGAGCTCTGGAGTCGGGCTGGATCTCAGCATGCGGGTGGGGGTACCTGCGTGTGCCCTGCTCAGCCACTGTGCTCACCTTCCCTGTGAGGACTTCACTAACCGGCCACGTGCCGGGCAGGCACAGGGGAGGCACCTCAGTGCTGCCCGAGAAAGTCAGGGTCGCTGGGGGCTCAGCACACTGTGGCTGTCCTCACGGTGGGGCAGGTGACCCTGGGAGACCTCAGGAGAGAACCAGCCATCAGAGGCATTTGAAGAAGACACCCCCGGGTGGGGGAGACCTATGAACTGGGCCTGACCCTGCACCCTGGACTGCAGTTGGGGCCAAAGCAAGCTCTCTCATTTTCCTGGGGTCCACCTCTTCCCTCCCTCCCCATGTGCTGGACCCGGTCCATAGTGCAGGAGGTGGGTGAGTTCATGGGGGACCCCTCTTGGGACTACCAGCAGTTTGCTGGGGACCCTGTCAGCAAGACACCCTGCAGTGTTTGAGGGAGGACCCTTAGGGGTAGAAAAGGCAGTGTGGAGCCCCCACTTAAAATGAGGGTACTGGTGGCTTGGCCCTCCTGGGTTCAAGCTGGGCCAGGAGGTGCTCAGCTGAGGCCAGGTAAGGGTGGGGGGTGGGCAGATCTCCTCCCAGGACCACAGCACAGGGTGCGACCCCGCTCCAGCTCTGCTGCCATCTCTCTAGGCCTTCTGGGAGTTGACACAACGGAATGCACTACAAGCACACGCCGGTAGGAGTGAGGGGGAGCACAGCAAGGGAGCAAATGCTTCAGACCTCTGGATGCAGCCCAATTTATTTGCAGAGTGGTTCCCCAAGTTACATGTGGATCTACGTAAATTATTTCCTTGAGATGGCCTAGCCTTGTCTCTCAGGTTTTATGGTGGAAAGAGACTTCAAAGCTAAAAAATAACGAACCCAGAAGGTCCTGAGTCCTACAACTCATTGGCCACGCAAGGCAGTGTTCCCACCTTTGTCACGCAAACCTTATCTTATACACATGCAAATGAGGCATTAATTTGCACCCAAGGCGGTTTTCCTACCTTCCAGTCAAACCTGTCTGTCCACCCACTCACTTTGATCCTAGGCTGGCCAGGTTGTGAGAATGCACATCACAAGCTTAGAAATCGTCCGTCCACCAACCCCTCATCTCTACACTCTGCTGGCCCAGGGGCTGCTCCTGCTCCGACCACCTGAGCCTCGGGCCCTCCTTCATAGGATGGGGTGCTGACGGCCCCCATCTTTGGGAGCAGAGGATTAGGGAGGCCCCGCTGGCACTGGCTCAGGCCAGGCCAGGAAAGTGGCTGCTCCTTGAAGAAGGTGCTCAGGCTCCAGGGCCCCAGGGTTGGTGGCTCCACAGTGACGCCCTGCCCGTCCCTCTCCTGTCGCTGTAGGTATGTGGTCTTCCTGAAGCTGTTTCTGGAGACGGCGGAGGAGCACTTCATGGTGGGGCACCGGGTGATCTACTACATCTTCACCGATCGGCCGCAGGACGTGCCGCGCGTGCCCCTGCGCAAGGGCCGCCGCCTGGTGGTCCTCCAGGTCCCCGCTGCCGCGCGCTGGCAGGACGTGTCCATGCGCCGCATGGAGATGATCAGTGACTTCTGTGCGAGGCGCTTCCTGCGTGAGGTGGCCTTCCTGGTGTGCACGGACGTGGACATGCGCTTCCGTGACCACGTGGGCGTGGAGATCCTGTCCCCGCTCTTCGCCACCCTCCACCCCAGCTTTTATGGGGCCACTCGCCAGACCTTCACCTACGAGCGCCGGCCGCAGTCACAGGCGTACATCCCCATGGACCAGGGTGACTTTTACTACCTGGGGGGCCTCTTTGGGGGGTCGGTGTCCGAGGTTCACCGGCTCACCACGGCCTGTCACCAGGCCATGACGACTGACCGCGCCAACGGCATCGAGGCCGTTTGGCATGACGAGAGCCACCTGAACAGGTACCTGCTGGACCACAAGCCCACCAAGGTGCTGTCCCCGGAGTACCTGTGGGACGAGCAGTTGCTGGGCTGGCCAGCGGTCATGAAGAAGCTGAGATACGTGGCTGTGCCCAAGAACCATCAGGAAATCCGCAACCGCTGAGGGGTGGAGGAGGGCTGAGGGGGGCTGTGGGGGACCCAGCCTACCTAGGGTGTTACCCAAAAGGGTTAGTGATGTTTTCAAAGGAAAGGTAAAAGCTTGAAAAAGCAGAAACTGTGAAAATGTGTTGCTTGCATGACCTTTGCTCAGCCTTCTGTTGCCGAGTAACAGCCTTTTGGATCATCTGGAACCAACGACTCACCCAGCAGATGCAGGACGAGATTCCAGACCAGTCAACTGCAAAGGGGACAATGGGCCAGGCAGGTGACGTCGGCAGGAACTGCCGGAAGCTAGAAGCCTAGTCTATAACCTACACCCCAACTGTTATTCAAGGCTGACCCCTTTTCCGCTCAGCCCGCCTGCCCCCAGGCGCATGCAATAAAATCGTTTTGGACTTGGGTTGTGAATGTGATTTCCCGCCGGCTCAGACCTTTATTTGGTGCTGAAACCTGGGAGGTCTGTGAGGATCTTGAATCAGGGGCAACCACGGGCCCCCAGAGTCCTCTGGGCCTCCTGTTCAACCGGGATCGATCACATCCTCAGCCGGATATCTTCAGATAGAGTGCGAGGGAGAGGGGGAGAAGAGAGAGAGAGAAACATCCATGTGAGAGAGACACATCGACTGGCTGCCACCCACCTGACCCCAACAAGGGCCGGGGACAAACTACAACTAAGTTACGTGCCCTTAGCAGGAACCGAACCCGGAACTCTCCGGTCCACAGGCTGATGCTCTAACTGCTGAGCCAAACCAACCAGGGCTGCTCTTATCTTTTTTTCACTGATAGGGGCGGTGAGCCCCAAGGGACTCTCGCTTCTGGCACCAAGAGCTGGGCTGCACCAGCTGGGCACCACCTGCTCTGGGGACAGTGCCAGGTGGGGAGTGTACACCTGTCGATCCAAAATGCAGGTGTCTTAAGGCAAGTTCAGGGAGGCCAGAAACCTCCTGTGGAGCAGAAGGGCAAAAACTCCCTTGATGTTGATTCTCAGCAAAAAAACATACCGAGCGGGCACCACGTATACTATCTCTCACCATAACCTTACGAGGGGCGTCTGTAATCTAACTGCTCATGATGTGCCTGACCCTGCAATGGGGTTTGTATGTGCAAGCTCAGAGGGACTCATGCAATACCAGAGACATCATACCAGGGAAATTAGTCACTATCCAGGGTGCAGTTCTGCCGGAGGCACTAGCTCTCTCCTCCCTCTATGATGGTTTAATTATCCCAGCTTCATTAGGGTCGATCAAACACCTCCCTAGGCCCAAATATGACGGGACTACTTTGCTTACCAGCGGGAATGATGTTTTAGGTGCACTTAACATTTCTGCCCCAGGGAGGGATTGCTATTCAATGCCTCAACTCAGCAAAACAGGGTGGCTAATAGGCAGAAGGATATGTCACCCCAGCCAATACCTTACTCCATTCCCTCATCCTTAATTCAACCTCATCCAGCCCTGAACCCGGAAGCCAGCATAGGGCAAAAAGGGGTGTCGGACTCCTCACAGCCGGAGTCATAGCTGCAATGACCACTGGGGGCCTCATGGGAGCAATTAGTTATGATGCCATAACAGCTTTTATAACCCAGTAATTTTCCATCCCCTAGAAGAAGGAACTTCTCCTGGGTTCCTTGAACCCGAGTTGTTTTTGCAAAAATTCTTGAAGAGGAAGGTATGCATCAGCCATGACCACAAGGGTATTGACCATGAGCTTAATTAATCAGGAGATGCCAGACGGGACAATGAGACATGCAAGGCTGGGGTCTAATAAATATTAAGAACTATAAAATAAACAACGTTTGCAGCTGCTAACTGCTGATATTCGCTTCTGTACACGTAGCTTGTTTGCTCTGCTAAACTCTTGAGTAAACCCTGTCCTATATAAGCAACCCTCCCCCTGAGTTCGGGGCTGCAGTCCCTGTGCAGGTAATAAAGCTCCTAATATTCGAAATTACTTTGTGTCCGAGTGAGGTTGGTTCTCCTGGGTTACAACAACAGCAAAAACATAACCACCACCGTGGCCAATCAAGGTAGAGATACAGGTGAAATTTTCAAACTTCTGTCAAAATCCCTCAACTCTCTTGCCTGCATAGTAATAGATAATCGCATATGCACTAGACTATTTACTGGTCAAAGAAGGAGGTCTATCCATGATAGCAAATACATGTTGTTGCTTCTGTGTTAACTCAACCGGCCAGGTCGAGGAGAGGACACAATGAATTCTAGACAATGCCCAGTGGCTAAAGGAATTCAGCCAGGATCTCCTAGCCCAGCCTATCTGGACCAGTGTAGAAGCAGCCTTGCCTAAACTCTGCTGGCTTCTCCCCTTCATAGGGCCCCCAGCTTTAGTTTTATTATTGCTTTCGGACCCTGCCTCTTGCGCCTGATTACTAGGGTTGTACAAAATCGACTATAAATTCTAGTCAACCAGACAGTTGGACAATTTGTTGTAGCACAGGTAAAAGGACCCTTTAGCCCCATTCCCCAAAACGTTATCTAACAAATTCTTTTTAGGAGTCCATGAAGACCCCACACCTGCAGGAAGTAGACAAAGAGAAACTTCGCCCCTTTTCCCTTTTTATCATCATTGTGAAATGGAATGAAAGGGTTAGTAATGTTTTAAAAGGTAAAGGTAAACGTTTGCAAAAGGCGGAAACTGAAAAATTGTGATGCTTGCATGACCTTTGCTCAGCTTCTGTTGAATACAAATAAGGATTATCTGGATTATTTGCAAGACAATGACTCACCCAGCAGAAGCCAGATGAGCTACCAGACCAGTCTTACTGCAAAGTGGACAACGGGCCAGCGGGAACTGCAGGAAGCTAGAAGTAGAGTATATAACCTACACCCCAACTGTTATTCGAGGCTGATCCCTTTTCCGCTCAGCCCGCCTGCTTCCAGACACGCGCAATAAAATCGTTTTGCTCTGCGTTGGCCTTGCGTTGCGGATGTGATCTCCCGCCGGCTCAGACCTTTTACTGCCCCAGTGGATTGGAACCTTTATGACCATCAGCTGCCCGCCAGGCTCCTCAGGCCCCTCAGCTCGGATGAGTCAGGTGGGCCCAGCCCTCTTGACAAACAAGGGGTCCCAGATGAAGTCACTTCCAGGGCAGCTGGGCACCCGACCTCCGCTTTAGCCCCGATCACCTCTCTTCCAGGGTCCTGTCCTGCTCCTGGTGGCAGGAGGTGGAGGGGAGGTCGTATCAGGCAGGACCCTCATGGTGGGCGCCTGGCAGCCCGTCGGGCCCAAGGCACTGCCCACTGCCCTTAGAGAGCAGGACAGCCCCTTCCCGTCACCTCAGGCTACTCTCAGTTCACTCTGGACTGAAAGCAAGTATTTCTGGATGACAATAAGATGTTGCTAATTGTTAAGAAAACCCATGTCTTTTGCTCCAAAAGGACATCTGTGCCCCTTGGAGAGGCCCGTGCTTGGTGTGAAGTGCTGCATTTCTTCTCCCCGCTGTCCCCATTCCCACGCGAACACAGGGAAGCCACACGGCAGCAGCGTTCTTTTCTTCTGTGGTTGGTCGACTTGCAGAATTTCTTGGGGCTGTGCAGCTGTGAAAGGCTGTGGTTCTACGCAGCCTCACTTCCCCGTGGAAACCCCGCCCACCACCACGAAGCCCCGCCCCCAGCCCTGGCACCCACCCTCGTCCTTCCTACCAGTATGAGTGGGACACCGCTCCGTTCTCTGTGTGGAGTCCTCCAGTGTCTGTCCTGCACAGGCCGCCTTATTCACGTCGCCTGGGGTGACCCACTTTTTGTCCCAAGGAAGTTGCTCTGCCCGTCTTGGGTCTCCCCCTGGACCCGTGCCTTCCTCATACCCCTGCTCTCTCCTTATCTGCCCTCCTCTGGCAGGGGTGTCTACGTGTGACAGTTAGACCTCAAGGGTCCTCTTAGGTGAGACACGTAGACTGACCTTCTGCATCGGGGATCCCAGTTGTTAGACCACAAGCATGTGATTTCAACAGGCAGACACATACATGTAAATGAGCCTGCCTGTGGCCGGACAGAGGAGACAGAACAGAGCTGAGTCCGAGAGATACCCACAAACCTTTCACGATGGTCACCTCTGGGACGGGACTTGTAAGGCTCTTATCTTCTTGAGGTAATGTCTACATTGTTTTTTAATCCTCACCCGAGGATATTTTTCTATTTATCTTCAGATAGAGTGGGAGGGAGGGAGAGAGAGAGAGAGAGAGAGAGAGAGACATTGACTGGCTGCACCCCACATGACCACAACCAGTGCCAGGGACAAACTCGTGACTCTTTGGTCTGGGGGCTGACACTCTACTGCTGAGCCAAACTGGCCAGGGTGATGTCTACATTTTAAACAATGCATGTATGACTTATTATTCTAAAAATGTTAAAGTCATATGCTCAGTGTTCTCCATTTATTACTCATCTATGGAGTAAAGTACATTATTTAGTTTTTATTTTTAAAGGCTTTATTACAAGGACAACAGATGTTTGTTATAGTACAATAATTAATTCTAAAGGAATTCAGTGTAAGAACGAGGCAGAACGAGGCGGTGCAGGGTCCCTAGAAGTGCAGGTTTATTGGGAATTAGCCTGCAGGACTACCTCTAAGGAAGGAGTAGCAACTGGCTTGTACAGACTAAGGATTTTTAAATTTAGGACTGGGGGGGTGTCGTTCAGCCGAGGAGATGTGGTCGGCTTTGATTGGTCGGGCCTGAGGTCTCCCGAAACTTGTTTTTCTTGTCAAGCAACCGTTGTTTGCAATTTTGAATGGGTTAGGGTGGTTCCGGCATTCGTTCCGCCTGGCTGGAGTGATGGGTTTTGGTTTTCTGGGATGAGAGGTTTAGGGCAGTAATATGGAGGTTAAGAGCTAACATCTCCCGACTCTTAGTTCATATAAATTGGAAAAAAGTTTGTGTTGATTGGAACTCTGGGTTGACCCCTAGGGAGGGCCTCTGTAGCTCCTTCCTGCTGTTCTCCCTCTGGGTTGCCCCTCCTGGGGGGTCACCTGGGGTAGTGGGGTGGAAGTTTGGAGTAGAAGTCGGTGGTGGACGACCCTGGCGAGCTCGGTCACCCGTGCACGTAGAAGTTTCAGAAAACTTGGGAGAAGCGGCAAGAGGAGAGAAATTACTATCAGTGGAGTTATAAGTGGGTGTAGGATGTTAAAGAGGGGGTTTGGCCACCATTGGCTTAGTGGTGATGCTTCCTCGGGCCTGCGATTGCGGAGCCTCTCCTGGAGTTTTCGGAGAGAGTTAGTATTTTTCCCTACCATACCTGATTCCTTGATACAGTAGCAGCATTTTTCTTGGAGGAAAAGGCAGGTACCTCCTTTCTCAGCGGTGAGGAGGTCCAGGGCCCGTCGGTTTTGGAGGGCGACCTCTGCTAGGGAGGTGAGTTGTTGTAGGGAGGCTAGAGAGGCTGCTGAGTTCTCGAAACCTC